TATTACCCACTGGTTACACAAAGAAGCCAAGGAAACAATCACTGAAATTTTACAACTCAAGAACACAGATTTCTTATCCACAAAGATAATAGATCTGGAAAGAAAATAGGAGGAGTAGATTGATAAATCAAATAAAAGAGAGTATCAAAGTTAAATCGCGGAAGCAAAATAGGTATACAAGAGCTTAAAGCTCTGATACCATGTAAGAAAGTGGAGTTTTGAGATTGAAGAACAAGAGAGAGATGAGAGAAAAGAGTAAAGAAGGAGAAACTTTTTCGTTAGATCTGAAAAAATAACGTTACAATAAGTTATAAAGAGAGAGGATATTCTTATTCTAGTAACCAAACACACTTGGCTTACTAGAGAAGCTAGAATAAATAACTACTATATTTATTTAATTCAATAGTCCTTTCCTGTTTGTGTGACATGTCACGCGTGTCCCATTAACAAAGCTGCTAAAGTTCCCAAGTATCGTGCAGTCCAGTAATCTAGGTCGAATTACAATTAAATATAGTAGTTGAATTTTACGTACACGACATTCGAGGTGTATGGTGTGGAGAACTCTAGAGGTTATGGGATGAAAAACATTACACTCACACACGCTTACATGTTTTATAATTTGAATTTGATTTTACTCCATCCATATATCAACAAGACAGCAACACAAAGCTGTTGATCTTTTCTTCGACCGCTACGAAACACGAACAGTTCATACTTCCTTCGTTTCCTTTAGTCTTTAGACCATGTGCAATGAGGAATCCTTAGGAAGGAGTCCTTAGAAAAATATTAATTTTATAATTATTGGGTCTCATGAATAGTTAAGGATTTTATCCTAAAAATCCTTATGTAAGGATTGATCCTTACACTATTCATGGGCTCCACTGCATACGTGGCGGTCCGTGAGTGGTCAATTTATTTTTTTTTAAAGAAAAAATCTGAAATATCCTTATATAATCTGAAATACCCTTTTTTATTTTTTTCCTAAAGACTCCCCTAAAGATTTCCCATTGCACATGTTCTTACATATATAGTCTAAAGTTACAAATAGTTCATACTCCCTTCGTTCGGAAACAGACATCCGATATGATTAAAACAATAAATACACAAAATATATAGTATAATCTCTTATATACGAATAAGAATAACAAACATAAATTAGAAAGATCCACATTTATATGTTATACAGCAAAGGTTTCTCTCACACATAGATAGTCAACTACACATTTCTTAATTCTCTTTATCTTTTTTTTTTTTACTAAAATTAATTCTCTTAATTTTTAGGACTTTGGCTTCTCAGATTTGTTTCTGGTGATCCAGTTTTCTAATTCTCTCGGGAACTTTGTGTTACTATAAGTTTAATTCAGTGAAATGAAATATATAAAACTGAAATTTCTATCCAAAATGCAGTTAAACGTCTTTAAAAGACATTACATTGTACAAATTTTAAAATTTTAAACGACTTTGGATATAAATAGATCTAATTTTTTTTTGCTATGTAGTGATGTCATATGCTTTATCTAATTGGTCGTGACTGCATGCAGTGGCAACGACATTGTCTATAGTGCATAATGCGACGAGAATTCAATCAATTTTCCCTGTTATTGAAAGCTTTTCTTCCCATTTGTTTTTCGCTTTACCTTCAGTTGTTATTATTTTCTCAAAACAATTTGTACTAGTCACGTCTCTTTGATTTATCGTGTTTCCCTGTTGCTTACTATTTCCAAAAGCTTGATTTAAGAAAAAGTAAAGCATTAACTGGAGGGTTCCAAATATTATTGTGGTGATTCTTAGCTCTTATAGAAAATTTCGAGTTTTGAACGAGCAATACATATATAACCACAAATTTTATGTTTATAAGAAGTTACCACTAAATAGTAAATAAAAAATAACATTTCCTATAAATTTAAACCCTTTTGTAAACTTAATTTGTGAGACATTTTTGAATGCTGATGGTAACTATATGTAGCAAGAACCTCTTTGTCAACAAAAAAAAAAAATGTATCAAGAACCTACAATGAGATATTTCGAGACTTGCCTATATCTATATGATACATATATAAACTAAAGTGTATAAAATATAGTGCATTTGATAATTTGATCATCTAATTAGGTGGGAAATATCGGTAAACATTACCACTAACAAAAAAAAGAAATTTCCACTAATCCAAAAAGGAGAAATTGACAACAGCAGAAACTATCTTTAAGTGAAAAGAAAAAATCATATCTTTGACCCAAAAAGAGGAAATTAACTATTGTTCTAATAATGTCATCTTTACAAGGACAGAAAACTATTGGTCTAATAATGTCATCTTTACAAGGCTTTTGATCATCAATGAGAAAAAATTCTAATTAATACTGTGATCATTCATGGATTACACACACAATGTTAATACATAGTAGAAGAGATATTCGGAGTTATAGGAATTTAGAGGAAAACATTTGTTGTTGATGATGTGAATCATAAACATTGAAAATGGTTGGACTGTTCTTCTTTGGAGTTCGAGACCATGGAATATAACATAAGCATTATATTGATCTCCTCACAGTTCAACGTATTACGTACAAAATAGGATACAGAACTGTCTATACAAGTCTTCAAGATATCATCACATTTCTCTATACAGAAAACGACTCAACAAAAGATCGAATCGCCACACTTTATTTTTTTAATCTTTGGTTCTATTTTCTTCAAGTCAAAATTGCTCTGAGTCTTGTTATTGTTGTTAAGGTTTGTCATGGAGGCAAATTCACGAAAAAAGATGCTTCCCTAGAGCTGTTTACAGTACCTGCCTTGTGCTTCTCAAGAGCTGTTTACAAAAACATAACGTTGGGCCTAGTGGTAAAGGAACGAATGGAGTGTTCGTCTTGGGTTTGATCCGCGTTGGCCACCGAAAAATTTACATGCGAACTTCCTTTGGCGCCCGAGACTAAAGACCGCTACCCAGTCATAACCCACCTTCGGGTGTACGTCCACGCCGCTAAAAGGTTCGGTCTCTAGTGGGGCCGGTGGAATCAGGACACTAAGTTATCAAAAAAAAAAAACATAACGTTTTGAGTACATAACCAAAAGTGGAAAATCACTAACCGCGGTTTAGACTGAACCGGACCAAGTCCGATCTGAATTAGGAAAAACCAAAGTTGACTGAGTCCAACATAATCTTGACTTTATCAGGGGACCCACTTAAAACATTAGCTTCCTTCTCCTTCATCATCATCTCTCTTCTTCCACGAAAGAACAATCGTAAAACAAACGCGTCGAGATCCTTTCCCCAAATTCGAACAAAACCCTAATTTCTCTGTTAGTCTGAATCGAATTCGACCTGATCAACATGGGCAACACAGATAAGCTGATGAATCAGATATTCGACCTGAAATTCACGTCGAAATCTCTGCAAAGGCAATCAAGGAAGTGCGAGAAGGAAGAGAAGGCGGAGAAGCTCAAGGTGAAGAAGGCGATTGAGAAAGGGAACATGGATGGAGCTCGGATCTACGCCGAGAACGCGATTCGTAAACGTAGCGAGCAGATGAACTATCTCCGTCTCGCTTCTCGTCTCGACGCTGTTGTTGCTCGGTTAGATACTCAGGCTAAGATGGCAACCATCACCAAATCTATGACTAATATCGTCAAGTCTCTTGAGTCTTCTCTCGCCACAGGTAATTTTCTATCGTCATTTGGGGGTTTTGAATTTTGATCGTTAATTAGGGTTTAATTAGGCTAATTTGGAGTTTGTGATTATTGGGTAGAGAGAAAGGATTTGTTTTTATGGAAACACATAAGAAAGGTGCATCCTTTAGTGTCTCGATTGCATACTTCTTGTCATAAGAGGAAGCTTTATTGATTTGCGAGTAGATTCATTGAGTTGTATACAACTTTGGGTAGATAGAGAGAAAGGATTTGTTTTTATTGAAAACACATAAGAAAGGTGCATCCTTTAGTATCTTGATTGCTTATTTATTCTCATAAGAGGAAGCTTTATTGAATAGCGAGTAGATTCATTGAGTTGTATACAACTTTGGGTAGAGAGAAAGAATTTGTTTTTATGGAAACAGTGTATCCTTTAGTTTCGGTTGCGTACTTCTTCTCATAGGAGGAAACTAGCATGAGGGGTAGAGATTGATGGTTTTTATCATTTAATGATCGGTTTGAGTACTAGTTCTCTGCCTGTTATTGTGCTTCTAATCATTGATTAGGGTTTAGTTTATGCGTTTCGTTAAGTTTTAGTTATGGTATCTTAAGCTAGTGTGGAGTTGCAGGATTCTTATTGGTTAGAGAGAAAGGTTGTGTTTTTTTGTGTGGAAAACATGTAAGAAAGGTGTATCCTTTAGTCTTGGTTGCATACTTCTCATAAGAGGAATAGTATGTAGGTTCATTGAGTTGTATACAACTTTGTGTTCTTATCATTAAAAGATCGGTTTTGAGTATTGGCTCTACTTGTTGACGTGCTGCTATGCTAATCATTAAGAGATAGGTCTATCAATGATCGGTTTTTTAAGTTTATGCGTATTCGTGAAGGTTTAGGTATGACATTTTAGGCTAATGTGGAGTTGCAGGATTCTTATTGGGTAGAGAGATAGGTTTTGTTTTTATGAATACACACAAGAAAGGTGTACTTCTTTTTATAAGAGGAAACTAGCTTGAACGGTATTCATTGAATTGTTTACAACTTTGGGTTCTTATCTGTTTATTGATTCTCTTACCAGGCAATCTACAGAAGATGTCAGAGACGATGGATTCATTTGAGAAGCAGTTTGTGAACATGGAGGTCCAAGCTGAGTTCATGGAGAACGCCATGGCTGGTTCAACATCATTGTCCACTCCAGAAGGCGACGTCAACAACCTGATGCAGCAGGTAGCAGATGACTACGGTCTTGAAGTCTCTGTTGGACTACCTCAGGCTGCTGGTCATGCCATCCCTACTGCGACAGAGGAGAAAGTTGATGAGGATGATTTGACCAGGAGGCTTGCTGAGCTCAAGGCCAGAGGATGAATCAGCTAACCAACTACCATGCTTGGTCCTTATCAAAATGTTACAGCTATTATCTGCCAACACTTGCGCATTTGTGTATATTGCTCACTTTGAGACATGCTTTTTTTACTAACTTTATATAAAACCTTCGTGTGTTTTCTTGTATTTACCATTTCTATGATATGATTTCGATATGAGTATGTGCAACAAAAAAGTAATATCCTTATTCACTGAGTTTAGTGTAATACTGTATGCAGAAATATTATATTATTGGCAGAAGGCCTTATCATGCTACCATTCTTGTGAACCAGTGAATCTTCTTTCTAAGCTTGTTGATCACTTTGGTTGATTTAGGGCGTGAGAGATGGAAGCCGATGGAGTCAAGGTACCAGCCGCTTCTACCGTTCATGCCAACAATGCGTCCTCCATTCACTGAGAAAGTGAAAGGTGTTCCTTGTTCAACTCCATAAGGTCCGTACACTTGTTTATTGCTCTTGAAGGTCATTGATCTGATCACAGGAGTGCCACCGTGAACTACTGGACAGTAGTAACCACTCACGCCAATCAGATACTCTTCTGGGTACTGCAGCTTTATCTGCATAAACACGGCTTCATGTAAATGAAACCAAAATCTAAGAGAGGAATGTAAAGAAACATGATCCAGAGTAAGAGGACATTACCTCTGTTGTTTTGTTGCCTCCCTGTCCTCCATGCTTCTCTGAACGTACAGGTTTACCATTCTTATCGTAGACCAGCGAGATGGAGTCAATGCAGTGATCATAAACAAGTTTGATCTCACGGACACCATGATAGATCCCGTCGTCCCAAGCAGTTCCTCCATTTCCTCCCCAGGGTCCTATGAACACAGTCAGATTCTTATCATCACCCTGTTGTTGTTGATCCATGCGTCTGTCCTGCTGTTTAATTGTCAAACTTACTTTGTAAACAAGATACAAGGGAAGATGCTAAAGAAACCAAAGTTTTATAACAAAGAGGAAGCTGCTATTAATCTGTTACCATCTATGAAGAACACCACACTTCTTTTTTGCTGCAGCAGAGGCTTTTCAGAATTCAAATAGGTTGTAGATTGAATGATTGATACATAAACAAGAATTGAGTATTTAGCTACTGCAAATTGCACAACACACATAAAAAAGAGGACAAGTGATGAAGAGGACAGCTTCACAGGAAGGTATTGGATTCCAAGGCAGCACTGAATGAGGATGATAGGTCTACGTCTGATTGTCTTATCATCCTTTACCGAAAGAACAGGTAGATTCCAGAAAACTTCAAGAAGAGACATTTACATGGAACATATTCCAAAAGTGTTCATAGAGCCAAAAAAGATGCAAAATATTGCCTCTTGTTATCACAGGACAATATGAACATGTCATTTGGTTTCTGATACAGTAAGGCTTGAACTTTACTATAATAGCTACTCTGAGCAAGATCGGCTATTGATCATTACATGTCGCTCCCGCTGTTCAAATCAACATGACTCTTGTATAGGCTATTATTACATGAATCAACTAGAAGAGTCCAATGCAAAAAAATGAACAAATGAATAGACTTATAGTAAAAGCACCTGATAGAAAGATACACTTGAACATACAGCAAAAGAATCAGTAAAGTAAACTAGAAAATGCTATCAAGCTCATCTGAAAAATCACTAGTATCTCATTCTCTCTTTCAGCATCTTCAGACCCATGTACCTGCGGTTATAGTTATATTCAAAATTGTTTTTACTCTTACCAAAAAGCTTTGGTAATGAATTAGATTGTATGAACTTAAAACAGTTTTGTACCTTCCAAGCATCATCAAGGTAGCTTGTGGATTAGTCCCTGGAGAGATACTGAACGTTGATCCATCCACAATTCTAAGAGAATCAACACCAATAACTTTGAGATCAGAGCTCACTACTTTCCCCACAACGCAGCCACCATGGTAATGCCAGATCGTACTCACAGTCCGTCTACAAAAGTCAGCCATCACCAGATCATTCGTTTGGTCCAACGGTAACGGAACTCCAACGAACCTAAACCTATGACTCCCATACCATTCCCTAACCATAAAGTCCTCCATAGCACGGCTCCTGAGTATCTCACCAATCTTCCTAGTCCCATTCACACATCTCTCCAAATCCTGTGGATCACTAAAGTAATTAAACCTAACAACCGGGTTAACCCTCACATCCGTTGAAGCCAACCTTAACGAACCAACAGACACTGGACCTAGAATCTTCTCCATTATAGTTGTCACAGGAACATACAAGGGAGAAGCTGGAGCTCTGATAAAAACAGAATGTAAAGGAGACGCAAACGGAATCACATTAGAAGCAGCTTCAAGAAAAGCACCGTCCTCAGTAACACCAACAACTTGTATCAACGAATTCTCCATCGGAACAGGAGGTACAATAGAGATCCCATTCCTCGGGTTATCATACACAAACCCTCCCACATCAGGCTGGTCAACAGCCACAGGGATCCCCCAAGTCGAAAGATAACTCCTCGGACCAATCCCACTAAGAAGCATCAACTGTGGACTACCAAGCGAACCAGCTGATAATATCACCTCTCCTCTCTCCCGTATCATCGCGTGATGGTACCTCCCAAGCTCATCACGATACACAACTCCAATAGCAGAGACATTGGTCCCTGAATCATCATCATCACTAAGCAAGACTCTCTCCACAGTAGCGTAAACCGCTACTCTAATATTAACATTCCTCGCGTATCTAAGAAGATCAACAGAGCTGTGTCTCCTCCCTGAACGATCAAAAGTGGTCCCACCGATCTTAGTCCCAACTCTATGCTCCAACGTGAATCCGTTAAAAGGATGCACACCAACCTCAATCAACGCGTCTCTAATAGCAGACTGCCACGTCATAAGCTGAGGTCTAAACACAATAGCTCTCTCCACCCACTCATAAGACTGATTCACACTCTTCAAATCCCAATCAACACCTGAATTCTTAAAAAACTCTCTGTCAGCTCTGCTGTAGAACCCCGCGTTGATCGCGCTGCTTCCTCCGAGGACGCGTCCCCTCGCGTTGGGGACGCCTTCCTCGGAGACGAAGGACTGAGCCGGGGAGTCGAAGCTGTTGACGTCTGTGAGCGTCGTCAAGAAACCGTCGTGTGTCATCAGGTTGGGGATTGCGTAAGGGACGCCGCCGCGTTCGAGGAGGAGGACGCGGGAGGATTGGGAGAGCGTGGCGGCGAGTGGACATCCCGCCGTGCCTCCGCCGACGATTATGTAGTCGTAGTATTCCTCTGAGGGGAAGTCGGTTGCGTTCGTCACGAATCGCATGAAATTGAGATCTGCAAAGTATCGAGTCAGAGAAGCATCTAATTACAGTAAAGAAAACTATCGATCATCGTTTTTCTTGGAGATTTTCCGGGAAAATTCTGGGGGGGGGGAACTTACGTCGAGTAGCGCGTGGTCTTGCGTTAGAGAGAGAAGCTGATCCAAGAAGGAGGAGAAGCACGGTGTAGAGAAGATAACAGTCCATTCTCGCTCTTCAGAGCTTCTCGGAGAAGAAAGAAAATTGAAATTTTCCCGGGAAAGAGAGGATGTTTTTGTCAGTTACAAGTTTTCGCGGGAAAGAGAGGGATATTTGTCAGTTACAAGTTATGAAAAGAAGATTCGTAGTTATTGAGTGATTATTATTGAGTGTTTCTCAGCTCTTGAACGTATCGGTGTATCTACGATATAAAAGAACTTATAGACATCGATGATAAGTAGATCACTAGATCGAGTAGAGAACGGTTACTAAAGAGAGCTTATCATGAACCTAGCCGCAGTGGATAATAGCCTTTCATGGCCGTTAGCACGGTTAAATGAAAGCAATGCAGGCGGCCCATAATGTTAATATGGGCCTAACTAAGGCCCGTTATTTGAGAGCGTGTTTTCCGACTCGTTAATCAATTATCAAATTTAACAAAACTGTTTTGGAATATTTTTTGCCGTCTTGTCGGAAATGAAGATAGGGGCGGTTCGGGAGTGTTGGCTTTTGCGAACTCCGGTAACTCCTCCGGCGGTTCGTGGCTTTATTCGCCGGAATGAAAAGCCGCAGCAGCTCGTGTTCCCTCTCTCGAAGAGTGAGCTAAGCTCTTCACTTTTCATTTATAAAATTTTAAACTTTTTTTTTGTAAAGCTTCTCTTCTTTTATGTTAGTTTAGTACATTAGTAGTGATTGTAGAAGATAAAGTTCAGTTCTTTATTGAAAATCCTTACAGTTTCCTTGTGGGTTTCGTGTTGTTCGGTCTTGTTTGGTTTCTAGAAGAGTGTCTGATTAAAAAAGGATTTGGATTTTTGTTTTCAGGGTTGTTTCGTGGTGTGGTAATGGCGGTTCATGGAGGGAGAGGATATGAGTCTCCATGGGATGAGAAACCTTATGAAACTCTTCCCACTGGAAAAAAGATTTACGTTGATGAATCTGATGTTGTAACGTTTCTTGATCCTCCCAAGGAGTTGATTCCGTTGGACCCTACTTCATATAACCCAGCTGCTTATCTCTGGTTAGTATGCTTGTGTGTTTATTGAGTTTTAGGATTGATTCAGTCTAAGAAAGATGGCTTTGCATATCTACAATAGTCACTAAACTACTCCAGTGATATCTATATTACATAGAATGGAGTTTGTTTAGGTAAATATCTGCAGCTTCAGTTTGCTGTTTTTCAAACTTGCCTGCGATGTATTGTTTAGTTAGTATCTGGATAACTAATGTATGATATAGGATGTTGTATATCTCAAAGCAAGTAGATAAAATGACACCACTTGATAAAGTTATATTTAACTGTTAGATTTGACATCTTGTAAAACAGTAAGATAACTGTTTGATAGAGTTGATACTGCTGTACAGGAAAAAGATTGAAGATATCCCTGAAGAGAGGCGCCACCGCTTGCTGCAATTTCTAGAGCCAAGGTTATTTTTTGCTGGATTCTGATCTATATTTAGTTTTTGAGTCATGTGGTTGTTATACGTCTCTATGAAACGATTCGTGCATGTTTTGGAATGTACATTGGTTTTCACGAGAGTTATTATCTAAGCAGGCTTGTAACAAGAGCGTGGGAAATAGCAGGCGCTCGTTATGAAAATCCAAAGTTAGCTAAAATGACTGCATCCAAGCTGTTCTCTACAGAAGGAGATGTTGAAATATCACTTGAATACTTTAACTGCCGAACAAGTAATGGTAATAATCTATTTTAACTCTGAGTCTCTACAAATAAAAAATGGTTTTGCATGTTGATGTTTATATTCTTGACAGCTTCTCTTATTGTCTAGGTCCACTAATGATATCCTGGATAAATTCATTCAAGATGGTAAGTCAGACTATGCCTATTTCATTCTGCAGCATCTTATCCTTTGCTATCTTTCTTGACATAAGATTGTATGTTCCTTGGTAGGCTTTGTTTTCCTCCAACAACGGTCAGATCTATGGGCGTGTTTGTGGTGAGCCCTTATCCAATTAATGTTTATTTTATCCAATGTTTCGATTTTTAATCGCCTGCTAGACCGATTTTTAGAACACTGGTTATTTGTTATGGCTGTTTTTAAGCCTTTTTTTCAAGTGGTGAATGATTGTCTATTGCTATATATGTTTAACTAATATCTCTAGAAATGCCATCATGCAGGTGGACCAATAGTCTCAACTATTGCCAATGCTTTCAGCCCACTATACTTTGAGGTTACAGAAGCTATGGAAGTTATGGCCACAGAAGAACCATGCGACATAGCATGCAGATTTGGTGATGGGCTTCTTGCTATTGAAGATTACCCACAAGGGTTCCCTCGACCAAGTAAGAGATTCATTGCTTAGTTTAAGCCGTTTCAGTCTTCACTTGCATCACACTACACATTATCAGTTATCAATAGCATAGACAAGAGTGTCTCCAAACTCATTGCTTCATATGTTTATTCTGACTTTCGTTTAATGTTGCAGCCAAGCATCCTTATCCATTCGACGACAGTGTGGTGATATACATACGACATATAGGTCCAGGTGTATGCGTAGGACAGGCATGGCAAGAAGGTAAAGAACTGCAACAAGTTCCTCAAAGATTGTGCTCCGACATTCTTATGGTCAAACAATACAATTGAACTTTAAGGAGGCTTTTTGTTAATTTAGTTTCACATTAGCTTGAAGAGCCTTTTTTGTTATTTTGTTTAAGAAGCTTTATCTTAGCGGTATAAAAGCAGAGGAGTTACAACATAGCTTATAATTATCTGAAACCAGTAACTATATCATTGATCATGAGAACACTCATCTTATCCAGTCAGGTATAATAACTAGGAATGGGAAAAACAACTTTTAACTGGATTCTGAATAACTTGTGAAGCTGTAAGCTGTTAGATAGCGATCACGTCTAAGTAACCAGGTTTTTAGGAAATGGTTATCTACAGACACAAGTAAGCAGATCAAGTTGGAGAAAATCATCACCGGTTCAATGTTTTGCCTTGTCCTTTACCTCCCCAGATACCTATGCATCCGAGCAAAAAAAATGAAGGGTATAGTTACAAATACACAAGATAGCATTTATAGACAATTACAAACCCACACATCATATCATCAAATGTGAATGAATTTTAGCATACAAAAAAAATATATATATTGGAGTGGAATAGAATCCACACTCACATCTCCCTATGTATATTATGGCCAAACCCATGCCTCTCTGTGGTCATCTCCTCCATGTCCTCTTCTTCTAATTTTGGATCCTTCCTCTAAAACATATACGTATTATTGTGTTGAATACTCAAGTCATATTGGGCTTTTAATCTCAAGTTATTAAAAAGCCCATATATAGCCCATTATCCACTTGTTTAAATAACAATTAATAAAAATGAAGAAAATCTTAAAACCCACCCTTAAAAGATCTTTCGTATATAAATAAGCTTTTTTTTTTTTTTTTTGTCACAATAAGCTTTAATATATTATTTGTGTGATGATAATGATTCTGTTCAGGTTTTGTCTCGTATGATCATCATAAGTTATGTTGTAGTCTCCTTCTCCTCCTTTACTTTCTCAGGTAATAATTATTCATCTCTTCCCTTCCGTCTTTTCAATCTATGTTTACTTTCAAGTTTAGGGTTTATCTCTTTCAGCTCTGTTCATCAGAAAGTCTCCTTCTTTTTATGTAATTCGATGCGTATACGAGTTTCTCTGTATCAGTGATCTTCGTGCTGCTTTGATCACACACTCGAGAGAGAGACTTTTGTCTATAGTGTTTACTTAATTGAGAACATAGCTAAATTACTCATCTTCAGGGTTTTTTTTTGAGCAGTTTCTAAATTGGGACTTGTCCTTTTGTTGTTGTTTAACACTTTTATCTTCTTTCCTTATTGAGATGATGTTCTTACATAACCAAAATTTGTATCTTTTTGTGTGTTTGATGTTTGCTGCATAGTTTTGTAGTGTAAGCAATGGCTCCAGCATGGTTTGGTAAAATCTACAACAAGCTTGAAACGTTACTTGTGGAGGTGGACACTTTCACTTCACAGGTACTAAGTCCTCTCTTTGTTCCCATTCTTTGATTATTATCATGTTCTGTCTAAGATGTTTGAGTTGTTTCTTGTATGTTGGACAGAGCACTCTTTGTTTGAATTCAAGTGATCCTTCTGAATGGGAATCTGTAAGAGGTGAACCTGATGAATTTGTGGAGGATCTTTCTTCTGATTTGCAGCAACACCATGATCGTCTTGCTTTACCTAGCTGTGAGAGTCCTTCTGATCCACCATCACATCAGAACTTTGACGTTTCAGGAAATGTTAAGGTTGAGAAACAAGTAGAAGAGGATATAGTGAATGAGGATTTATCAGTCTCTTCTTCGTCTTCTGATGGAGAAACGCTCTCTGGAGCTTCTTTGATCCATGAGTACTGTGATGGTACTCTAACATCAGCCACTAAACATGGTGATGAGGAGTCTCTGATCAGTAACAGTTTGACTACTACTCAGAAAATTTCTTCTGGAGAAGCTTTGGTTTTTCCAGGGGAGGAAATTGTAGAAGAAGTTAGAGTTGAATCTTTCAGAGATTATGTTTCCACAGGTTCTCAATCTACCCAAAGTTGGGGAGAAAGTTTTGGGACTTTAATAGAATGTAGAGATGACCTTAGGATCTCTATGGATGATACAAATCTAAATCCAACCGACACAAAGAGTTCAGATGAACCTGTTGAAGATAATGTGTCAAACATGAGATCCTTTAATGATGGTTGGTACTTCACTGTCTCGTTTCTCTATTGTTTGCTAGAAGTTTTAACTATTATCTGTACCTGTTTTAGTATTTGTTTGCTAGAAGTTTTGGACCCTCTAATTGTAACATGTGCAACTCTTTCTTTATTTCTGTAGATAATCCAGATGATGTGATTCATGACATGTCTGATACAGCTCCATTGAATACCAAAGAATTATCCGGCATGGTATTTCAAGAAGGCCCCTCGTATGTTGACGACAATGAACTCTATGCACTTCATGTTAGGACCAAGAAGCTCAGATCAGTAAAGGTTCCTTGCTTTCTCTTAGATATATATGTCTGTTGTTATAAACCTGAAACCTATTGCAGTTCATTCTGACTCATTTGAGACTCTAAATTTGGCTTCCATCATGGTCTTCTAACTTTCACCTCTTTTGATCACCATCAGAGAAAGATATTGGATGCTTTAGCTACAAAAAGAATAAGAGAGAAGGAGTATGAGCAGCTTGCAATTTGGTTTGGAGATGCAGATATGGGTTCTGATCTGGTCAGTGAAGACTCTGAACACAAAGAAGCTATAGACTCCAAAAGCTCACAGGTACTTGAATCGGAAGATTCCCACTGGGAGCTATTGTGAGAAGTCATACTCACATCATTTAGTACAAGTTAAAACTAGACCTTTGTATAGTGAGACTCATTTCACTTTATTAAAACATAAACGAGCTAATCTGCTCTGAGATGCAAACTTTTTTGTTGACAATGAATAACCAAAAGTTTATCCTATCTAAAAATGGTAAAAACGTCATGTTGTTGAGCTCTGCACACCCCTGAGAAGGGGATCAGAAGTTATTATTTCGATGACTGCGTAGCAAATATGCGTAGAGAATCTCGTTCCATGTATCAGGAACTCCAGGCAAACACCAGTGGATGCAATCTCCATAGTTTTTAGGATCAGCTCTCTGTTCCTTTGTCAAAAGCTTCCCTCTCCGTTCTCCATACACAGTCGTATGTCCATCTTTCCTGTATTCTGACAATTGTGTAATGTTCAGGAGCGTTACTTTGTCTCCAACTCTGTTTACAACGTCACCAACTATCTTCATGATGTCTTGATTCGATCCTGTGCCCCAGTATGATGGTTTGTCTATTGGATATAACTCATTATAACAGGTTCCATCGCTCCCTGGATTCCACTCCCAGCTCCTGCCAAGATCACACACCCAAATCACTCAACCCGAATTAACCGAAACCGCAGGCTTAGAACATACCATAGATGAGTGGGAGACATGCTCGTGAAGAAAACTCTTTGCTTCACTGGATTGATCTTCTTTTCTAACCACTTGGCCCATGTTTCCAACGCCATTTTATAAGCAGTGGTCACATTATACTCTTGGACTTTACTAGTATCTCCACACCTGCATATATATAGATATAAATTTTCCTGCTAGGCGTTTGAATGCAAGCAACTTTGATCAAGCGTTATTCTGCTTACGTTGCATTGATCTTAGGTTGATGCATCCACCAAACATAACTCTCAAAGACTAGAACATCTACACCTTCCCAGCTCTTGCTATGTTTCTCAATAGCGTCGAGGTTAACCAACCTTTTGTGTACTGTATGATTAGTTGCATGATCTGAAATCGATTCCACTATGAAAGGTGCCCAGTAATACTCTATAGACACATTGTATTCCTGATCATACATTTAATATAATAAATGATCATACATTCCTGATCATACATTTGATTCTTTTGACTAGGAGTATGTGTGTGTTTTATGTACCTCAGCTTTGAAGATCTTCATAGGAGATCTCCTGTGAAAAGACTTCTTGTTGTCAGGTATTACTGATTGTACCATACAAATCATTGACTCAAACGTACTTCTCTGCACTGAGTCTCCTATGAACATTAGTCTTTTGTCTCTCAACACGTCCAAAAGTTTCAAAGCATCAAATCTGAAACATCACATAGATTACTATCTAAGACCATGAAACCAACACATGTTTCTTTTCTTATACCTGGGCAAGTCACATTCGCTAGGTTGCCATCTCCAATTCTGGTAAGAAGAATCAGGCCGTCCGTTTCGTTGACATGTTGTTTGTTTCACCAAATAAGGACAGCTCTCTTCTGTATAAAGAGGGTATGAGACATTGTCCCAAACCCATTGTCCTTCAAAGACGTTACAGCTCTCATTAAGCTGATCATCTTTGGTGACGAACACTGCAGGTTTCTGTTTGAAGCCATAGAGGTTGAATATCCGGCTCTTGTTGCTCTTGAGTTCATCAAGGATCCATCTCGCGGATCCTATGACTAGAAGACTAATAAGCACAAGCTGGAAGAAGGATTGAATCATCCGTGAATCTGCAGATGCTTGTTTCGACATCTAAAAACAGACTCAATGGACTTCCTGCTGTTGAGTTCATGAATAACATGTTGGGTGTTTGAAAGAAGCGAGTAACTTCACATACAAGCATCAACTTTGTTCCATATAACCACCAGTTGGTGAACTTTCTACATTAGGTAGCATGTCTTTTTTTTTTTGTCTATCGGTTTAAAATAGTGATATGATTAAAGACAATAAAAACAATTAAGAAGTACAGAACAAGCCTGTTCGATTGATGACAAGGCTGAAACAAAACACTTGAACTGTTTTTTTTCCACTTTTTGTACAGTTAACAAGAACCTTAATACAGAACAATTCGATGTGGACGAAGTTGGAACAAAGGGCAACCTAGCTTTGCTACTGAAGCAGATGAACCAAGTTTGAAACTGACAACACCATGTCTCCCACCTATGCTAAATACTTTCACAGTCTTGGTTAATTACCGGTGTCACTGTCAGAATCTGCACAGGGAAATAGGAAAGTAAGTAAACTGGTTTGGAAACGTGATGCTGATAAAAGGAGAAGAAGGGTAAACAAGTTTCAACAATTACCACTAGAAGAGCCTGATCCACTACTAGAACTGTTAGAACTATTTGATCCACCAGAATTTACTTGTCGAACTGGAGATGCTACATGACCTAAAATGTCAAAAACAAAATTAAAGTAGAGTTATTGCAGTGAGGCTAAAACACTAATATAGTACTAAAGAACTAAAATCTCACCTAATGATGTGACTTTTGGTGATTCAGGGCCAGTTACTAGAGTGTTCTGTGAACAGGAAAGAAGAAACATGATATCATTAGAATCTAGATACCAGTTAATACGATCGAAGTAAGAGAGCTCTCACCGGTTCTTGGACACTGTTGTGAACAGATTCAGCTTCTCTTTCCGAGCCCAACCTCTGATCTTCCTTTTTCTTACCCAAGCTCTCCTTATAAACAGTCACAAACCTGTAAAGCTCCCAAAGCGTTTCAAGATCAAGACTATCAATATCCAACTCAATCTCATCGTCTTGCTGAGTAAGCTCCGGATTCCTCTTCTTTATAATCTGAACAACTTCCTCTAACTTATCAAAAGGCAAATCCTGAAGGTCTTCACTAAGTTTCCTCTTCTCCTCAAACATCAAATCCCTATTTCCAGACACCTCTTCCACCTCACACTTCTCAGGAGGAGAAACAGTTAAAGCTACAGGCTCTACTGGATTTTTCATAGACTCTGCTCTCTCCAAAGTCCTATCTTCAACTATTACAGGAGGTATAGAAGCTAGTTGTTGCCTCATACTAAGACACTGATACTGTGTCTCAACCGGGGCCCACTTCTCTTCAAACAAGTTCAACAAAAACTCAGCCATACGATGCACATCATGCCCCACAGGGTTATACAACAACGCATTGTTAAAAGTAAGCCTCACATCCTCAGCAAACTCCAAAGGAGACTCATACAAACCCTCACTCAACCTACTCTTAACCGTCCCTAAATCCATAGGCTCCTTAACTATACTATGATAATCATGTAAACCGGATTTAACCGCATCAACCGGAGCATTGAAAACCCATCCAAACTTATGCTTCATCAGCTTCGTCAGCAAGTTATTACAGCTCTTCAAAATCTGAACTTTACCCTTGTCCGAAGCTCCCTTCTTACCACTGTTTGCCGTTTTGAGCTTCTTGTCGGGGACAGTCTCGAGGCGGTTCATCAAGTTTCGGACTTTTTCGAGCTCTGAGGTTAGTTTCCGCTTCAAGTTTTTGACTTCAAGATTCGAAATTGAGTTGAGATTTATCTTCTCCGGCCTCACCTCCGTCGTGGGCTTTGATCCTTTGTCGCTAATTTCGCTCCGTTTATGCTTCGTCTTCGAGATTGCGCCAGACGCCATTGCCTCTGGAATTGGGAAATTTAGGGTTTTTCTTTAGGGTTTATCACGGGAAGTGAGAGGATTGAAGATTTGAAGGAAGGAATTGAAGATCGGTGAGGTGAAATGTTTAGGTTAGGATTGTGATTTTGGGGGAAAACGAAACCCTAGGAAGCTATTGTGAGCCGAGGATTGGGGAATACGCACGCGCTTTAGTCCACACGCGCGTAAAGAGCGCGAGAAGCTAGGGGGAGTGATACATGTGTAAAGTTGTGACGGAGTGTAATAACGCTTACGTGTCGTTAATAAATGCTGAACCGGAATTAACCGAGTCGAAATTTCATCCAAATTGAAAAGGCATATAAAACAACATGTTTATTGGGGTAGCTTAAGAAGGTTGCTTAATGATTTTTTAAATATTGGCCCCAAAATAGTTAAGCAACATTGTTTAAATTACTTAATCAAACAATCCAATTTAGGTGTTGTTTGTATTATTTACGGATCCTACTGATACGTGACGACCTGCGATTGATTTATTATTATTATTATTATTTTAAAAAAAAGCAGAAGAAAAAAAAAAAAAATTAAGCAACTCATTTTAGGATACCTCCTAATAAACCTGCTATAAAGCCATGTGAAACATCGAATTCTGGTATAAAATTTCGAGAAATATACAAATGTTAACCAAATAATTATCTTCAATAGTTGCAATCTAATTAACAAAAACAAGAAATGAAAATCCTTGAGGCACTGCAGTGTGCATTATTGCACTGTGGTTGCTTACAGATGAGCATTTTGGGTATACGTATTAATCTTATATAGAAAAACCTTTTCATTGATTTTGTATATGTTATAATAAGTTCTTTTGTAACAAGGTACTTGATTTCTTGCAGTATACAGGTTAATACTCGTTCATGTACACAATATACACACTTGCAAGTTTTGGTGAATCCTGTAACGAAATCAAAAGTACTGTTTATGTATTATCCGGTTTTGTAAATTTAATAGTTGATAGAGCCCATTATGTTATCTTCAAATTAGAGACGTTGACTTCGAACTTTAAAAAAGGTCTAATTTCATTAAAACCAAATCCTTGTTTTCCCTTGCGTGTTTTCTACTTCAATCACTATCTTATCTCTCTTTTATATATGTTTTATTGGTGGAATATGATGAGAAATAGCATAAATCATATATACTTTTCAGACACAATTTTAAATCATATATCTACACGAGCCATTAGAGAATTAAAGACAAGATAAATTAAATTATTGCAGTCTCATTTTTGTACTATTTCTTTATCCTTTCTTGTTATATACTTTATACCCTAAAGTCCTCTCTAGTTTGGACTAGACCAAGAGGTCCAAGCCTAGTATATACTATAATAGAATGTATAGGGTACGTAAGGCATGCACCTCACCATTCATAAAATGTGTGGTGAAAAGATACATTAATTTATTTTGGTTACACCGAACGAACAAACAAGGCTACATACAAAACGGATCAATATGTGTTCTCGATCAAGAAAATGAAGAAGAAAAAAACATCCATGGAACTTTAAGTCTACGAGAGTTCGTACTCAATGATGACGAGGATCAGGACCTCCAGGGCTAAGTCTCATGGACTCATTAAAACCTCTCTCCATTAGCTTTTCCATATTAGCTTTCAACACTTCTTCTGCTTCTCTCATCATACGCCCTCGTCTACTTCCATCTGCGTTTGCGAAACGCTCCTGCAGCGGCCGAGATGCTGATGACCACGACAACGAAACGCAGATCAAGAACAAACACACCCAAAATTTTAAGTTAGCCATGTGTTATGTGCTGATTAATAATTGAATATGTATAAGGTGTTTATATGTTTTATGTAAAAATGATGTACGTTTTTGCATCACACGCGTGAGACATTTATATAGAGAATGGCGTTGGGATTATGAATCTCACTGAAATGATAATCTTTTTGCCGTATATTATAAAATAGATAAGGCGGTCGTGAAAGCCAGTTTATAATTGACGAGTTTCCAACTTCTGCAAAGTGCTTCGAGGGCACATGCACTTACAATACCTATATATTATTTTTGTCAACATATAATGATAAAAATATATTAAAGTAAGCTCTATATGTATCCACACATACTTTGTATAGTTTTATGTAAATATAAACTAGGTTACTGTTAGACTATGGTTAACCCGAAGTTTTTAAGACGGAGTTTTTAGCGGAAGTTAAGAAACTGTTTTTTTAACTTTTAACTAAAAATGTTAAGAACCGGTTCTTAAAGTCCTTATTTAATAATCGGTTCTTAACATTTTTAGTTAAAAATTAAGAAACAGTTTCTTTACTTTCGTTAAGAATCCCGCCTTAAGAACCGGGGGTAATCATGCTCTTAGTTCTTACATCTGTGTATGATAAGTAAAATAGAAGATGTGAAACTTTTTTAAAAATGCGAACGGTTTATAATTAAACTGTAAATTATGTATATAATATATATGATGAACAGTTTAAGAAAAAGGTGAAAATACTTAGATGACATGTGTTTAAACTTTCTAAAGTACTAGCGCATGTGAATGATGACATGAGTTGTTAACTTATCTAAACCAGTTGATGATATAAAAAAAAAAGAAAAATATGGGGGACAAATGTGAATGGGCTGATTATTTAAAATTGCTGTAGCAAAGAGTCGAGAAAAGCCATGTGGCTAACTTTTGCCGCCTTTTTTTTTGGGTTGGCCTTTGATTAGCTGACCATCTACGAGTTGTCTAACGTAAGTCCAAAGTAAAGTGCTCTCAGTAATGTGTTTTGATTAAAATTTGATTCTATCGACTGAAAATAACAGATGCTACAAAGAAAATAGTGTTTTTATTAGTATGCATAATCAACTATAAATCTCTCTATAATATGTGCATGCATGTATTGATTATAGATTATAAAGAACTTAGAGAATATTCATGAGTGAGGTCCAAATCACTAAAGCTTCGTTCTAAAGTTTTCTTTGGAGTCAAGATGAGAGTAAGACAAAGTTAATCACACTATATGTTATTAGATTACTAGCGGAAACGGTTTTGTTTTTTTTCTTGTGGATACAAGCTGGCACTTTAATTTATAGAGTAAGTGAAGCACCATTTCGAAGCCGAAAGAAAAAGTGAATTAAACACTAACTACAATTCAACTACTAATGAAGAGAGCAGTATTGACAAGCAATACCTAATTTTTTAGACTTATAAGAATTTACAAAACAAATAATATAGATTGAATATACGAGAATCTTAGATTGTATATTTGAGAATACGACTAACATAGATAGTCGTTTAGATACTCAAGATCTTCTTATACTATATGTATGCTGTTTTGATTGGGTAATCAAAATATGGAATTTATCAGGTTACAAATTAAATAGCTAATAATACAGTATATGTATTTTACTTGTGTGTTATCGATGTAATCCTGCGGAATGACTCATGAGTGGAACTTAAAGTCATTTTTATAGGTTTGTGCAAGATTTTATCAAAATATAAATCCTCTTTAATAACAATGCATTATGCGGAAGATAACACATTGATAACACCATTATGATGGTTACATTTAAACATTAAATCATATAATAAAAACTGAAATACTTTACCACTTGGATCATTACCATAATCAACACCATATTTACATTTTTTTAAAGTAAAAATTCTCCTCCTAACTCATTTTAATTTATTTTCTTCTATACGTCATACGTGTATTCTGTTTACCAAAATACTTATAAACCGCTTACATATATGACATATCATAGACTCATAACAAACACGTATATACAATACAGTGAAACCTCTATAAATTAATAATGTTGAGACTACACCAAATTTTATTTTTTTATTAATTTAAAGAAATATTAATTTATCGATATACTAATTGAACCAGAAATTCAATTTGGGACTATAAAATTATATTATTTTATAGAGATATTTAGTGTATATTAATTTATCAAGTATTAATTTATAACGGTTCTACTGTATAAGTTTCTTAGTTAAATGTCTAGCTTTTAAAAGTTTTATTTTCTAAAGAAAATTATCTATCAATACATTTAACACAAGTATACATACGTGAAATACAGACACCCAGCTATGTTAAACCAAATTTTGTAAAAGTGAAATTTTAATGAGTTTAAATTAATCAAGCAAAGTATAGCCGGCCCTGTCATATGATTAAGGTTGTTAAGGTTTAACTACCTACCTCTAACCGTGGTCCGCACTCATCTGGTCGGCACTTTCTTACATAACGCACTCTAACTCGAGTTATTCTATTGAATTTTTTTCTTCCATTATCATATTTATATTCTTTTGTGTCTAGCGTGTATGCTTATATATCAAATTATATTTTGAACCAAAAATGGATCACGATGGCTGAATGGAAGATAAAGTAAATAAATTTGTAATGACGGTTAGATATGCATAGAGTCACTCATCACAAGTCAAAACTTCAACTTCGTCACCACTTTTTGTAAAGTATTGTTACAAAATGCAGTGAATGTGTCAATTTCTAAAGTCAAAACATTTTTAAAAGAAAAGTGCTATTAGTTTAACTTGTCAACAACCTGCACTATAAGTTCCAATTCAGATAGTGATGCATGGACGACATTAACAACTACTAATTAAAAATATAGTTTTTTCCCCATTTAGTACAGGTTATAAAATAGGGCTTAACAAAAAAAAAAGTTATAAAATAGGGGTTCCATTTAATTTTTGATTTTATTGTGTCACCATCTTAAGTCTAAACTCGTAGGAAATAAGAAAATGAATAATTGTTTGTGTTATCAAGTGAACTTCAAGAAGAAAAACAAAATTAGTTGGACTCAAATTAACGATTAGTAACAAATGGTTCTGTTCTTCGAGACCAAGATTCAAGTTTATTTATAGCCAGTAAACCTTTGAAGTAACAGATATTAATTCGAGACTGATCTACTAAAATTTCGAGATTAATCTAAGCATCATCAATTCATAATACCCAGTTACAATATTCTTTTATATTTGCATTCACAAAGGTCAATGTAATAAACATATAAAGACAAAAACTAGTCAGGCAATAGAGGTAACCTGTCGATACCGTAGGGTAAACCATTAGACTCGTCTGTGACACAACCAAACTCCTCAAGCTCTCCTTCGTTCTCTTCTTCCAACTCCTCTTCCTCCTCATCTTTGTCATCGTCCATACCATAAGGTAGGATCCGTAGATACACCTCATCTCCTCTCCATAATCTTTCTGATCTTAAATTATACTTCCTGACTAGATTCCCTTGAAATGACACGATCTTCCTCGGCCTTGGGAGAAGATCTACTGATTCTTTTTTTGGTATCACTATCCTCTCTATCGCTAATCTTGCTTCCTGCATATTAAACAAATCAGTTCAAAATAGTGGTGCAATGTATTTGTGGTTACTATGAACATGTTATATAACTATGACTTGCTCTTAATGTACCTCTAAGGCGTCCATTTTTTCAGATAGTTTTTGACGATCATCTGAACCAAATTCTCCGAGACCATCTTCATAATCGGTTAGTAACGCCCCTAACGCCTTTGCCACTTGAATGCCGGAACTAGTCTACAAGAAGAAGAGTTTATTTTGGTTAAAGATGCTGAAAAATTTGAAAAGTTGAAGAACAGTCTTGGCTTTTTTTTTTACCTTTGTTACATAAACAGGTATACCGTGAGATGTAGCTAATGATTTAATCCGAGGATTCTTCCTGATTTTGGATTGTAATGCAAGTAAGGCTTCTGCTTCACTAATGTTGTCTGTTATCTCTACTGCAATTTCCATCTCTAGTGTTTTGATTGCTTGAAGGACGGTTGATTCTGCAATCTGTATATGTAATCGTATATTATAACCAAGGACCATTGGTAACATAAAAAGGAATAAGTAATTCTTACCCCATAGACATATAGATACATTGGTGTCTCATGCTCTGAAGACTCTGCTTCAGTATTTTCCTTAGCTGGAAGGACTTCAGAGATAGTTTCATCCTTGTTGACCTTCGAAAGATCTAATGTTTCCTCTTCATGTTTCTTATCCAAAGTCGTCACATCCATTATAGGTTCCTTCTTTTCCATTATCACTTCCACTCCATCAGAGTTCATTTTGCGGATTTCAACCTTAGGTAAGCGACCTTTAAGACAGAAGATGAGATCAAAAGAAGAAGCTCGAATAATATAACTGTTGTTGTATCAATGTAGTTTTGTGTCTATTCTTTGCTTCTATTGACAGTTTGAAGTTGATAAGACAAGAGAGACTACCTGCGAGGACAGCATCAACAGTTGCTTCAAGACTACGATGAACACGAACTTCAGTCTTTGAAACTATCTCTGCACCACATGTAAATGTAGGAGGACCTTTTCTTTCAAGGACAGTCTTTGTGCCACCTCTTCTGGTCGCTTCCTCATCTCCAAGAGTAACACTCTGCCAAAAGATGTTTATTAACATGTCTGAGATAATAAACTATTAAATAATACATATTTACATTATCTTTGAATTCAATATTGGTTTAAATGGTAAATGAACACATAGTGTCTAACCTGTACACCTCCAACGAGGAGGTCTAATGAAGGGTTCTTAATCAAATTCTCTATGGTAGCTCCATGAGCCGTGGCAACTAACTGTATCCCACGCTCTGCTATTGTACTTGCAGCTATTGCTTCAAGTTTAGTCCCAATTTCATCAATCACAATCACTTGAGGCATGTGGTTTTCTACTGCTTCTATAAGTACCTGAACGAAAATCAAATTTAAACACATATAAACATACCCTCTCTTTGTCCATTAAAAACAAAACTAAAACTATCTACTAAACCTTGTGTTGTATGTCAGAGTTAGGTACTTGCATCCGCCTAGCATTACCAATCCCAGGATGAGGTATATCACCATCACCACCAATCTCATTGGAAGTATCAACAATCATCACTCTCTTCTCATAGTCATTCCCTAGCATTCTTGCTACCTCCCTGCAACATCACAAGATCAAAATCACTGGCTATAAAGGAGTAATGATAACTGCTTATTGTGGTTTTACACACACGAACCTAATCATTGTGGTTTTACCAACACCTGGTGGACCAATAAGCAACAAAGAGTTCCCATCTTGGACAAGATCACGCAGCAAATTGGCGCTTCCTCTAACAGATCGACCAACACGGCAAGTTAAGCCAATGATTTCGCCTTTCCGGTTCCTTATTGCACTGATCCGGTGTAACGTCCGGCTGATTCCAGCTCGATTGTCGTTAGTAAACTCACCAACCTGAGAAAACTCATGGTGTTTAAATCCCACACTGAACCAACACTAACACTAATATATACTCTCTCTTTCAAATTAGTTGATATTTAAGGTTTTTACACGCATATTAAAGAATAATTTATTTTTATTCATTTTGCTTCATTTTATATTAATCAGGACTACTCCAACTATAAAAGATCATTCAATATAATGTAACTGGTCAAAAACACCAAATAACTTTAAAGTTTTGCATGAAAATCTGAAAATATCATTTAAATTGAAAGAAAAATGAACTTTAAAACATCAATTAAACTGAAACAAAGAAAGAGTAAAAATACTTCAATCAATTTATTCATAACCAATTGGTTCTCGGTTAGAAGCTAGTGAAACTTAACATGATGTCAGTCCGCGATTGACATATGGATTATTGAGATCCTACAACAGAAATTTAAAGAACCTAACACTAATATATAAGAGACTTGGACCTATCTATTATTACCAATTGATTTTAAGTTGGAAACACTAGAAAACACACAGCTATACAAAAAAATAAAAAAAATCACTCACCAACCTGAGAGACTGCGAATTCAAGATCCTTAACTCTAACGGCTTCATCAGAAATGATAAAATCTCCGGAAGGGAATCGCGCCAGAGGCTTACGACCTAAATCCAACACTACTTCAATGAGTTCACTAACTTCAGGATGCTCCTCCAACCTCCGTCGTATCTCCTCCGGTACCAGCGCCAACATACGGCGTAATTCGTCATCGAATTGGTCCTCATCTTCTAGTTCCGGAACTGCTGATTGAGAAGAAGATGAAACTGCAACAACTCCAGGTGAAGAAGATGAAGAATTGGAGACGAGTTTGGTGCGGAGAAGTTGGTGAAACAGTTGGGAAGATCCGCATCTGAGGTTGAGGATTCTTCTTTGGTGGCTCAAGAGCGTTAATGGAGGAACATGATTACTCAGAGTCAGTGATAGGCTCAGCATCTTCCTCCTTTACCTGAATATCTTTGTTTGAGAGGCCGTTTAAATATGAACGTCTACCAAACACGTGTACGAATCGTTAGAAGCCAGGTCAGTAAGAGGTTAGCATTTTATACGAATTATAAGAGGACACGTGTGAGAATCAAAAAGACACGTCAACAAGCGAATTTATTTTTATCGAGCAAACAAAAAGAAATACAAGAGAGTTTGATTAATAGAAGTGAGACGGAGAGATTTGTTGTCTTCATACAAAACTGCAGTTTATGATCATCATAGGAAACAAGAGAATGCAAGAGTTTTTGTAAAAGTTTCCACTGAACTTAGTAGATTTTTTTACTGTGTATCCAGTGCAAGATCATGCCAAGCTTCTCTATCTGGCTGCTGAGTTTCTTGATCTGAAACAACCAAAACGCAAGAGTCTATTAGTCGTAAGGAATATGCAGTTTGTTGGTAGAGAAATTCCTAAAGCACAAAAGTTTTTGTCTCAGTGTAGATTTACTACGTCTGAACACATACAAAAACTGGTCTCCATGGTTTCCTTACGACATTTTTAAAATCTCAGTACTGGGGTGTTTTAGTATATCTTACACCATCTATTCATCAACATGGTGAATTAAAGCTAAGCAGTTTCTAGACAGTGTAGTGAAGCAAAACCAAATAAAGGGTGGGGGGGAAAACATACTGGTTTCTTCAGTATCATCAGTCCTAACAGCAAGCACTGGAGGCAATGGGAGATCTGAAAACAAAATAAATAAATAAATAACAAAAACAATGAATGAGAATACACTATGATGTTGATGTGTAATGTGGAAAAGGAAAAATGGTAGGTTACCATCATCAGGGAGAGTGTCCCTCATCCACTCTTCATCCACAATGTCTATAAGCATCCCAAGACTTACTTCTGCCATTGGAGATTTCTACTGGAAAATGTTCAAAAATTCAGATTATAAACTAACATATACACATCAAAAACTAGTTTGTTGAAGTAAAAAGTAACTCGTTGATTCAGCGAGTGAACTTAAGGTTCTATCTGAGGAAATTCGTCGAGCATGTGGTGTGCAGTGGATTTCGAAACAATTCAACGCTAAAACTTGAAGAAAAACTTGATTCTCAGTACAAAAGAACCTTACTTGGAGTGATTTAGTAAGATATTCACCTGATAGATACGGACAGGACGATGGAGAACGGGAAAAAGCAGGAGCAGAAGCTGAGAAAGTTTGAGTTTTTATCCTTTTTTAATATTTATAAATTTATTTATTATTTCATCCTAAATGATAAACCGAACCTTCTAGCTCACTCAGAGGATTCTAAACACTTCTCATTTACACATCTTTGAACACTCCATTCCATTTCTGGGGCTAGCAACGACTGATTAAAGAAGTCACACCCAAGATATGAAATCCGCTGAAGATTACAAATTTTGAGTAATCAAGATTCTATAAATGTTGCACAAAACGTTATGTAAACCGCTGTTTTTTTCTAAAGAAACGTTTGTAACGTCTTTGTTTTATTCCGTACAAGTCTGAATCCGTCCAAAGACTTACCAAGAAAAGATAAGGAGGCAGAGGAAAAATGATATTACATGGTTAAGTAACATGCATGCAAAGTAAAGCTACGTGTCCATCTCAAGACACTCAAGTATCACATCTGTCCTTCTTTACTTCGACTTCGCTTCTTTTAAAACTCTCTTCCTATCTCTCTCTTACCACTTTCTACCTTTGTTCATCAAACATCCTTGTTGGTTAATTCAGAGTGTTTGTGATTATAATGGCAACATCAGCTCGTAGAGCATACGGTTTCGGTAGAGCAGACGAAGCTACACACCCTGACTCCATTAGAGCAACATTAGCTGAGTTCCTCTCAACTTTTGTCTTTGTCTTTGCAGCTGAAGGCTCTATCCTCTCTCTCGGTTCGTACCGTCACCCTTGTGATGTTTCTAATGTTTTTAATGTGACTTAAGTTTTGTGTTTTCTCAGACAAGTTGTATTGGAACCATGCGGCTCATGCGGGAACAAACACACCAGGAGGACTAGTACTAGTCGCGTTAGCACACGCGTTTGCTCTGTTCGCAGCTGTTTCTGCAGCCGTAAACGTCTCTGGTGGACATGTAAACCCTGCAGTCACTTTTGGTGCGCTTATAGGAGGCAGACTCTCTTTAATCCGTGCCATCTACTATTGGATAGCTCAGCTTCTTGGAGCCATCCTCGCTTGTCTCTTATTAAGACTCTCCACAAACGGCATGGTAATACTAATAATCCATGTGATCAAAGTCCATTTCAGTGAACAATCATTTATTATAAAGAGTTTGCTCTGTTCATGCAGAGACCAGTTGGTTTCCGTGTAGCATCAGGTGTTGGAGCAGTTAACGGACTTGTGTTCGAGATCATTTTTAACATTTGGACTTGTCTACGTTGTTTACTCAACTATGATTGATCCAAAACGTGGAAGCCTTGGTGTTATAGGACCGCTTGCGATAGGACTCATAGTTGGAGCAAACATCTTGGTTGGTGGACCGTTCTCTGGTGCCTCAATGAATCCAGCTAGAGCCTTTGGTCCAGCGTTGGTTGGAGGGAGATGGGATGATCATTGGATCTATTGGGTTGGACCATTCATCGGTGGTGCTTTAGCTGCCATTATATACGAGTTCATGGTCATACCCTCTGAGCCACCAATAACGCACTACACACACCACCAGCCCTTAGCTCCTGAAGATTACTAGTTGGGACTTTCCTCTTAGTTCAAGTTATCTTTGTCTGTATGAAATCACTTTGCATAGAATCTTTGTTTCTTGTAATATTAAGAATAAAGAAAGATTTTCACAATGAGTTATTTGATATATTCACCAAATACAAGTAACAGTATACTAGGCTAATCTAATAAAGAAGCTTCTTCTTCATCTTCTTGTTCTGAAACCTTGTGTTAAGGTCCTCTCATCTTTTCAACAATCTGTCTACTTCTTTCCTCCACATGACGCTTCTTCTCTTCAAACTTCTCACCAACTTTCTTCCTAAAATCAAACATTCTCTCTTTTGCTCCCATTTTCTTTCCCTTCAAATCATCCTCTTCACTTGACAACATAGACCTCGATGATGACTGGACACTAACCGGAGTAGTCTCTTCTTCATCTCCTCGTGCTAATGTATCCTTCTCTTCTCTTGTTTCCAGCAGTGGAGTCTTGAGTTCCTCCAAGGATCTGTCACTTTCTACTATAAGAGATGCAGAGTTAGCAGCTGATGGTTCAGTAACAGGTTCTTCTTCAACTCTTTGCTTCTGTACAATGTTGATGACTTTCTTCGTTTGTTCAGAACTTGGCGGCTTTTCAGCTTTAGATTTAGCTTCGAAACTTTCATGATCACTATTAGGTGAGTCTTGATTCAGCCACATAAATGGTGCAACACTGCGTTGGACCCAATCATCCTTTTCAGCTATCATCCATGGAATGGTTATGTTTTCGCAGTTGGGGAGCACCATGACTTCTCTTATCCCGTTCTGCAGAATGAGATTTTGTGTTAATACTTATTTCATATTCCCTTTAGAAACAAAGGAGGAGTAAAGTGTTTTTTACCTTAAACCGGTTGATCAAGAACGTAGCAACATGGCTGTTTGTGACTTTGTGGTCACCAACAGATGAGACAAGGTCGAAATGAATATCAGGCATGGTTGTGAAGCTAAGCCATAGTTGATCAGATGGAGGCGGCTTCATGTGTACTCGCAGTGTCCCTCTAAGTGAAGAGACTCCTATTGACAAATTAATTGGAACCTGCAGTTTACAAACAGAGACAGTATAAGATACTACAAGAGCTACTCTGCTTCAGAGTCTAGTAGTATCTTAACCTGAGAGACTTGCTCAGCGATGTTCTTCAGAATAGACTTCCACTTAGATCCATTGTTTGGAGATGCTTTTGTTCCTTTTGATCCCTTAGATTCATCTGCAAATACATAATTCAGTTTATCATATTTGGTATCAATGCTTCTAAGTAGCATACAAGATCAAACACCGTACTAACCAGTTTTAACTTCAACAGTTCCTCCAGGGACACTTAATTGCTTTTCAAATTCTTCAAGACCTTCAAGAAGATCTATGGGAACATCCCCAGAAAGATTTGGCTGCAACTTTCCCGCTATGCCGTTCTGCAGTTCTTCCTCTCTGGCATCTACCCTAGTCTCAACTACTAGACCAGCACCACCACTGTATTCAACATCTAGTTCAAACGCCCACACACCATCCATCTCCACTGGAAGAATCCTTGCACCATGTATATAAGGTGGTAAGTTTCCAACCTTGACATCACAACAGATTAAATCGCCTATATAGCTGGGAAGTCTCATGTTGGTCATCACACGCTGTTAAACACACACAAAAAAAAGAGTTGGATAAACTAAGTCCTGATGTAGTGACAGCTTTTATTTTAATGGAACAGACCTGGATACGTTCATGGACTACATTCTTTATCCCTGTGTTCAGTTTAACATCAAAAAACAGCCTAGAGATCAGCAAGTTCCACGTCAAAGTTCCTTCATCAGTAACAAACAACTTGTCTTCCGAGTTTACATCAGAGACATGACTCCCATGGCTCCAAGAACGTGAGAAAGCTTTCACATCAGTTTCCTCAGGGATTTTCTCTTGAATCTTTCTTGCTGGGGTGCTCCTTCCAGAGCTACCAGATGAATCTTGGTAAGAAGGACGTGTTGAAGTCTTCTTGTCTTCACGGTTAGGCACTTTCTTTTTTGAGAATTTCTTCCATAACAAACGAACCTTTGAGGAAGGAGCATCCACTTTAACCTCCTTGTTGTCCAATGACTCAAAATCAAACGCACCTGATGGTTGTTTTATAAAAGAAGGATATGCAACATTAAGAGAAGCTATATAGCTCTGGAAATCCTGTTTCAACTTAGTAGGCCACATAGCCCTTTCATGATCATTGCAAGCAGCAAGACGAAGAGCTTTACACCATGACTCCTTCTCCCAAGAAGTGTCTAGATAGATGTAAAACACACGGTTTCCTTTGTACAAGTCTGATGTTTTGCTTTCTACTTTGATAGGATATCTTTTAGCCCTAAGGTAAACATTACACACAAAAAGGGTTAGTTACTATATTCACTACCGACATAAGCGTTTAGTAATGTTAAATACCATTTCCTTGTGGGGAGTTCAGACCCTGAAACAGCCTCAACATTGCAACCTCTCAAAGAAATAATCTTCTGAGAGCCATCTGAATTTGACAAGATGAGTTTGTGGTCTTTAATGAGAGCAGACTTCTTAACTGGATGCACCTCTAAAACATCTTTCTTCTTCTTTTGCTCTTTTGGTAAATTCTTTAAACTTTCATCAAACTCCAAAACCCAAATCACTCCCTGAGACAGTTAAAGTAAAAAACTTCCCATCTCAGAAACAGAGGAACTGATCACAATCTCAACCAAAGCAAATTAAAAGAAAAAAATCAAAACTTTATTCAATTCAGTGTTCATTAACGAGAAAGGTCAACACTTTAAGAACTCCAAAGCAAGAAACTCAATGTTCATTACGAAAGGTCAACACTTTATGAGCTCATGAGGCTTTACCTGTTTGTTGAGACTGAAATCAATGGCCTTTGGAGGAACAGAGCTTTTCTTATTCGATTCTTGGAGGTTTCTCTTCCGATTAAATCGCTTTATGAGGAGCAGAAAGGTTGTAACTTCAGCAGCTAAGAGGGTAAGAATCCCCAGCAAGAATCCAGTGATGAAAGCGAAGCCGGCAAAGGAAAACATCTCCGGGAAGGTGGAACTTTTATGGATTTACAGTTTAGTGACGAGTAAAAGTGGAGATGATTGCTTGCGAAGGAATTAAAAAGAGAAGAAGAAGAAGAGGAAGAAGCGTAACGGTGTAGTTTTCATTGTTTTACTTTATGAGATTAAGAAACAGAGAGAGAGAAGAACCAATAGGATATTTTTAATAAGAATATTACCCAAAAACAGAATTATTCCTTGAATGAAAAATTGGGGAACATATTATTTTTAAAGATTGTGATAAATATGGCCCCAAAAATTAGAATTGTTTTTAAATTCAACCATAAATGTGGTAGTTGGAAGAAAATCATAATTTTAATTAAAGATATGAATATATTATTGTGAAACATGTAATTTGGTTAGTAGTTTCAATTCATTTCTGACTTATGTGTGTTATCAAAATTTTAATTTCAATTTATTTTAACTGGGTTGAAGTTTAGATTTGCTACCTATAATATATACATGAAGAATCAATATAATTAATTTAAAATCATTATTCATTAATTGGGCTTGTTGGTTGGGATGTTTTAGTTAGAATTTTTTTGTTTTAATTTAAAATCATTATTCATTTCAATTTTCAACACATATTGTTACAAAAATGCAACGTTTATTTCACAAAAAAATTATAATTTTAAAAAATACAAAAAAAATCAAAGGAAATACTATATTATAGAGAAAAAAAATACAAGAAATATTATAAAATATAAGTATAAAGACTTTTTTGCTGTTTCAAAACAACAAAATATCAATGAGTATTTATGGCCAGTATTGCATAACCAAACAGCTTCTCTTTTAATTAATGTTTTAGAACAACAAAACTTTATGACTGTTTCAATTTGACCTTAATTCTTTGAAGCTCTGATCTTCACTTGTCTTTCATTTGTTGAAGACTGAGTCGGAGGATATCAACTCTTGAGTCACGTCTTCAATAAGGTACTGAAAGAACGAAGAAAAAGTATCCATATAATGCAAATAAACATGATAAAGAAAAAAGACATCGTCATCAAACATTCAACTTTAAATATACAAAAATCTAGAAAGCAAACAGAAGTACATAACAAATCTACCAAAAAGTGGTCTTGTCTTCTTCCTATCTTACCGACATACAAAAAAACATAGATTTTTTTTATTTAGATAGAAATTAGAAAGTACAAAACAGAGTCCTCTGTTCACATATCCATTAAGAAAAAGAAATAGAAAAAAAAAATAATTACATGGTCTCACACTCAACAAAAACTTTATTTTCTTATCACCGCAACACCTAAAAAAAAAATCTGTTTTCTTATTAGTAACCTCCATGGCTTGCAACACAAGAAACAACACAGGGATGACGGTTGCTACTTAAAACAACACAGAAAGCCAGACGACGACGACAACAACAACAAAAGGTGACCATGAAAAAACAAAGAACAGTTCAAGGTTCTTAACAGCTGGAGTTCATGAAGAAGTTATAGTCATGGTGGTCAGCATTTAGCTGTTTCAGCCATGAATCTGCAGCACTCTGAAGATAATCCAACCGCTCCTGATCAAACCCTGTTTTTCCCCAAAGGTCTCCTTGCATTTTGTAAGTAGCTAAACCAAATGGAGGCAATGGGATTCTCTTGCTCATGACAGATTCTTCACAATACTCTGTCTCTTCTTGATCTCCCACCACCACATTATCTGCAGCTCATGAAACCGTTAAAGAACCAGAAATGCTTCTTGACTTGACGTCACTAAACAGTGATCGTGCGTACCTTGGAAAGAGGAAGATAAAGTATGATAAGTTAAGAAGCATGTCGTCAAGTCCTTCTCGTTCTTGCAGCTTGGGATGTGACATATGGGATACCTAATACACAAAGCCATAACACTTATCAGTTCAATCGTTCAAGGGTTGTGTATAACGATTGATTATTTACCATGCAACAGCCATCCAGCTTGCAGGAGAAATATCTACACTCCTTAAGGTCATCAGTCCTGGATATTTCTCAGCCAATTCGTTCATCTGAAGAAGAAAAAAGTACAGATTCTTTGCTTCAAAACCAAAGTTCAGTAATTTAAAAGAAGAGAATGTGGTCATAAGATGTACCTTGTCGGATAAGGGAACACGCTTGTAAGGAGGATCTCTTTCAATGTACTTAAATTCAAGGTAGCCAAGTCTCTCTCGCAGCAATGGTGTACCATCTTGATCAAAAGAGGAATCATCAGAGACAACATCCCATGTTTTGCTCGAATCATTGCTCAATGATCTTGACAACAACTTCTCACTCTCAGTATCGCTCCAACACTCGCTACTCTCGTATTCAACCACCCAATTCTGGTTCCTGCACCACCAAAAAAAACAGTTAGTCAGTATAAAAACCCCGAAAAACCAAACACACATCAAACATGTAAGCTTCCATTGTCAAAACCACAAAGAAACTGGATGTTAATGAATCAAGCATCATCGCTTAACCTGGACAACATCATAGCAGGTTTGGTAGTGTGGATTTGGATGGCTGATAAATATGGGACATAATATTGCATAACTGCTTCGCCGTTGTTTAAATCAACATGTGATTCAAACCCATAGGCACTTAGCTCATCATAACAGTTCCAAAGATCACCAAGCCTGAAATACTCCATTTCTTTCCCATGTTGCTGCCACAAACAAATAAAGATCACTCACACAGCTATGCAAACAAATGCTTAATTTTCAATCTTCAGCTGGTAATATAACTCCTAGTTACCCCAAATGTAGCTGATTAAACTGTTTGGATCATTTCAAGCAGCCCACAACAAGAAGACCTTTAGTATTAAGACCAACATAGTACTACGGATTAACATGCAACAATAAAGCTCTTCTTAATCCCTAATCACAAACGATAACCATGATTACTGAACAAGAAGAATGACCTCTAAAGATATACACATCCAAAGGACACCAGCGTCAAGAAGATTCAAACCAAATCTCAGTACTTGGATAATACAATAATATTTTGTTTCAGTAAGGCAAATTCTGTCCCACGTTTTAGTCACGTGGTGATATATATATCCATTGAAATGAAATGATGTGACCATTACAAATGATAGATTTTAATATTATTTCTTTTCCCTGATGGACCATGCAATTACTGTCCTTACAGCCATGAAAATAATCACTAAAATATTACAATTTCTTCTAGGTTGTCCGATACAAATACAATCACCGTTGACTTAAGGTTAGACCTTTTGGAAACTCTATTTAGCGACGAGTTTTGAGGAGAAAGTTAATTCAAAACGTGTTATAATTGAGGATTAAGATACTAATCATCCAAGATTAAGACGAGCATTAGAAGAGTGAAAGAGAAAGAGATTTACCAGAGGAATAGAGAAGGAAGGAGGTTTAGGAGTGACTCCTAAGAGAAACCTCTCCAGATTCGAACGGCCTTTTGCTGAAGAACACCACCACCACATCCTCTCTGCTCTTCTTCTTCTTGTTTCAATCTCTTTGTGATGTTAGATCTTAATCCGTAATTGAGTCCACACAAAAGTTGGAAATTTAATATTTCTGCTTCTTGTCTTCTATCATTAATACAAATATGGTAGCTTCATAATTCTCAAAAAATATTATTCTCTTTCCTTTTTAATACCTTTTGTATATCCCAATTCCCAGATTCTTATTTCAACAAATAAAAATAAAATAAAAAAACACCAACGAACGAAACTGATTATGGGTTTATCGAAATATTGAAACTTTCAATCTGATAAGCTTTTAAAGAAATGAGAATCAAAATTTTACTCTATAAGTTAGGTGAAATAAAGGCTCGAGAGAAACTGAAGTGAAGAGATGAATAAAGCCTTTTGAGTATGATTAATGGAAGCAGAATAAGAAGAAAACGAAGAGGACGAAACGCTTCTTCTCTTTCTCTCTCTCTTTCAGTCACTCTGATCCTTTTTATGTTTTAAATAATTAATTTTCCCCTATTTAAAAACCAAGTATGAAACTGAAGACTTTTGTTTGTAACAAATAAATATATTCTTGATTAAATAAAACGAAAACAAACAAATCTATTTTATTAAAACAACTTGTAATCTAGCTATAATTTTTTTTAAGAGAATCAGGATATTTATTACACATATTATTTTTGTATATTTATAGATAAAAAAGTTATTACAAATGTGTTGACATGTTTACGTCATTAAAACATAAAAATTAAAATGAAAAGGTAATATTTACGTTGGACATTCTGCTTCTATATGTTTCTTTTAATTAAAACGACTTGTAATCTAGCTACAATTAATGAAAAAGAGGATTGCGATATCCATTGTACATAAATTGTCTGTTTTTTTTTTAATAAGAGTAGACATGATAACGACATTATAACACCAAAATCCAAGTCACATTGCAAATGAAATTAGTATTTTTTTTACGCTGATGATCTTCTACTTCTATATGTTTTCTTTTAGAAGATAATTAACTAAATATGGATCAAATTTAATGTTGGAGATCACGAGGACGTTACAAGCTACAACAATTAATCTTCTTATTAATATTTTTATTTTCTCGTAAGCGTTATCTTTGATGTCAAATATTAATGGCTTCATAGAAGAAGGCTGTAGAGACACATGTTCAAAAACGGAACAAGTGTTGAAAAACTTGATTACTCTTGATTTTTTTTGTTGTCTTTTAACAAATGTTCTTTTGTTATCCAATTGAATGAAGTAATCTCTTTTGTAGCTTATTTTGACATGGTATTAGAACTAGACTTCAGTCCTTAGCACGCATAAAGTCTGTTATAAAAAATTGATTTAAATGAAAGAATCCATAATCGTTCACAATTAGACAAAAAAAATATCTAAAGTGACAAAGGATATTTTATAAAATTTATATTGAAATCATACATGAGAAAAATATATATGGGACATTGGCTATCTCTTTACAATGTTTACATGTATAGTTACGTGAGGACAATCTTCAAGAATCCAACTAGTTTCAGAAACAACCGCATAATGACCAACCAACCATACGAAAGTTTTAGTACGAATGGGTACTTCAAAACGCCCACCCCTATATAAGCTGATAAGCATATGAAATATAAGTAAGATTTGTAGTTATTAAAGTCCGGCCGCTAGTGGAAAATCGCCACATCTACAACTTTGCTTACCGATTTTTTAAACTCAATAAAATTCTAACTTCAATATTGTCTGTTTTTCATGCTTATAATAATAGATGCGGTTTTGACAATTATTTATTCCAAATTAAAGATAAATTCTTATGAGATGTCAAGCAACAAAACAACAGTTATAATATTTATGTTGAGCCTCTATAACAAAATTTTTGTTTTTGAAATTGGATTTTACTAACATATTCTTACTAAGTTCAACTATATGAAACTGAGCTATTCTTATCATTAAAAATATTTAAAATTCAGAAAAATATCATTTAAATATAAATTCAAGATAATATCTTTGCAAAATGGAAGCGGATAATAGTTTTAAACTGATGTACTTCCGAAACTTAGCTATATAATGAAAACTTAGAACAACGACAACTATATAACTCAGAAATGATATTTTTATAAAAAGAAAATAAATAAATTTAAAGGAAAAGAGGAGAATGAGAGTGTCTGAATACTGAACACTCAAGAGCCGAGAGTAGTGTGGTGTCAACCATGTTCGCCGCGTGTTTGCCTAAACTGCGTCGGTCTCTCGCGTTTTGCTCCTTAAATTTTATCCATATTCCTAATACTTTTAGCTGTGGTAAGCAAGTACTTGCTAGACTCGTGTTAGGTACACCATGAAAGTTAATTACTATTAGATATCTAGACGACTTCGTAGATGTAAATCAGCCAATCAAAAGTTTCTTGATCAAGTTGGATTTGTGAGGCCATTTTAGTTATCTTTAACTATATTTACACGTGGGGAACGTGTTCATTTATCTGCTAAAAGGTGTTTGGTTTAGATAAAGTCACGTGTCCTATGATTGTCTTTTCCTCATCACAATACTCCAACTCGCTTTTGTCGTCAGCGCCCTTGAAAGTTTTATAATCGTTGTACTCTAGTGAAATTATGTTGGACCGTGTGATGCGACGAATATCGTCATCTTTATTGATCTGACCCGGCTAAAATAATCTAGTCAAAAATCTCGCTTGGGCTAAGTTCAACTATTGAGGCCCATTTATTTTCCGGGGTGTTGTCATAGAAGTATAATCAAAAGCTACTTTCTAACATATTTTGGAAGGCGTTAAATTTGTAAATTAATTGGTTAATTAGGTATTTTATCCGCACTTGTGGGGATAATTTTCTTATAAATATTTATTAGTTGATGTTTCATTAATTTAACATTAGCATAATAAGTTATTATTTATGTTTTCAAAAAGTAAAAATCAAACATCAAATAATTATTAATGACAAAATTCAAACTTCAGAAATATTTAAAAGAATATATTTCTATAATTATTTTGCGTGATTTATATTTAATTATAATATTTCTACAATTTTTTACTTAATTTATATTTAATTGTAATTTTATATCTTAATTTTAATTTTATAATAGAAAACATATTTTAAAGATAACAATATAATGCATAAGTTATTTATTTTCTAAAAATATAATATGATAATTTGTTTAATTATATAAGATTATAACAATTATGACATATAATTAAAATTACCTAAAATCATGGAGAACTTAATGAATCAGCAAATTCACTTCTTAAATAATTTTTCTTGAGTGATAATTTATATTTAATTAATAATAGATAATTTTCTATTTTAAATATATAATATAAAAGTATATTTTAAAGATAAGAACATAATACATAAGAATAACTATAACTTTTTATATCTTAATTTTAAATTTTATAATACAATTTCAAGACAACAACTTAATACATAAGAAATATCTTATTTTCTAAGAATCTGATACTATTAATTTTCCCTTAATATAAATATAGAATAAATTATAGAAATTAGGATAAATTATCAAAATTACTTAAAATCATGGAAAATATGACAAATCAGCAAACATCAAATTCACTTCTTAAAGAATAGTATAGATTTTTTACAAGTTAATTTTAAATTTTATAATACAAAATATATTTTCAAGATAATAATACATAAGAATTAACTTATTTTCTAAAATATAAGTTTAATTATTAATAATATAATTTTTATATCTTAATTTTAAGTTTTATAATAGCAAAATATATTTTCAACATAACAACATAATACATAAGAATTATATTTTTAAGTTTTATATATAAAAATATATTTCTAGATAATAAGATAATTCTTAAAATATATATTTAGATAACAACATAATTCACAAGAATTATCTTATTTTCTAAAATATGACATATTCATATAAATTCGTTTTATTTATAAATAAATTATATATAATATTATAAATATGATAAATAAACAAAATTACCTAAACTTATGAAAAACATGACAACTAAGTAAATTTACATCTTAAATAATAGTATAGATATATAGGGTTAGATAGCTAAATGACGCTTAGTTACATATAACTCGTGAAGCACAAACCCATTATATTAGTGAAGTTGACCCACAAAAGAAAAGGACAAATTACAGTTAGCTATTGGTGCTTGGAAAGTGGAATCCATATTATAGAGTTCTTATTGTGTTTATTAGTAATAAGTTAGAGCATCGTTAATGGGAGATTAACTTATTTTATTAATATTACCAAATAACATAATTGAAATTTTTTTTGATAACCCAGTATCCGACCACTAAGCGTGATCGACTAATCCACCGGGCCTAAGCCCATTCCATGACAGAATTTTTAAGCGTCCACTTAAGGGCCCCTGGTTACGCTAAGTGGTCTGGAGCGCCACACCAACTCTGCATGTAAATTATGTGGTGGCCGGGGTTCGAAGTCGGATGACGGGCACCTCAGCCGAGGTTCCTTTACCACCAGGCTACGAAACCCGGTTCATAATTGAAATTTAAGTATAGAAAAGATTTAACCACTCAAAATATGACATATGTCATGGACTCATGACAGTTTCTCACGTTTTCCCCCTTTTTCTATCTCTGTATCTGTACTATGTGTTCTTTTTAGGGATGTTGAAAGATTATGGGAGTCACGTTACTGATGCTCTTAACCCTTTTAAAACTTCTCACTTGAAAAATTTCCTCATAAAAGCACACGAGGAGAGTATGAAAAACGAGGCTAAAATTACTTATATACTACATAAGCATATGCTTTGGATCTTTAAACTCTTTAAAATAACCTTGTTCTTATCCTCATCTTCTAAAGACTTGCGCTCATGTCACAAGAATCGAAATACTTGTATAGAAACTATAGATCGTTAACCAAATTTGACCAGCGTGCTGTTTATAGAACCAAACCAGATTGAACCGAGTAAATTAAGTTACAGAAGGGGATCTTTTAGTTTTTTTTTTTTCATAACGTTTTAATCAAAACTTATGAAACCAGAGGTATAGTGAACATATATACATAATCTTATTCGTTAACCAATTGTCCAAGACCGGCTAATACTCTACCACTCCATAAGAAATAAGCCAAGTAACTAAACAAACAAATTCAAGAACGTTCATAGCAAAAAAAAGAAAATTAAAATTAAAGAAGCGTGGAAGGAAAGTGGAGTAAATTAAGATAGGGATCTTCTCAAATCTCGATGTACTTAGTTAATTCTAATGTTAATAATTCAAACCCTAAGCCTAGCGCGTATACAAACCTGTATGTGCATGTATACACATCCGTGTATAAATACCAAACACATGAACTCACATTTTCTTCATCCTATAACATTCAAATCTAATCAACTACATAAACTCAAAAAAAGATGAATCCTATGCTTTATTTGCTTCTTGCCTTAACCACTGTTTTGGCCGTGACCGCAAGCCCTGGCGAACCAGTCCTCGACATCAATGGTGATATCATATTCGACGGCAGTTACTACGTTATCCCCCGCATCTTCGGCCCTGGAGGTGGTGGTCTAACTCTCGCCCCCCGTCGTGGCATTTGTCCCCTCTATATCGGACAGGAAGATTCAGAGGTCAAAATGGGCATTCCCGTGAGATTCTCAGACTGGAGGATTAAAGTTGCGTTCGTTCCCGAATCAACAAACCTCAACATCAAGATGGACGTCCTGGTCAACATATGTTCCCAGCCAAGCTATTGGAATGTCGCTGGACCCAACATTGAAATGAGGGAGGTGTACTTACCGGCTGGTCCTAAGCCATCAAATGGTTTATTCCAAATCGAGAAACTTAAAGATGCTATTGGGGGTTACAAGATTGTGTTTTGTCCTAACGACAGTAGCTATTGCCACGATATTGGGATATTTGTGGACAAACTTGGCGTTCGACGTTTGGTTTTAAGCAAAACGCCATTCGAGGTTGTGTTCGTGAGAGCTACCGTGACAAAGACTTCGTCCAAGCCTATTATGTCTATCATCTAAGAAAAATTAAAGGCTGCAAAATTAAAAGGATATGAGTTATAAGCTACGACTAATAATAAAACTCTATCTTTGTTTCATGTTTTCTTTGTTCATCAATCATAAATGGAATAAAACATCTTTCCTTTGTTTCTTTTTTCTTCTTTTTAATGCTCTCCCTAGTGTAGTGATTTTAAGCCTTGCAAGTCAAGTTACCTAAGTCATATTCTACGATTATGTTTGATCGTTTAGTTTGTTTGTTGTTGCAGTGAATAAACAGAGACACAAAGAAATATGAGTTCCCAAGGGCGTTAACTAGCCACAAGGTACGTCTCAGAGATCACGGATCAAAGTGTACAAGCTTGATACCAAAACTGAAACGCTCACCAAGCTCACACCTCTCTCTTGTTAGCTTACGTCTCTCACCAAGGAATACAAGAAGAAAACCAGAAGAAGAATACCAGAGATAAACGATGATCACACACCCAATAACCCCTGTTTCTCTCACCCTCTCAATCTCCTAATTCCTCAAGGTATCGTACACCTCTCTCCCTTTCCGTGACTCATATATATATATACTCTGCACCATAGAACTGAATCACGTCTTGATTCATAGATTCCTCAAAGCTCCAGCTCAGCGAATCTTCTAACGGCCTCTGCAACTTGCTCTCTTTCACCCAAGTGAGCACCTTCAAAACGCAGAGTATAAACCACTCAGGGCCTCAACCAATAATGAACATTCTTATTGGGCTTCCTCATAAACCTGACTCAGCCCAAACCCTTCATTATCAGACCCAAATGTAAACCCGAAAATGTAAACCACAAACCAACAAATCTCCACCTTGGTTTACACTTCCGACCAAACCCAGAATAAACTTTCCAGATCCCCTTTTCCTTCTCTCTCTCGAAATCACCGACAATTTACCTTGTCTGAAGAGAGAACCCTAAATCACAACTTTGATCTAGCTTGAATCGTCTAGAACCCTTAGACGACTCCTCCCAATCTCAAACTTCTTCACTGGTACACTCTTTGTGAGAATGTCGGCTGGATTCTCCAAAGTACCAATCTTAGTAACCACCACGGAACCATCCGCTACTACATCTCTGATGAAGTGAAGACGAACATCGATGTGTTTCGTCCTCTCGTGGAAGACACTGTTCCGTGCTAAACACAGAGCACTCTGAGAGTCACTGAAGATCTCTGCATGCGACTGCTCAAATCCCAATTCAGCGGTAATGCCCTTTAACCACAAAGCCTCTTTGGTCGCTTCTACTAACGCCATGTATTCCGCTTCTGTAGTCGACAGAGCCACGATGTGTTGAAGACCAGAGCGCCAGCTTACCGTATTACCTCCTACCTGAAAGACATATCCAGTAATGGATCTTCTTCGATCAAGGTCAGTAGCGTAATCGCTGTCACAAAACCCCTTTACTTCAAAATTTTTTTCTTTCTTGAACGTTAGCTTCATATCTGTGGTTCCTCGTATATATCGCATTAACCACTTAACTGCATTCCAATGTTCTGTGTCAGGAGAACTCATGAAGCGACTTACCAGTCCAACAGCATAGGCGATATCAGGACGACTCCCAATCATCGCGTACATCAAGCTTCCAACGGCATTTGAATAAGGTACACTCTCCATCAATCGACTAGTTTCAGAACGTAGCTCCACCTTAGTACTAGACAACTTGAACTGACATCCCATAGGAGTAGATACCGGTTTAGAATCCTCCATCATGAAGTTCCTTAAAACTTTTTCGAGATACGTTCCTTGAGATAAAGTAAGAACCCCTTTACCTCTGTCACGATAGATATCCATACCAAGAATCCTTTTAGCCGACCCCAAATCCTTCATCTCGAACTCGGTATTAAGTAACGTCTTCAGCTTCTGAATTTCCCGTAGGTCTTTAGCTGCCACTAACATATCATCTACATAAAGTAGTAGATAGACTAGTTTCCCTTCTGCGTATGACCTGAAGTAGGCACATGAATCATACCGACTTCTTTGAAAACCTTGTATCTTCATAAACTCGTCGAACCTCTTGTTCCACTGACGAGGAGACTGTTTAAGTCCATATAGAGACCGTTTCAATAGGCATACCTTGTTTCCTTGCCTATAACCATCAGGTTGCTCCATTAATATTCTTTCCTCTAGATTACCATGAAGAAACGCCGTTTTCACATCTAGTTGTTCTAACTCCATGTCTTGATTAACCACAAGTGACAACAACAGCCTTATGGTCACATGTTTAACCACAGGAGAGAACACTTCATTATAGTCAATACCCTCGATCTGAGAATACCCTTTAGCAACTAGTCTCCCTTTGAACCTTCGGTCTTCTCCCCCAGGAACTCCTGGTTTAATTTTGTAAATCCATTTACAACCAATAGTTCGTTCACCTTCAGGTCTATCAATTAATTCCCACGTATGATTCTTTTCCAGGGACTCCATTTCATCATCAGAAGCGGCTTTCCACTGTTTTCCATTCTTACTACGTATAGCTTCTCCATATGTCAGAGGCTCGTCTTCCTCAACAAGATCAGCCATAACCAGAGCATATGCAGCAACATCTCCATCATCAAATCGACTCGGAGGTTTAATTACTCTTCTCTGTCTATCTCTGGCTAACATATACGATCTCTGATCTTCACTTGTGTCATCTTTTTCAGCTTCATCATCAGACTGACCAGCTACTTGACGACTTGGAGTAGCTCCACCTGAAACTGATGACTCACTCTGAATCTTCTCAGCCTCCTCACTGGTATCAAGTAAGAATGTTACTCTTTTCTCAGATTTCTCTTTTCCTTTCTCTTCTTGAACCACAGTAGAGATGTCTTTATATACCACGTCCTCGTGGAAAGAGACATTTCTACTGATAACAATTTTCTTATCTTCAATACTCCAAATACGGTATCCTTTAACTCCTTGCGGATACCCTAGAAATACCCCTCTTTTAGCTCTAGGTTTAAGCTTTCCCTGATCCACATGGTAGTAGGTTAGACAACCAAACCTTTTCATATGATCATAACCCGGAGCTCTTTCTGACCATACTTCTTCAGGGACCTTAAACTCTAGAGGTATTGAAGGAGTACGGTTTATCATATAAACCACTGTAGCAGAAGCCTCAGCCCAAAATGATTCACTCAACCCTGTCTCATTTAACAAGCTTCTTACTTTCTCTAGAATGGTCCGGTTCAACCTCTCAGCAACCCCGTTTTGTTGAGGTGTGTAGGGACAGGTCTTGTGCCTTAGAATACCTCTGCTCTTACAAAAATCATCAAACACTTTATTGCAATATTCTAGACCATTATCTGTCCTTAGCGCCTTTAGAGTTTTACCGCTTTGATTCTCCACCAGAGCCAGCCACTCAACAAACTTAGAGAAAGCCTCATCTTTAGTCTTCAGAAAATAAACCCAGACCTTCCTTGAGAAATCATCCACAAACGAGATATAATACTGATTCTTAGATAAACTCGGTGTGACATTAGGAGAACCCCATAAGTCAGAGTGCACATAAGCTAATTGTTGCTCTGAGTTATGTTTTCCAGTCTTGAAAGATAACCTGTGAAACTTTCCAAGAACACAATGTTCACAGCTCTGTTTATCGACAATTTCTACTCCTTTTAGAAATCCTGATTTCACCAGCTGCTTCATTCCTTTAACACTCATGTGTCCCAATCGGCTATGCCACAAAGTTGTGATGTCTAACTTAGCTTCAGCTGAATTTACTTCCCCCTCAATAGGCTTCCCATCTAAGAAATACAGTGTATCAATGTAGTCTCCAGCCAAGACCTCTTTCTTCTCCTTGTACACATTTAGCCTGTAATTCTTAGACTGAAACCAGCACCCAAGAGATTCAAGCTGACCTAGAGATACTAGATTTCTTCGAGCTGTAGCTGAATACCTCACGTCTGTCAGAACCACCACCGCCTTGTTATGATTCAGAAACTTAATTTTCCCAATAGCAGTTATCTCACAGTAGGTATCATTACCCATTAGTATCTTTCCACCGTCTACCTCTTCGACATCAAACATTAAATCTCGTCTATAGGTCATGTGATAGGAACAACCTGAATCTAACACCCAACCATCCCGGTTTTGTTGGCTCGAAGCTGTTAACATTACTGGTTCATCATCTTGAGCTTTGCCAACACTTGCTTCTCCTTTAAATACATTCTTTTGACCTGACCTCTTAGGACAATCCTTCTTGAAGTGGCCTTCAGAATCACAAATCCAGCATGTCCTTTTAAACTTAGGTCTCGACTTGCTTCTGTTACTTGACTTAGGTTTTGATGTGGTCTTCTTCTCAGGTCTACCTCTAGTTTGAACGTAGAGACCCTCACTGCTTGTACCAGAAACACCAGAGCTGCTACCTTTCGCCTTCATGTCTAGTTCGATAGAGTAAGCAGCTCTTGTTATCTCCTTCATAGTGATCGTGTCTTGATCTCTTCCATACTTCAAAGTATGAACTAATGGTTCAAACTTCTTAGGTAGACTGTTAAGAAGTATCACAGCTTGATCCTCCTCACTTAACTCCACATCCAGGCTTGCTAGATCCGACACCAACTTAGTAAAAATATCAAGATTCTTGTCCAGGTTCTTATCTTCCTCCATCTTGTAACTGTAGAACCTTTGCTTTAGATAGAACCGGTTAGGTAGAGACTTGATTTGATATGTAGACTCTAGAGCACTCCACATCTCCATAGCAGTCTTAGCCTTTATAACCTTCCTTAGAACCATATCACTCAGGCTAAGACTCAACAAGTTTCGTACCCTTCTATCTTTGTCTAACCAAGAATACTCGAGCTTTGATTTAGCGTCAGGATCATCAACCGCAATGCCTTTCCCTTTTTCATCCGTCACCTCTTCCTCTCCTCCTTCCTCTGACCTTAACACTGAGTCTAATCCAAGAATCTCAAGTTGAGCCAGAACTTTGTGTTTCCACAACGCAAAATCTCCCTCTCCGTCAAACTTCTCAATCTCAAACCTCCCGTGTTTAGATTCCATCTTAGGTAAACCCATAGCTTGATCAGAACCTGAGAACACACCAGACAGATCAACTCACAGCAGATTTATCCGTAGAGAATATCCCAGAGAATACCAAACAACCAGAAATCCAAAAATAACCAAGAACTCCAGACAAACAATAACGAGAGAAACCAGCAAGAACAACCACAGATATTCAGATCTATTACTGGTGACCCTAACTTAAGATCGATCAGAAAGAGATTCCTTAATCTGATCAGATCTCAGAGTTAGAAACGATCACCTCAGACCTGAACTTCCCTGAGCCGGAACCTGGCTCTGATACCACTTGTAGTGATTTTAAGCCTTGCAAGTCAAGTTACCTAAGTCATATTCTACGATTATGTTTGATCGTTTAGTTTGTTTGTTGTTGCAGTGAATAAACAGAGACACAAAGAAATATGAGTTCCCAAGGGCGTTAACTAGCCACAAGGTACGTCTCAGAGATCACGGATCAAAGTGTACAAGCTTGATACCAAAACTGAAACGCTCACCAAGCTCACACCTCTCTCTTGTTAGCTTACGTCTCTCACCAAGGAATACAAGAAGAAAACCAGAAGAAGAATACCAGAGATAAACGATGATCACACACCCAATAACCCCTGTTTCTCTCACCCTCTCAATCTCCTAATTCCTCAAGGTATCGTACACCTCTCTCCCTTTCCGTGACTCATATATATATATACTCTGCACCATAGAACTGAATCACGTCTTGATTCATAGATTCCTCAAAGCTCCAGCTCAGCGAATCTTCTAACGGCCTCTGCAACTTGCTCTCTTTCACCCAAGTGAGCACCTTCAAAACGCAGAGTATAAACCACTCAGGGCCTCAACCAATAATGAACATTCTTATTGGGCTTCCTCATAAACCTGACTCAGCCCAAACCCTTCATTATCAGACCCAAATGTAAACCCGAAAATGTAAACCACAAACCAACACCTAGTTTAAGATTCATATAACTTGGAAACTAAACATAAACATTATCTTTTATTAGACGTAAGTTATAACTCTACTAGAGATAGAATTGAAAAAAAATAACAAAAAACATAGTTACTAATCATGTTTCTACCACAGTCTGTGCATATGTTTGCAGTGCAAGCGCACCGGTTAACCATCTCTTAACCAATGCCTCTGCGTTGCCTCCGAGAACAGAATTGTTTACATGCATAAGTAGCAGTAACCCAGCTGATTTCACCAAAACGAGTTTGCAAGGAAGCTGAGATTGTTCAAGTGTCATCTTTCATGATCAATGGACAACGAAAAGAGTGAGAGAGAGATGTTTAGAGAGAGAAGTGTTATGGGGATTTGTGATGTGAGAGACACAGAGAATACGAATATATATCTATAACATGAAGTATGCATTTGACGAGAAAATAAAAACCCTAATAAGATAAGTCCAATAGAATCTACTAATTGGGTAAAATATTTTAATTCTTGACTAATGACACTGTTTGTTTCATTTTATTTGTCTTGTTTTTATTTTTATTTCCTAACTGAAATCTTAGAAAAGAGAAAATAATAATACTATATTAAAATATTTGTATTTATTTGGTTGAACATATATATTTAAATTATTTTTTTAAAAGTAATTATTTTATTCTTAGTTTGACTAATTTTCTATTACATATTAGAAAGTGTGAATTTCTTTTTTTTATAAGGTTTTTACGGTATAGAATTTTCGTCTTAATACAATGTATTTTTAATATATATATATATATATATATATATATATATATATATATATATTTTCCATGATTTATTTTGTAATGAAATACCAATAAGGGTAGTTCAATTTTTCTTGCATGTTAATGGTTGGGTTTTGATGAACAGAGAATGGGAGTCATGGGACTATATGTGACGGGGGGATTTGGATTTCTATTTATTGGCTATGAGAAGAGTCTCATGGTGTCGTTTTCAACCGTCTGAAACTATATGAGTGACTAAGCTTCTGTTGCTTTAGTTACATTCTTCCATACATTTACTTATCTCTAACTTCAAAGCAACCCCTCTACGAGAGTGTTTAGAATTTGAAGAATCCTTCTTCTTTTCTCCTAACCGGACAAGATGTTGATGTTGAGTTCTGTTTTTTTTTTTGTTGAATTAAAAGATAATTTTCAGTTAAAAACTAATAAATGTATATTATTCGAAGTAAGATTTCCAATTAATAGATCAAAGTTAATTATAATCTAAATTATTAAAAATAGAAAATGAAAAAATAATATGAAAAGAGAGAAAAAAACATAGTTTTCGAATCTACAAGAACCGTATAAGAACTTGTGTGGACACATGGCATAATATTAGTGATCTATTTTTTTGGAAAAGATTAAAATTAAACTAAATAACATAATTAGGTTAGGAGTAGTATTTTAAATTGTTGTGAATTTGGGTGGGCGTTGGGCATGCCCTAAGGTGTTTCAAGAAACTAAGAACAATTTCAATAGGGTTCTAAAAATGTATATGTATGTATGTATATGTATATATTTAACATATATATATATACATACATTTTTAAAACCCCATTAGGGGTGCTCTAACTCAATTACCTTCATATATTATCGTTTCATGCATAGGTCTGTTTTATATTAATGTCATTTTCATACCATGTTTAGTTGTTTACATTTGCAACAATATTTCCTCCAATAAACTATCTCGATTACAGTTCTTTCCCAAGCTTCTCCACTAAGTCACGATTAAATTAACTGGGAGTGGTTTAGTAGCATTTGAACTTTGCAAAATTAATTAAACGATTTGATTAATTTTTAACATATTTTGCAAGGCGTTAAATTTTTTAATAAATTTGATTAACAGGGTTACATATATATAGAGCACAGATCTATTTTATTAGGAAAGTTGACCGATAATACAAAATGACAAAAAAAAAAACAATTAGCTATTTGTGCTTGGAAAGTGGAAGCTATATTATAGAGTTCTAATTGTGCTTAATAATAAGTTAACGCTTTTAAAACACGAGGCTAGAAACTACTTATACTATTAAAAGATTTTTTGGGATCTTTCCTCTTTAAATTAATTTGTTATCCTTATCTTCTAAAAATTTGCCCTCATATCACAAGAAACGAAAAACATGTGTGAAACCTATCGATGGTTATGTCTGACCAGGATGCTCAGTTTTGAACCAAACCAGATTGAACAAATAACTTCAACAGAAATTGCTGAAGCAAGGAGAGTTTTAGTGTTCTTTTCTTCTTTCAGTAACGTTTTGAGTAAAAAATTTATAAAACCAGAGCTGTAGTGAAAATACATAATCGTATTCGTTAATCAATGGTCCACGACCAGGCCAAACTCTATCTCCCCGCACAAGACATAACTAAAGAAACAAATTAAAGAGGCATGGAAGGAGAGTGGAGTTTAAAAAAAAAGAGCATCTTCTCAAATCTCAATTTACTTGTTTAATTTTAAAGTTAATAATTCACACCCTAATTAAGCATAGCTATACACAGATATATGTGCATGTATACACACATTCGTGTATAAATACTGATCACATGAACTCACATTTTCTTCATCCAGTAACATTCAAACCTAATCAATAACATAAACTCAAAAAAAACTTTTTCAAAAAAAACAAAAAAAAAACAAAAACTAAAAAAAAGGATGAATCCTATGTTTTACTTCCTTCTTGCCTTAACAGCTATTTTGGCCGTGACAGCAAGCCCCGGCGAACCAGTTCTCGACACTCATGGTAATATCATATTTGGCGGCAGTTACTACGTTCTCCCCCGCATCACCGGCGCTGCAGGTGGCGGCCTCACTCTCGCCTCCCGTGGTGAAAATTGGTGTCCCCTCTATATCGGACAGGAAACTTCAGAGGTTAACATGGGCATTCCCGTGATATTATCAGACTGGTTGTCTAGAGTTGCGTTTGTTCCCGAATCAGCAAACCTCAACATCAAGATGGACGTAGGAGCCACGTTATGTCCTCAGTCAACCTATTGGCATGTCCCTCCGGTCGCGCCAGGCACGGTCGTTGAGGCGTTGTTTATAGTGGCTGGTTCTAAACCGTTGAATGGTTTCTTCCAGATCAAGAAAATTGAAGATGCTCTTGGCGGTTACACGATTGTGTTTTGTGTTAAAAATAACGAGTGCAGGGATATTGGGATATTTGTGGACCGATATGGAGTTAGGCGTTTGGCTTTAAGCTCTACCCCGTTCCAGGTTAGGTTCATGAAAGTTCCTGAGACTGAGACTTCGTCTAAGCCTATTATGTCTATCATCTAAGAGAAACTGAAGACTACAAAGCTAAAAGGATAAGAGTTGTTATAACGTACTACTAATAATAAAACTCTATCTGTGTTTCTTGGTTTCTTTGTTCATCAATAATCATAAATGGAATAATGCATTTTCCTTTGTTTCCATCTTTACTTCCTTTTAGTTCTCTATCTAGTTTAAGATTCACATAACTTGGAAACTAACATAAACATTTTGTTTAGTTTATCAGTCGTAAGTAACTCTACTAGAGATATAAGTTAGAAAAACCTTTGAGAAAAGCATAGTTTCTAATCATGTTTCATCTCGGCGGCTCTGCCGTCTACTTGCATCCGATGGAACATTCATGTGTCCTCTTAGCCTTCCTCTTTCCTTGAAGGCTTGAATCCTCTCCTTAGATCAGTGCTTCTCAATCGCAAAATCCGATAAGATCTGATTTTCGGTCCACTATAGATCAGTGCAAATGTTTGCAGTGCAAGAACCCAGAGCACGAGACCAATAAATAATGAGAGCTCGTGAAAGGTGCTTGCAAATTAAATATTTTTTGGTCTATTAAATATTTAATAGACCATCAATTACTAGAGAAATTACGTACTACACATACCATTGGTATCTACTTTATTAAAATATTTTTTTTTTTTATCTACTAATACAAGTTATCATTTAAATTTGAATCATTTCTAGAGTGTTACAAAGAATACAAGATATATAGTTAATTCAACCGCATTATTTAAATTAAACCGTTCTTATTTATGGGATACAGTATTGGACTTACTTTTGTTTTTGTAACAAATTATATGGTTTGGTTTTTGAGCTTAGTATTAAAGAAAAATTCCAAAAAACATTGAATAAACTTTCCAACTTAATGGAACAAAAAATCATTTATTATTTTCAGGTCCAAAAGGTATTTAATATTTTTAACAAAACAAAATTGTCTGTTATTAATCATTTATTTAAATCATGTACTTTAAAATATGTTAATATTTTTTTTTATTTTTAATGACAATCACTTTGTTTTGATAAATTTCAATTGTAACTTTTAAATAATTTATTATTTTATTTTTCTTAAATAGTTTACTTATTTAAAAAAATGTAAAGCAAAACCAAAAACCAAATCTATAAATTAAAATCCAAAACCAAAAGCTGAAAAACGCAGATTATATTTTTTATTTTTGTTTATTTACAAAATAAGCTATTGCAATTTTTTTAAAAGATTTTTGTCATCTTTTCAGTTTTAAATTAGATGTTCGATTATTTGGAATTTATTTGTTGGTAATATCAGTTCAAACTAACTCAGCGGGTCTAAAATTTAAAAACCCAAACCAAAAAATCAAAAATAGAACCAAAATCTAAAAAAAAATCGAAAAATAAAAACTGGAATTAAAAATTAATGAAAAACAATCATCACCACAAATTTTGGTGAACTGATTTTATACCAAAACATTCTTTAAATTAAGAAAAAAAATTCAATTTTATAACTTTTTAATCATAAAAAATTTCCACACTTGAAAAGAGCGGGTCAAAATCTAATGTCTATATTATATTTGATTAATAAAATGCTAACACATATGACATCCTCTTTTTAAAAAGTGACATGTAGTCTTATCACAAAGCTTCTATAATTTTCAACTTCTCTTGGATTTCCTTAAGTTTTATTATTTCTTCCATAAATATGTCTCCAATACAAAAAAAAATTTCAATAGAAAATATTCATGAAATTAAAATTTTTTGTTCTATATTCTCCAAATCCGTTGTAATTCATGAAAAAAAACTTTTTTATTGTTTCAATTCACAATTTTCTAAAATTTTTTTAATAGCCCATCATTTATTTTTAGTCATTTTACTTTCCAAACACAAAATCAATATTCTTATCATAGCTAAGGCTTAAAGATATATATAATTAACAATTTATATAGTACAAAATGTCAATTGCATTTGCATGTATAATTGAACCAATTATGTAAACCCTAAATTAAACTAAATTATTTATTTTTATAACATACTCCGCACGGGTCTTACCTTGTTAAGTTACCCATTATAGCTGATGCCTCGGTAAAATGTGTAGTCAACTGAATTATTTGAAGTTTTGTTCCATTGTATAGTCACTTTATGATACTCACTTAGATCTTTTATCTATTTTAAAGATGACTGAATTTATCTAACAAAAACGATGGATGTGTGTTTTCTACAAAGAAAACACGAATTTTTATGAATAAGTTGAATCTTATATATTGAAATATTTGTGTTGACGGTTCAGACTCGAAAGAATTAGATCTATTTATATAGAGATAAGAAAATCCATATATTATTAGGAAAAATGGGTTTTTCTTAAATTATATGTTTTTAAAAATTAAAATTTGATATATATATTTATATTGAAATATTGCCTTTTTGATATATAATAAAGTGATCTGGAAACAAATACTAACAAAACAAATGAAAGATATTAGTAATGAAATTTAGAAAATCAATTTAATATATTAAAGTTATCACTATAAATAGTTATTTAAGAGTCAACGTAAGAAATACATGGAAAACTGAATTTTCAAATAATATTATAGGAATAGAGATTGTAGCACATGATTCTTATGGTTACTTGCTACATTTTATTTTTGTATGTGTCATTCCAGCCAATTTCCCTTAAATAAAAGATCTACAAAACCAGATCTGTAATGAACATACATTATCTTATTCGTAACCAGCAGCTGTCCAAGACTAGGCTAAGACTAATTATTAAAGAAGGAATCGTAGAAAAATTTAATTAACTAAATAAACGTGGATTGTGTTTCAAAAAATAAAAATAAAAATAACGTGGATTAAAAAAAAGTATGGCATCTTCTCAAATCTCGATGTACTTTCTTAATTTTATAGTTAATAATGCAAAACGTAAGCACAGGTATACAAAGCTGTATGTGCATGTATACACATTCGAAAAAAGTATACACAGTTGTGTATAAATACTTCTCACATGAACTCACATTTTCTTCATCCAATAACATTCAAATCTAATCAACTACATAATAAACACACACAAAAAAGAAGAAGATGAATCTTATGTTTTACTTCCTTCTTTCCTTAACCACTGTTTTGGCCGTGACCGCAAGCCCTGGTCATCCAGTTCTCGACATTAAAGGTAATATCATATTCAGCGGCAGTTACTACGTTCTCCCCCGCATGGTTGGCGCTGGAGGTGGCGGTCTGACTCTCGCTCCCCGTGTAGGCCACCAGTGTCCCCTCTATGTCGGGATGGAAACACATGGCAACAAGGGCATTCCCGTAAGATTCTCAAACTGGGAATCTAGAGTCGGCTTCGTTCCTGAAGCAGAGAATCTCAACATCGAGATGGACATCAAAGCTACGACCTGCGTTCAGTCAACCTATTGGTATATCTCTGCGTCTGACAGTCACTTTAGGACGTCGCTCATTGCGGCTGGTCCTAAGCCTAATTACTTCCAGATCAGGAAAGCCTCTGAAGATCTTAACAGCTACAAAATAGTGTGCTGTTCTGAGGATGACGATGAAGATTGCATGGATGTCGGGGTATTTATGGACGCATCTGGAAATTGGCGTTTGGGTTTAAACTCAAAGCCATTCCACGTTGTATTCATAAGAGCTAGTGAGGATGAGACTTTGTCAAAGATCAAGTCTATTATCTGAGAGAAATTAGACTACAAAATTAAGAGGCTTAAGAGTTTTAACGTACGACTAATAATGAAACCCTATCTGTTTTCTTTGTTCATCGATCATAATATATGAGATAAAACATACTATTTCGTTTGTTTCTTTTTTTTTTTGGACCTAGTTCTAGCCGCAATTTTTTTTTAGCGATTTTCATTCGTTTTCTTTCTAATCTTACTAGTTTTGACCAAAATATAACATATTTATGAGTTAACAACATGTGATTTCAAGCATCTAGAAAAACAATAGTTTCTATAACTCTCTCGATTAAGTAGCCGCTTATGGTCAAATCGCAACTCTTCCTACCCTCAACGCGCTTTTCCGGCAGTTAAGCCGCATGTACCGCATTTTCGCACAGAGCAACTATTAAACTAATACAAAACATCAAAAAAATAAAAGAGAAGTAACAATTTTTTTAGAAATCGTATGTCCTCTTTTAAGACTACTTTCACATACTATAATGGGAAACACAAGGCATTTTACTGGTGATTGACTTTTTTTATAATTAACAGTTGATCAATTTTTTTTTGTCACGTTTAACAGTTGATCATTTAATTTCATGATGAGTAATGTGATTGGTTGCCCCTGAATCGATCACCCAAGCATTTAGAGGAGTAGCATTGTTGGTCATAGAACAAACATAAGGTTTGGCATTACCGGTAAAGGAACAATGAATAGAGGGGTAAGAATTACCGGAAATGGGACAAGTAGATGATGAAGAAGGAATGGAAACTGAGACTGAGTGAACCTCTGGAGTGGGAGAATTCGCTGGAGGTTGAAGCTTGCTGCTGAGGAAAGATACTAGCTGTTGGATCTGAGTTGGAGAGAGGTCTGAAGCAGTCAACTCAGGAGGTGGAGAAGCAGTAATGATAGCAGCGTTAGCAGAGGCAGAAGTAACCAGCGTATCACTCTTTGGAGTTGGTTTCATGCTGTTAGGATAACCGTGTTTCCTGTAACAACGATCAATAATATGACCAGGACGGTTGCAGAACGTACAGAACGGTCTATCCCTTCGCTGATAACCACTAGAAGAAGGCTTAGGAGCAGCCTGATCAGTAGATTGAGACACCTGGAAAGCAGCAGGAGCAGACACAGCAGAAGTCTGAGCATGAGCAGCACGATGACTGTCATCTTGATCCAGAAGATTGAAGACCTCAGAGAAGCTTGGAAGAACTTTCTTCATAAGAATACGGCTCCTGATGTTTTCGTAGTTGTCATTGAGTCCCATGAGAAAGTCAATGATACGATTGGTTTCCCTTTCAGAGAGAAGATCTTCAATTGTATGATTAACACTTTGAAGACTTGAGAGTTCCTCCCACAACGACTGTGTCTTTGTGTGATATGAGGAGAGGTCCAAGCTGCCTTGTTTGAACGAGTGAAGCTGGTGACGAAGCTTGTATAGTCGTGGTAAATTTGACTTGTGATAACGCGTATGCAGATCTGACCAGATTTCTGAAGCATTCTTGAAATACAGTATACTCGTATAGATCTGTTTCGTAACACAATTCAATAACCAGGATTTGACCATACTGTTGCATCTACACCAGATTCGAAAGTACGGATCGTTCTCAGAAGGTTTAGCAATGGAGCCATCAACAAAACCTAACTTGTTCTTAGCCTCAAGACTAGTGGTCATCGCTACTATCCAAACACCGTAATTGCTACCATCAAGAGATTCCGAAGCTAGAACTAAACCAGGATGATCGGAATTGAGAAGATGATAGGGAGAGTGAATGTTATCAGGTGAGTCAGATACCTCAAAGCGAGCCACAGATGGAGGAGGAACAGAGCGGTTGAGAGCGGGAGATTCGGTGACATCGCGACGTTGATTAGAGCCAGACGGCAAGTCACGAGTCATCGGAGAAGACGGTGAGTGAGAACCCGGAGGATCCGGTGACGAACGACGGAACTTCGATTTGCAATTGCGCTTCCCCATTGATATCGATCTCGAGCTCCGATGTCGAAGACAATCTGATTGTGAGCTGAGATAGCAGGAGGAAGCAGAAACAGATGCGAATCGAAGACTAGATCGGAAGAATTTGAGATGACGGCGGAGAAAAACGGTTACGGTTACGATGAGACGGCGGAAGTGTCAGTTAGAGAACGAGCTCATGTTGCTCTGATACCATATGAGTAAAATAAACTCATTCTCATTAACTCATTTACAATGTACAACGACAGTATTTATACTCTATACAGACTTCATGTACACGTATACAAAGTAATCAACTATACAATACATATATAGGATAATATTCACTATATCGATAGTGTTTAGAAACCCTTTTGACTTTTCTTATGCCGTGGGTTGCTACAAGCCTACAACCAAACAATAGAAATCGATACAGAATTTACTTGACCTTTGGGCCTAAAACACTTAAAAGCCCATTTTACTCTGTATCCATCAAAGTATGTTCAACACTAATGATGCACTCATTTGGCTTCCGGATAAAAACGGGAAGTACTCTACCAAGTCGGGTTATACGTCCGCCACAGAACGTCAGTCAGGCATGAAAGACAAGACCTTGCCCCCAAAATAAAAGTTTTCTTGTGGAAAGTAATACAAGGTGCATTACCCCTTGGTGAAAATCTGCTTACTCGTGGTATACAGCTCAACGCTGCTTGCATTCGATGTGGGGAGTTTGAAATTGCTTCTTATATGTTCCTTTCTGCACATTCACTAATGATATATGGAAGATGCACCACTTCAAGAAAATTCTAGAGCATGATGCCCTCAACTTCTGTCTTCGCTGTAGCCAGTGGCGGAGCCACATGAAGTAAGGGAGAGGCAGTTGCCCCTGATGAAAGTTTCAAATTCAGTGTAATTTCTTTAAAAATTTTAGTTATGCCTCTGCTCACATACTATTTTTGTTAATAGTTTTCATCTTTGCTCCGGATAAAAATGTATTCTAGATCCACCACAGGCTATAGCTGACTCCACTGCAAAAGAAATTCTCTTCTCTATAAACATTCTCTCATCTGATTATCCCTGTTTTCAGATGATTTGTTTCTATTAATGAAGTTGGTGTCCAAAGAAAAAAGACATGGAGTAATGTCTTCTTTTTTTTAACACAACACGGAGTAATGTCTTATCATCTTATGTTTGATTTTCTCATCATGAAACAACATTGAGAAATGATATAGTTGTTTTTTACTAAACTCAATAGTCTTAAAAATTAAAATGATTGACTCTTTGTAAGTTCGAGTACAATCACCTACGGTGACAGACTGACAGTGGTGTTGTTAATGTATGATGATGATTCATTTTAGAGATTGTAAACAAAGAGATGGTGTTGATTTGTTATAGATGATTCATTTGTTTATACATATAAGCTTGCCTAACTTTAAGAAGCATTTGCGGTATTCCCACAACTCGTCATCCACTAATAATTGATCAAATACATGTTAATAATTTTTTATTAGTGTAAAGAAAAGAAGACAAATGAAATTGGGTTAAGTATGGATTTGATGATCATTTTGTAAATGATGTGGTATTATATATTAGCATTTATGTTGTATCATTACTAGTTTTCCACTAGTGCTACCTAGTGTTCTCGGCCTTCCTCAATTTTGTGCTTCTATCATCTTGTTGATGAAAACAGACAAATCTTTTTACTTTCTTATGTCGTCACTTTGCAAGATAATGTGAGGTTCTTAGTTTACATTTGGATACAACAAATTATAACTTGCAAAAGCTATTTCGTTACGTATTGTTCGGACTTAAAACTTGACTTACTCATACAGTTTGTGTGAATTCTAATATATTCACATAATTACTTCTACTTAGTGCGAGGACGACCGGAACATAATAATATATAAAGACCGGATGCTTACTCATACACCATCTCTTATTATAGAAGTATATATAAGAGACTTTGGAAACTATAGGCATATACCTATAACATTCCCATAGAATCTATGTAGAATATGCCTTACAGTTATAGACAATGATCCTCATCTGTCCACGATATGTGAAGCAAAACCTTACGTAATTTATTATCAGTTACGAGAAATCACATGAAAAAAGGAGCTTTAAAATTACGAATATTCCTCCTAAAATATTCCTTAATTAAGAAAAAGTTCGTGTATGATTACACTAACTTAGCGATAACACTAAAGCGTAATCACAAGTGTTCAAACATTTTCATCCTCATGATTAAACTACAATTCTTCAACAGAAAAGGCAATGTGGTTGAGATTTTATATAATATAAGGATTTCAACTAACGCCATTAGCACTAATAATTTATATTCACATAAGGGGGAGGTTCATGAACAATCTGCTGTTTTCCTATAGGTGGAGCCAAATAATAAGTTGGAGGTTTCATGTGGGATGAACATTATGTGTCATGGAAACAACGAAAGACGTGTTACACTAGGATCTTCACTCGAATCGATTGTAAAATATGGAGGAAGATGTGGATTTTACGCAAAAAAATGTGCAACATATTCTTCACAGAGTATATGAGCTATAAATATGTTATTATCATGAACACGCCAACCTTTCTTTCTATAGGGATTACCCGAAAGTTAGAGACTAGAGTGAAAGAGTTTGATACCATATCACTATATATATATCACAGAAAATGACAGTTGCTAATTGTTGCTGTATTGATATATAGGTTGCAAATGCCTTATTAGATTATCGAACTAGGTTATAAGAGATAAAGAATGTTCACACTCTCAAGCGCTAATTAAGTTTCTACATCCAAGTAGACCCCTTAACCCCCACGTAATGTCCTAATCCTACTATTTAATCCACTTTCTTCATGGCCTCTTTGGATGATCGCACCTCGTTAATATACTAATCTTTAATGATCCAACAATCTTAAAAGTTGTTAATGATTGGATAATCCAAATCGAAAACTTGATTAAATTTGTCGCCATTAAATGTGCAAAAAAAATGGGAGCAAAATGTTTACGTTTTATAACAAGAAAAAAAGTTTACGTTTTTTTTTCTAAGCAATTCCTATTATAATTCAGTCAAAAAAAATTCCTATTATAATCCCTTAGAGGTTATATTTGTTTGTTGCATTTTTTCATTTTCAGATCAATTGTATTTTTCAAAGTTAGTTCATTTTACCTTAAATTATTATTATATATATATATATATATATTTATATATAGCGTATTTATAATCACAGATATAGATATAGATATAAAAGAATATCAAAAGAACCAATTTATACATTTGTGTGGAATTTTCATGATTGGCTTTACACTATTTACTCCTTTTCTGAAGTAGCACTATTTACCTTTTGTAAAGGGATAAACCGCTAAAGTGTATACTAATCATCGAACCACATCTGATACCTTAAATATGTCATATTGCCTACCAAGACGTAACACTAAGCTACTTACGGATGAATACGTTTTCTAACAAAGAGTTTCTTCCAAAATTAAAACTCATTTATTTCATGTATTATTCGGCCAAAATCCACAAAAGAACCGAACTTTTTGAAAGCACAATCAAACAAATCTTAATGAGTTTTGGAACTCATATGCATGTTGTTGACACATCAAAGAGTTAATTTTGTAATTTCAGGAATGTCTTATCCTTATGCATCACACATTCTTTTTCTTTTTCTCGTCGATCATGTATCATGTTTATTCTAACCGTAACTTTGTCATTTAGTTTAATTATATTTGTTTTCAATATAACGAGTCACGTTTCTTTTTTTTGCAAATGCGTTACATCTGCAGACAAATAAAAAATGGACGAAAAATAGAAATACAAGAGAGTAGCACACTTTTGGTTGTTTAAAGTTTTGGTTAAGAGTTACGTACTTACAGGGCGTACTTACATGAATGTTAGTATGTTCGATAGCAAGTTGTAAGTAAATCTTGGCCTTTTTCAATTTTAAATAAAATCTCAAGTTAATTGATAATACGAACACACAATATAAGAAAAAGTTGATTAAACTATATTAAAATTAAATTAATTAATGACTCATTACCCACAATCTCCTTTGATTAGATTGTTTATTCGAGAGTGTTACAAAACGTTGCTCGGCCATGTGTATATATATATACGGTTAATCACTTATGACATCTATCATCAACCAACAAAACCAAACCTTAAAACAAGATTATTTACACCTGAAACAACAGAAAATAATGAAACCTTCTGGACAAGAAGCTCCAAACCTTGTGGATACACCACCAAACATATCAAATGATTCCTCAGCATCCGAGAAAGGAGAAGCAACAAGCCAACAACAATCAAACAATGGTTATGCACTCACAGTTGACGAAGTGATCGAGCAACACATTGGAGCTCTAGGGTTTGCTCAGATTGTGCATGCTCTCTTGGTCTCTATCGCTTGGACCTTTGATGCTCAATCCACTCTTATATCCATTTTCTCCGACGCTAAGCCCGCTGCGAGGCTTATCGAAACGGGAGCCATCCTTGAGGGCTCGATGTTGTGTGGACTGTCCACAGGAGAGTGGGATTGGGTTGGAGGAAAGGGCGACACTATTGTTTCTGAGTGGAATCTCATTTGTCGACACAAGTTTCTTGTTGCTCTTCCATCCACTCTTTTCTTCATTGGATCTCTTTTTGGTACGAATTAAATAACTTTCTTATAACTCTTAACTAAAATCTATCATAATATATATTAATATTATAATAATAATCTCTTACAATTTCAAGTGAAAATAATTTACATGTCGTTCAAATATTCAATTTTTTTTTGTTTACTTAACATAATATGTATTCTCAAATTTTTGAAAAATTCTCTCATTATAATATTAATACATACATGGTCTGATGGCAAAAAAAAAATAAAAAATACATACATGGTTTTAACTAGTGGGTTCACATGATTCTCATGTTGTCTTTTGTTTTTTTTCCTACAGGTTCAGGAGTCTACGGATATCTTGCTGATAAATGGTTTGGTCGGAAAAAGACACTATTTATCTCTTGTCTATTAACGTTTGTCACTGCCTTAGCGATCTCCTTTTCACCAAACATTTGGGTTTACGCGTTCTTGCGTTTCGCCAACGGATTCTTCAGATCAGGAATCGGTTCTTGCTGTATTGTCCTCGCCACAGAGGTCGTAGGTAAAAAATGGCGTGGACAAGTAGGCCAATACGGTTTCTTCTTCTTCACGTTAGGGTTTCTGTCTCTCCCACTCATGGGTTACTTGGAGAGAAAGTCATGGAGAAACCTTTACAGAATCACATCTCTTCTACCTCTTGGATACGCTGTTTTTCTCTTGCCCTTTGCTTATGAGTCTCCGCGTTGGCTTCTTGTAAAAGGACGTAACAAAGAAGCTATGGTGGTCTTGAAGAAACTCGCGAGGCGCAACGGGAAACAACTTCCAGCTGAGCTAAGCCTAGTTGATCCTATTGAAGGAAGAGATGATCCAACTTCGTCGTCATCGGAGAACTTTTGGAGAACTAAATGGGCAGTGAAGAGGATTGTGATGGTTATGTTGGCTGGATTTGGAACTGGTTTTGTTTACTATGGAATCCAACTAAACGCTGAGAATCTCAACTTCAATCTTTACTTAACCGTTGCGGTGAACGCTCTGATGGAGTTTCCAGCGGTTTTCATCGGAAGCTTCCTCTTAGGAGTCATGAACCGTCGTCCGTTGTTCTCCAACTCATCATACCTAGCTGGAATCTGTTGCTTGCTCTGCGCGGTACTCTCGCTCCATCGTGTGACCCGTGCACTACCCGCTTCCAAATGGCTGCAGCTAGCAGTTGAGGCGGTTGGTTTCATGGCGTCCTCAACGGCCTATGATGTTCTATATGTCTATGGTGTTGAGCTGTTCCCGACAAACGTGAGGAACTTTTCGGTTTCGCTGTTGCGTCAGTCGTTTATGCTGGGAGCTTCTGCAGCACCGTTGTTAGTTGCATTGGGGAGAGAAAGCGCGATGATGTCGTTCATTGTGTTCGGTGTTGCGTCTATGTTGAGTGGCGTGGTGAGTTTATGGCTAAGGGAAACGCGGGACGCTCCACTTTATGAGACACTGACGCAGCAGGGGAAGGCTGAAGAGTTGGAAAAGGAAACAGAACACTCTTGATCACTTGTAACGTTCAATAATTATCCAATAATTGGAAAAATGTAACATATTTTGGGTTTTCCATCAAGATGTATGAAACGTTGATTGTTAGTTTGAATAATCAGAACCAAGAATCACGAAGGCTATGTTGTAAGGATTGATTGAAAATACCGAACATAGAACATAACTGTTGTTGTGAACAAACGCGAATCAACTCAAAGAAAGCAAAACAAATTGAGGCAAATACCCGTTTGAGGAATTTTATATTATTGTCTGAATGAATAACTTTATAATTTCTTAGACTCATATTTATATTTGTCTCAAAACCTGATTTTCTTTTCTCTCTAGGAATACACTTATCTTGAAAAGGTAAATTCCCCCCATATGTTAATCTTGATAGCGCCTACGACACCTGCATTTGACCGGACAACGAATGCTGGATTTTTACTGATGGACAGAGATTTAATACATATCCAAATGCAACAAGAACTCATTATATACATCTCTGTGTATTTTGAGAACTCCAAATTCAGAACCCTGGATGGAAGTACTCTTAGATTGGAAAGGGTAAAGAATAAGCGGTGCATACCAAGTTGGCTTGGCTGATAATCTGAGGTAATATGTCTTGTAATTCTGGTAGATTAAAAAGAAAAAGACGATGCTGCTGTTCTAAATGGAATTACAGTTTTTAATCAACAAATGCGATCTTACGAGTAAGTTCATGCCAGTGGTTCATATGTATCACAGAAGTTCGAGGAAGCGCATCAATATCTACTCTTGATTGAATTGAGTAGGTATACACATAGTTACTAATCACAACGCTAGAACCTCTGTGAAAACAGGGTAACAAGAAGAACAAAGCTCGTGTTTTACTATGAGCTTAACCTTGAACAGACAAGAATACGCAATAAAAAAAAAGAATCTCGAGTCAATGAAGAAACCAAATGAATCAAGAAGATAATAATTTTTTTTTTTGAAGATAATAAAATGATTTGGACTACTTAAGCTAAATCAGAGAAGCAGCAAAGAAGCAATCGGTCTTAAGTTTTAACTTCCAATTTTACTTGGATCTTGAAGTAGTGAGAATTTAAAAGAAAAACAAAAGGAAATATGTTTTATTCAACTTATGAAGTACAAAGAAAACAGGAAACACATAGATAGAGTATTATTATTATTATTAATCGCATTTTTTAACTCTTTTCTTCTTAAAGTCTTTAATCATTTCTCACGAACTTAACCGAGAATATCTCAAAAGTGCCAACAGTCAAACGCGGAGTGCCAAATTCATCCAAAGTCACCCCTACATTTTTGCAAGAGTCACTTGTAGGACAATAGTAAATATGGTAATAATGGTCCCAAACACCTGGAAGAAACTGTTCGACGATTTGGAAAGAATTCTTAGACAAATCTTGTTGCTTAGGACCAACCGCTACGAACCTATCTGCCCACCAATAGGATTCTTGACTGCAGCTGCTGTTCGTGGGGACGGTGTCCATCTCGATGTAGAGACTTTCATGTTGAGGAACGTGGTAAGCATCTATGGTGGTTGAGAATTTTATGGGAATGCCCTTACCGAGCAGCGAAATTTGCCGTTGGACATAGAGGGGACATTGTTTGTCACCACGGGAGGAGAGATTCAGGCTGCCACCGAGCCTTGGGACGGCGTAGTAACTTTGGTTGTATTCGACGGGAAAACGATTAGAGTCGAGAACAAATTTGACTTGGTCTTGTGCGGCCACGGCCAGAACAGTGGTTAAGGCAACAAGAAAGTAAAACATAGGAGTCATCTTTTTTTTTTGAGTTTTTGTAGTCTATTAGATTTGAATGTTGCTGGATGAAGAAAATGTGAGGTCATGTGATCCGTATTTATACACAGATGAGCATGCAGCTTTGTATACGCTACGTTTAGGGTTTGAATTAACAAGTAAATTGAGATTTGAGAAGATTGCCTATTTTATTTTACTCAATGCTTTCCTTCCACGCTTCTTTTAAGTTTATTTATTTTTTTTGATACGAATCCATCTTTAATTTTGATTTAAACGTTATGAAGGAAAAATGTTGGTCAAAGCTCATATTTTTTTTTTCTTATAAAAGAAAAAACTAACAAAATTATTTATAAAAGTTTTATTCGTGGAAATACTATTTATTTTATTCAATTGATAAATAGATAATTTTATATGTTTAGTAAACGCCATAATTACCTTAAATATAATTTTATCTGAAAACGCAAAGTCGACTTATCATAAAGAAATTAAAAATATTTCTTACAAATTTTGGAATGAAAAAGATTGTAGCAAACAAAAGAATATAGATTGTGTTTCATCCTATTTTTTTTTTAATTATTGAAGACTTGCTAGCACTACACCCTTTAGCTATACAATTCGTAGACGATGGAGCATGATCTAACCGCTCTTCGTCTCAACGATTCCATTTTATCAAACAAGTGGTTGAAAGCCACTAAGAAGAAAAACATTTACAAGAAAACAAAGGTTTCGGTTGGAAAAGCTTTTAGTGATAATTTTCCTTACAGAAATAACATCGTACTTGTTTTCTAAAAGTATTTTGCATAAGGTATTTGATAAAAAAAAGTTTCATAACTGATTTTTCACAGCAAACAAACAGATTTCTAATACATATTAGAAATACAAAGTTAATATTCAGAATTTCTGAAAACATTATTTTGGTAAAAATGTTAAAATATTATTATCAATGGAAAAACAAAAAGTTGAAAAGAAATAAAACAACTAAACAGTATTTTTCCTACCTAACACGAGAAAGATACAACAAGAAAAACAACTAATCATGCCGAGTCGAAACATCCCGCTTACTGCAAAATGAGTAGCCTCAGTTAAACCAAGAGACAAAACTCGGTAATATTGACTTCCCCAGTGATCCGCTTTCTCTCCCCAATGTAACTACCAATCACAACGAAAAACAAATTATTACATAAACAAACAGATGGATGTGTCATTTTTTTTTTTTTTCTGAACACATAATGGATGTGTCATATATTGAGAAAATATAACATGAAAGTGAATTTGACATGCTTTGTAAATATTTTTACCCAAATTCTCTTAAATATAAAAAAAAAAATATACACACTAATTAAGAAGATGATAATTTATAATATTGATTCCGGTTTAAAGGCACCATTCGCTAATTGTATTTTTGTATATATCTTTTCCTCGTGGGTCAACCCCACTAATAAAATGGCCATGTGTTTATCCAGCTCTATTTTAGTTAAGAATAAGTTGGCTATGTAATACTCTTGAAAGAATTAATTTACACATTTAACATTATAAAATAATTTTGAGGAAATTGCTTTTTGAGATCATTTTATCACTATAAATTGTAAGAATACTCGTCTTATAACATCAATATTTACAGAAACAGTGTTTTTTATATATACTTTCGAAAAAAACAAAATTATATAGTTTATTTTGATAAAAAAAATAATATGTATTTTCTTTTAATAGTATACTAGATTTTGATCTACGTTTTTTAAAACATGGAATTATTTATAAGGAGACATAACATATACCTAAATATAAAAATTGATGTAAAATAATTTTCATTCTTTTTATGTTTTCATAAAATAAAAACAAACAAAATCCGTGCAAGGAATCCACACCTAGTTTAAGGATGAAGAAATGATCTCGCATATGGAATCAGATTCGATCGGATTTTGCGATTGAGAAGCAAATGCCACGAGGACACAAGGATGTTCCAGCGGCAGAGGAAGGGCCATGCCTCAAGGCCACAAACTTTTTTTAACTTCAGGCCCCATTTCTTACAAATAGTTTGATTTAGTAAAATAATTCTAAGTTTAGTTTCAACTAGCACTTTTGGTAATAAAACCCTTCTAAAAACAATCCATTAGCAATGTGTAAGTTGATGTTTATAATGTCGATAACTTAATGTAAATAGTCAGACCCAAAACTCATGAATGCTGTGTTAAACGGACTGGCTGAAAAAGACAGAATATAGAACAGAACTCATTTGAACAGATGGTAAGCAAAAAGAGATCTAACCTTGATAAGCACCAAGTGATAGTAAAACAATGTCTTTTTGTTCTCAAAGATTAGAGAAAAGAAGAATCTGACAAACATTTTTATGATGTGTTTTGCTGGTGGAGCTCTTCTTTCTCTAAGAAGCAGCAGCTTTGGGTTGAGCAGCTTCTTCAGTAACAGGAGTCTCAAAAGTCTCTCCCACTACAAGTTCAGGGACATCATCATCATCGTCCTCTTCTTGGATAGTTGCTGGAATATCAGCTCCACCTGGTGTCTGTTTCTGGAATTGCTCTGCTAGCTTCTTCAGGTTGTCTAAGTTATCAGGCCCTGTGATGAACAGAGTAAGAGAAATCAGTTAACATCAAGCGATCACTTACAAGTTAGTGTGTAAACACATACCAAGTTGGCTGATAATCTGCGGAAGTATGTCTTGTAATTCTGCAGGAAAAAAAAATCAGATTTTGATATTAGAATATGAATAAACAGAGGAGAGTAATGGATAATTGTAGATGTAACACTTACTTTTGGTCTGTGGTGTACCACTCACAGCCCATGTGTTAGCAGCAATCGAAGCTTGAACTGTAATATCATTATCAACACAATGAAGTCTTTAACCAAATGTAATAAAACAAAATTAAAATGTTTGGAACATTACCCTTGGGGTTAATGAACTGAATGACAACATCATCTTTAAAGATGTTAACTTCCTCAATACCGGGAATGGAGTTAACTCCAATTCTCTTAAGTGTGCTCTGGAGTTTCTTGTCATCGGTAGTGTTTGTCTTGTGAACAGCCTTCTTCTTTCTGAAAATGAGAAACAAAAAAAAAACATTTTAGCCAACATAACAACATTACCTAATGCTTTTAAAAAAATGAGAGACTTTATATACACATTACCTTCTTACTGTCCCTTTACCGCCAGTGCGGACAGTGTTAGCCATCTTCATTAACTTCTCCCTATTCATCTGTTGTGTAATAAACAAAAAAAGACACCTTTAAATCCCAAAATGTTATCTAAGAAGTTTGTGAGAACGCATCAGTATCTAGTTCTACTCTTGACTGAATCAATTAGGATTATACACAGTACTAATCACAAAGCTATAACCTTTGATCCCAAAATGTTATCTAAGAAGTTCCAGAGAACGCTTTAATCTCTACTCTTGACTGAATCAATGGTAACCAATCAAAAAGCTACAACCTTTAATCCAAAAATGTAACTAAGAAGTTAGTTACACTCAGTAAATCGCACAATGTAAAATAATAATTAAAAAAAAAAAACTGTATCTAAGAAGTTGGAGGGAAAGTACAAATATCTACACTAAGAAATAGTCTCGTGCTTTACTATGAACAAATAAGACAGTACTTGTAATAATACTCAATGACAAAGACAGTATCTCGAATCAATTGAATCGAGAAGACATGGAAACTGATATTGACAAAACTTCAGGAAGTAATCGGTTTTGTCGGAATGAGTAGATTGGTGAAGTGTGGTGTACCTTTGAGGGTTCTTCCTTCGTGCAAAGGGGAAGATAAGAAAGAGACAGAGAGATCCAAACGGCGATGGAGGGTTTTGCGATGCCTTAGCCGATTTCGCCTTTACCACGAATACAATTAATTAATTAATTATATAAAAACACTATCCAACGGTCAGTATCTTACGTCTGTTTATCAAACTCTCCTTCTCTACCGTTCGATATCACTACAACCCGCGATATATTTATTTGGACCATGGGCCTAAACTCTATGGCTCATTTCATATCCAAATTCACTAAATGCGCAATTATTGGAACTTGTTGATTTACTAGCACAATAACTGAAACAATGAGACTAAAATTTATAATGATTCTCAGAATTTTAGAATCTAGTGTTATTGGTTTATAGATTTTTACATTTCATCAGAATTTAATGTTATTGATTTGATGATTTATTAACTCTATACATAATCTTTGTTATTAAAAAAAATTAAATTTTAATATTTTTTAAAAAATCTATCAAAATTGATGTTATCTTTACCATTTAACTCATAACATAAGATTTTGAGAATATTACCTATATACTTTATATGTTAGATGGATAAACAAAAAAGACAAGGAGGACAACATGGATAGAGTTTTATTATTTTTCGTAAGTTATAACTCTATTATATTCTTAATTTTATAAGGCAAGAAGGAAGTAAAACATATGATTCACCCTTTTCTGAGTTTATGTAGCTTATTAGATGTTACTGAATGAAGAAAATGTGAGTTCAGGTGCATACAGCTTTGCATACACCATGCTTAGGTTTTGAATTATTAACTTTAAAATTAAGCAAGTACATAGAGATTTGCAAGCACCTTTCACGAGCTCTCTTTATTTATTGGCCTCGTACTTTGTGAGTTTCATGCTCTTGCCATTGAGAGATGAGGAACCAAGGAAACAGAGATGAAACATGTATGTTCTACTAGACTAGGTTTTTGTGTTTAGGGTTTTAATTATCTCTCTAGTAGACTACAAAATTAAGAGAATAAGTGTTATAACTTACGACTAATAGAGAGAAAATGTTTCTGTTTAGCTTCTAAGTTATGTGAAGCTTAAAGTACAAAGACAATTAAAAAGAAAAAGGTAACAAAAGAAAGATGTTTTATTCCATTAAAGATGAACAAAGAAAATAAGGAGCACAGATAGAGTTTCATTATTAGTGGTAAGTTAAAACTCTCATCTTCTTAAGTTGTAGTTCTGTTCTTTTTTCTCTCAGATAATAGACATAATAGGCTTAGACGAAGTCTCTATCCCATTAGCTTTCATGAACACAAACGGGAACGGCGTAGAGCTTAAAGCCAAACGCCGAACGCCATATTCGTCCACAATTATCCCGACATTTCTGCAATCGTTACCGTTAGGACAAAACATAATATGGTAACCGTCAGGAAAACCTTTAGCTTGCTTGATCTGGAAGAAACTCCTCGACGAATCTTCTCCAGCTTCCGGGTTAGGACCAGCTGTTACGAACAATGTCCTAAAGCCACTTGGAGCCGCAGTGACCCACCAATAGGTTGACTGAACGCATATCGTAGCTTTGACGTCCATCTCAATGTTGATGTTCGTTGACTCGGGAACAAACGCAACTTTATATCTCCAGTTTGAGAATTTGACGGGAATGCCCCTGTCGACCTCTGAAATTTCCTGTCCGACAAAGAGGGGACACTGGTTGCTACCACGAGAGGCGAGATTCAGGCCGCCACCTGCAGCGCCGAAGATGGCAGGGAGGACGTAGTAGCTGCCTGCGAATACATAATCACCATCAGTGTCGAGAACTGGTTTGAGAGCGTTTGAAGTTGCTGCAAAAACAGCGGTTAAGGCAAGAAGGGAGTAGAACATAGGATTCATCCTTTTTTGAGTGTATGTAGTTGATTATATTTGAATGTTATTGGATGAAGAAAAGGTGAGTTGACGTGATCGGTATTTATACACGGATGCGCATACAGCTTTGTATACGCTAGGTGTAGGGCTTGAATTACTTTAAAATTAAACAAGTACATTGAGATTTGAGAAGATCATGTCTATCTTATTAGACTCCACTTTCCTTCCACTTCCAAACTTCTTCAATTTAAAATTTTGCTTTGCTTTTTTTTTCTTTTTTTTTGTGCAACATTTTTGCTTTGCTATGAACGCTTCTTTAAGTTGTTTGTTTAGCTATTTCTTATGGGGGGATATAGTCTTAATTAGGCTGGTCTTGGACCTTTGGTTAAAGAATAAGTTAATGAATAAATCACTGTAGCCCTAAGTTTTATCAGTTTTTGATTTTGAAGTTAGTAAGGAAAAAGAAACTATCCATGAAGATCTCAAAATACATAGATGAAGATCTCAAAATGCATAGATCTACGTATATATTAATATCAATATTAATTGTAAGATTTTTAAGACTACGGAAACCTAATTTAAAATATCTCATTTGGAATACTTTCGGTTGGATTTTTTGTAGTTTTAAAATGGTCACAGTTAAATATATACTCTCTATGTTTCAAAATAATGTATATTCTAAAGTTTTCATATTTATTAAGAAAATACTTCAAATTTTAATAATAAATGTATTATTTTATGTGTTTAGTTATTTTCTATGATTTTAACCAATTAAAATTCAGTAAACATAATTCATATCTTTGAAATTTGTAATTTTCCATTATTATTTACATTAAAAATATAAAACATAGATATTTTAGAAACAATTTTTTTTCAAAAACATAGATTATTCTGAAGCAGAGGAAATATGTATTTTGAGATTCTCACGGATAGAGTAACCTACTGTTAATATTCTCCGTTCAATCTGGTTTTGGTTCAAAATTGAGCAGCCTAGTTTTGATAGTTTTCACACATATTTTCGATTATTGTAATATGAGCACAAGTCTTTAGAAGATAAGGATAACAACAAAATTAATTTAAAGAGGAAGTATACCAAAGCATATGCTTATAGTACATAATTAATTTTAGCCTCGTGTTTTCCTTGATTCACCTCGTGTGATTACTTTATGAGGAAATTGTTCATGTGGGATGTATTAGAAGCTTAACTTCTTACTAAATACAATAAAACTCTATAATATAGATTCCACTTTCCAAGCACCATCGGCTAATTATCTTTATTCTGTCTTTTTGTATTATAACTTTACTAATAAAATGGGTGTGCTTAACGAGCTCTTTTTATTTTAAGGCTATATATTAATTATGCGGCCAAGACAGATGTTAAGGTAATAAGTAAAACATGGGATTCAGAATTTTTAACCAAATATGTCAATCTACTTTTTAGTGTATGTAGTTGATCATATTTGAATGTTATTGGATGAACAAAACGTGAGTTATTTGATCGGTGGTTTATACACGAATGTGTATACACTTCGGTTTTGAATAGTTAACTTTAAAATTAAGCTTTGACAAAAAAAATCTTACGCTTTGACATTGAGAAGATGCCTATCTATTTACCCATTTACATAGTTTTCAATTAGTACCCAAACACATAATCCTTTACATTTATCCAAATTACACATAATCCTTCTTCGGCCTAATCTAAAGGACTAAACCGGTTAAAGAAATACTTCTCTGTTTCAATATTTAATTTACTAACTATTTTTAAACATGCAATTTCGTATTAACAAATGCTTTTATTATAAAACTAGGGCTAAAGTAATTATATTCTGATTAACAAATCAATGTTTCGTATACAATTATATAATTTACCAATTAATAGCACATACTTATATGATCCATTTAGGTAGTCTAAAAAGAAAAAGGCAATTCTATTCTAAACGCATATCTGATCTTAGGAGTAAGTTTATGCTGGATAATGAAGATTAGGGGGCATGATGTTGGATTTTAGTTTTATTTCACGATTTAAAAAATAGATATGATAAAGGTATCTTCAAACAAGAGGATGAGTATTAGTTACATGATAAACATATTAAGTTATATAAGTAGCTACAAGTCTAGAAAAAAAATTAGCATGTTGTAAGAAAACTAACATGAACTTATAATGGTCGTATAAATAAACGCTAAATCCTTTTATATCTGTTGATGAAGAAGAAAAATTGAAAAGGAATTTGACTATTGAGTCTGATAGAAAGAATTATGAAGGATTAAAACATGTATGTTGTCATCTTTTATACATGATTGATATGGACGTAAATTCTTAATCTATACTCTTTTCATTTAAAATCAAATGCTGTTGTAAACTAATTTTGTTGTTACAAAATACTGTAAATATCGTTTAAATATTTCAAAATAATTTGTATATTAAATGATACATGCTATATAATTTTAATAACTAAACTAAACTAAAATTAAACATTTAATTATTTTTAAAATTTGTATTTTTACCCTTAAACAACATCTCATTTGAAATAGAAAGAGTATTGGAGATAAATTGAGAGTATTTATGGCATTTGTTGCGCTTGCACTGCAAACAACATCCTATTTGAAATGGAAGGAATATTTGATATAATGGATTTTGCCATTGAGAAGCAGATGCATTGAGAGAAGAAAAATCAAGGATAGAGAAAGACTAAAAAGACACATGGATATTCCATCTATAGCCGGCCTTGGACCAAGTAGATGAAACCTATACTTCCGGCCACATTTAAATAATTAAAATATCGGCCACAAAATTCTCAAAAGTTTCCTTAGCCTAGTGGTTCGTTTGTCGGAAACAAATCTTGAATTACATAATCAAATATTCAAGTGGCCAAAACTTTTTTATTTTGCTTCTAGCCTCAATTATGTGAGGACCGGCTCAGTTCCACCTAATGAAGAACACACGGTCGGAGGCAAGTATCATGATTATAAACTAGGTTTAGGTTAAGAGGATAAAAAAGAAAACGTTTATGTTTTGTTTAAATTGGTTGAATTTTATTTTTGTCAAAAAAGTTGTGAATCTTAAACTAGAGAGATAATTAAAAAGAAAACAAAAAAACAAAGGAAAGATAGTGTATATTGGCAAAGAAAACAGTAACCACAGATAGAGTTTTATTATTAGCCGTAAGTTAAAACTCTTTAAGTTTTATTATTGGCCGAAGCCTTTGTCTGAGTAGCTTTTACGAACACAACCTCGAATGGCTTAGAGTCTACAACCAAACGCCGAACGCCATCTCCGCCCACAGATATCCCGACATCAACGCAATCTTCACCATTAGAACAAAACACAATCTTGTAACCGCCAAGAAAATCTTCCATTTTCTGGATCTGGAAGAAATCATAAACCGGTTCAGGAGCAGCCGCAATGAACAAGTCGGGGAAAGCAAGATTCCAATAGGTTGGCAGAGCACATATACTGTCTTCGACGTCCATGTCGATGTGGACGTTTGCTGATTCAGGAACGAACTCAACTTGATGAGTCTCCCTGTCCGATATAGAGGGGACATTTGTTGCCACCACTGGGGACTAAAGTTAGGCCGCCACCTGCAGCTCCTAAGATGCGGGGGAGAACGTAGTAACTGCCGTCGGATACGTTATCACCATCGACGTCGAGAACTGGCTCGCCGGGTCTTGCGGTCGCAGCCGAAACAACGGTTAAGGCAAGAAGGAAGTACAACATATGTTTCATCCTTTGTTTTTCATTAGATTTTAGTGTTACTGGATGGAGAAATTGTGAGTTCATGTGATCTGTATTTATGCTCGGATGTGCATCCAACAACATCCTATACATACACTTGCTCGTTACTCGTTAGTGTCACTTTCATCATCAAATCAGAATTATCCGAGAGATGTATTTTACGTGTTTACCAAAAAAACAAACATAACAAATTTTTAAAATTAAATATTAAATATATTTTTTATATACTACTAAACAAATAAATATTTACAATGAGAACTCATGGACGTTGTGACTATTTATAACTTTTAAAAAATCTCTATTAATAATCACGACTTTTCAAATTATATGTATTTTAAAAGGGTACATTAACAACAAATTTTGAATAGACACTCTATTACATTTTAAAAAGACATGACTTTTTAGACTAATAGATTTTAAATAATAAAACACATCTTTTGGATGTAAATATATATTTTTTATGTTGAAAACCCACAACTTAACATTTATCACAATAATTTTAATTGTTACATGTTGAAAACACAGAACATTTCACATTAATTTGGATTCCTATTAATAATAGATACGTTGATGATGAAGAAAAATCAAAGCGTAATTTGAGTAATGAGCCTGATAGGATGAATTATGAAGGATGAAAACATGTATATTGTCATCTTTTTTTTTGTCATCTTTTACTATTTAATAAGATAGATGGACGTCAAAATTATGCAGTTGTAATTTTGAGACATCAAAATGTATATTGTCAACTCTTAATTCATATTGGACATCAAATCGTGCAGTTGTACATTTCGAGAAGATGATGGTTTAGTATTTAATTTGCAAGCACCATTCACGAGCTCCGATTATTTTATTGGCCTCGATCGTGCTTTGGTAGCTTTCACGTTCGTTGATGTGCTTTCCACTGCGAACATGTGCCCTAATCCATGGTTGACCGACAATCAGATACCATGAGAGAAGAGAATTTAAGAAAGGATAAAGGCTAAGAAGACACATAGATGAAGAACACGCATGCAGATATGCAAGTAGACAATAAAACCAAGAGGAAAAGGGCATCTGCAAGAGGAAGAGGAAGAACATCAAATTTTTTTATGTTTAATTAATTTCCAAGTTATGTGAATCTCGAACTAGAGAGAGAATTAATTAAAAGGAAAAAAAAAGAAACAAGGGAAAGATGTTTTATTCAATTTAAGATGAACAAAAAAAACAGATAGAGTTTTACCATTAGTCATACGTTAAAACTCTTATCCGATCTTAATTTTGTAGTCTTTAATTTTCTCTCAGATTATAGAATTGATCTTGGACGAAGTCTCTTCCTCATTAGCTCTCTTGAACATAAACGTGAACGGTGTAGTGCTTAAAGCCAAACGCCTCACGCCATATTCATCCTTAATTATACTGACATTGATGCAATCGTTATCGCTAGGACAAAACCAAATATGGTAACGGACAGAACCACATCAAACATGTACTGCACTCAAACATGTACACTGACTTTTGTCTAAGCGCCATAATCAACTTTCAAATTATTTTATTTTCTTGTGAAAACGTGTCTCAGGATGAAGAACACGGCAGGTCGAGGCAAGTAGACGGCAGAGCCGCCGACTTGAATCACGATTAGGTTTTGTAAGTAGACAATTAAAAGGATAAGAGTTACTCCCTCCGTTTCATTTTATTTGTCATTCTATGTTTTTACACACGGATTAAGGAAATATTTAATTTTACATATTTCCAAGATAAAAACACAATTACCTATACACCTAACCACTTTTCAACCAATAGAAAAATAGAATATTATATAAAACTAATAAATTTTGCATCGAAACTTTAAAACGACACTTAATTTGTGACAAAAAAATAAGCCTAGAATGACATATATTTTGAAACGGAGGGAATATAATTTATGACTAATAAAAGATTTTTTTTTTTTTGTTTGGTTCCTATTTCCTAAGTTACGTGAATCTTAAACTAGAGAGAGAATTGAAAAGAAGAAATAAAAAAAAGAAATAATTGGCTAAAGTGTCATATTTGGCACCTATAATTAGAGAATTGACCATGATGTGATAATCAATTTCCTTTAGACCATTTTGCCTTTCTCTACATTCTCTCTCCTCTCTTTGATATCTCCTTTTTTTTTTTCTCCTCTTCAATCTCTAATTATTTTACAAATCTCTATCATTTTATATACAATTAAATTTTAAATTTCATTATTTTTTCATAAGTGTCTTTGAATCCTCAATTTTGACCTTTTTTTTTCTCTCCAATCCCTAATTATTTTACAAATCTTTATCATTCTATATTCAATTAAATTTTAAATTTCATTATTTTTTTCATAAGTGGCTTTGAATCCTCAATTTTTTAATGATATCAATTTTCTGGGTTTTAGATTCGACGTCGTGTTAGCGGTTAACAAATATTGTAGACGTTAACAGAAGTGTTAGTTGTTAACAATTATTTTTACGTTTCGCATTAATAAATGTGTTCGATGTTAACAAATATTGTAGACGTTAGTAGAAGTGTTAAGTGTTAACAATTATTTTTACGCTTTCTGGTAATAAATGTGTTGGCTGTGAACAAATATTGTAGACGTTAACAGAAGTGTTATATGTTAACAAATGTTCGTGTTAATGAGAGGAAAGAGAAAATGGCATTCTCGACATTTCCTTGCCAAGTGATTGTGTCAGTGTCCTTCATATCCAATCAATGGTATTTTGCTAATTTGAACTTCAAATATGGGTAGTTCACTAAATCACTCTATGATATAACAAGCGCGCCAACACACATACCGGTTTCTTAGCAATCCAAACCGGGTCTATTAACGAACCGATTCCAACCCGGTTCAACCTCTTTTGTAAGCAGACAGAACCTAAAAAAATCAGCGAAGAACCAAACCATGGAGATCGGAGAAGAGATAGAGACAGCGAAAAAGAGATGCGAATCAGTCATAAACACAATCAAAAACCTTCCTTCCTCAACCTCAACTTCCATCACCACACTCCTCAAACTCGCATCCTCCGAGCTCTCCTTCCTCTCCTCCCTCTCCTCTCCTCCACACCCTCCTCTCAGCGTCAACATCGGCCACATCGAATCCGTCCTATGGATCCTACGCCACCCTTCCATAACCGCCGTTTCCCGCGTCTGCAAACCTCTCCCTCTTTTAAACAACAGCGTCCACGTGGATCTCGTGTGTACCCTCGGAAAGTCTCCGGTCTGGATCATCGTCTCCGATAGAAACCCTAATTACATCACCTGGAGTGAAAGTGAAACCAAGGGTTTGAAATCTAGAATTGAGACGATTCTCTCCGCTGCTCACTCCACTACGACGTTGAAACCTTCTTCGTTGATTCTCTTCTTCGCTAATGGTTTGCCTTTATCGGTTCACGAGAGGTTGAGAGATGAGTTTGGAGGTAAAGATTTCGACTTTGGGTCGGGTTTGGATTTTTACTACGAGGAGACATTAGATGGAGGAGATTGGGTTAATGTTGTTCCGACAAGGTCGTTTAAAGACTCTGTTTCTGTCGAGATTAAGCTCGTTGATGGATCACGTGACGAGTCACGTGCGTTTGATGAGGAAGTTGTGGTAGTTGAAGGAGAGATGAGTTTGAAAGATGGTTTTTCGTGTGTACTCTCGTCAATGAGATTGAAAGGTGGAGACTTTCTTGTGAATTTTGACACGACGGCTCTTGTGGCTCTTGTTTCTGGGATTGCTAATGGATGTGCGGAGAGGATCTTGGAGGTGGATGAGAGTGTGTTGGAGGAGAAGTTTAAAGGGAATACTGTTTTCGTGATTGCTCAGGTTTTTTACTTACCGTTTGGATCTCTTATCTTATAGTATATATCGTAACATTAACTTTGTGTAAGCAGGCGAGATCTGAAGTTGAGAAGTCAGTGCTTGTGAGGATGAGAGATGTGTTGTCAGGGAAGAGAGGGGTTGTGTGTGAGAGTGTCGTTTCGGAGTTTAAGGAGTTAGTATCTATGTATGGTGGACCCAATGAGAAGCACAGAGCTGAGCAGTTGTTGAAGAGTTTAATGTAATTCGAATCTCAGCAATCAATTATGCTCTGTATCTTACTAGTTACTCATTGTGATTGTGATTTGTGACAGGGTGGTGGATGATAATCCCACGGAGCGTGTGATGGGGCTTCCAACAACGAGGAAGTTAGCAATGAAGAACAAGATTGTGTTTGGGACAGGTGATAGATGGGGAGCTCCTACGTTGACTGCAAACATGGGGTTTGTCAGAGCCGTGGCTCAGTCAGGGATGTCTCTCTCTACTATTGAACATAGCCCTCGTGCTCTCACTGGTGATTAGCCAAATGTTCAACTTCTACTTATTCTGTAATTACTTTAGTTCAAAAGACCAGACCTTATGTTAGGGGAAACCAATAAAACAGAACCTAGCCTTTTTACTTCTATCTGGTGTAGTTCTGGACCAGCAAAGAGACCTTATCAAGGCAGTTGCCCAATGGTTATGTTGGTTTCGTTGGTAATGATCTCACTGCGGATAACACGTTCCGAAGATATTGTACTAACTATTGCCTACATGGAGCTGAATGTTTGTATGATCTTCAGTGTTGTTTCATTGTTCAGCTAATATAAAACAAGGTTTCAACAGTTCTGGTTTAACGGTTGGTTTTGAGTCTTTGTCAGTGTTTGGTGGAGTACAGTACATGTACAGTTGAGAATTGAAAACCGATCTGGTATAACTGCTGGTTAAGTGTAATCAGAATCCGGTTTAGATGTATGAGTCTTTCTTGAATACAATACGTTTTGTTTAGTTTAGGTTCGAAACTGAAGGAGGCTTCTCTCCTAACTATCAACAGAACAAACGAAATTGGTTATGGCTCCTTTCCCAACTAACTCTCTGTTTTATTTATTTTTCCTACTTAACTTTTTTTCCCGAAAGTTTTCTTACTTAACTTTACCAGCAATTATCTCAGTTTTGCTTAAAAATATAAAAATAAAATTTATTTTTATTATTTATTCTCAATTTATTTATCGAAATCATTTAGTAATTATCTTTGTTGGTAGAAAAATTATGCCATCATCTCTAGAATAAAACACTCACATTGCTTAAAAAACATTTACTCTAACTGTAATAAAAAGGTCAATATGTAAATACTAAATAATATATTAGTTTTTACTTTATTTGATTAATATAAGAGAAAAAATATTCATTCGATGATCTAGTCTAGTCAGTGTTTAGTTGTTTAAGGCTGCGATGTTTAAAAGTTGAATAAATTTAACTTAGCTAAAAAGAGTTAGTTGTATGGTGTCAACGTTATTATTATTTTTTTTTTTGAAGAAGAAGAAATGGTGTCAACGTTGGCATATAAAGTTCGAATTAAGCTAAGAGAAAAACGATTATTAGGTTTGAGAGGTTATCAGAACCTATCCATCAAATAATATATGTGATATGTGACCTGCCATTTAACCAGAAGTCCACAACAATGTCACCAAACTCTTTTCTTCTCTTCATCTTTTTTGGGTCTAATTTCAATATAATTTTTTTTTGTAACTTAATTGGGCAATCTAATTTCAATAATTTATAATCTATAATTAACACTGCAAAGTATTTTAAGCATTTAATTTGCAGCATCACCCATTAACTAACTAAAGGCAATATGTAGTTGGTTGGAATCCACATATTATGGAATAACAAAGTTCTCATGATCCATCTAATGTACGTAATTAGGTTTCTAGAATTTCCATAAATATACACATAATTAAACTAAAACACATAGATCTCAGACGTATAAAACACATATGTTACGCATATGGAAAAATATATTGGACATAAGCAACATAAGAATTAACAACAGTTTTAAAAACTATCGCAAACTAATTTTTTGTTATAGTTATAATCAACATTTAGTAATCAAACAAGATTTATGTGTATAATAGTTACTTACGAATAGTAGTTAAAAATGGAATAACAGTTACTCACAACATTTAGGATATCAATATAGTTGTTGTTGTCTTTAATTAGGAATATGATATCAATGTTAATTTATCGTATGTCGTATAGCTTGTCCAAGACTACAGAAACGTAGATGAATATTGGTGGCTTGAAGTAGCGGGTGTAGGTTAGAATTTGGAGAAAACCCTTAAATTAATACCACACGAAGAGACGTTGAGAGGTTAACGAAATTCAGCCCACACCAAAGCAATCTCTAACCTTATGTTTGAATTTATACATATATTCCGCAAATATCATTAACTAATTATGATCAAAGGTATAAGAAAAAATAAACATAATAAAAGGTAGATCGATTACTTAAAATGGATGTTGTGTTGGTTAGGGAAGACGTTGGCATCAGTCGCCGGTCGAGAGGTCCGTCCAAACCCTCCCAACTCTCTAACGGATTCCATTTATTTTAATTTTTCTCTTCATATATATATATATAAACTTTATATAATAGACTATATATATATGTATACGTGCTATTGCTCCTCACCTTTCTTCTTGTTCCCACATAGCCATCTTCTCATACTTTTCCCAAAAATTTTTTTAGGGTTTTAAGCTTCAAGATTCATACAGATTTGTATATAAAACACACAAACGCATAAAAGTTAATTGCGTATGTTGTTTATATAACATCGCTGTGTGTTTCTTTTCTTGTGATATTTTTTTCTTTTGTTCTTGTATTGATTACACTTGAGATAAAGGTGTTCAGTAGTTAATTAGACAGATCGGTGAAAGAAGGAAAACGATCATGTGTAGTCGAGGCCATTGGAGACCAGCAGAAGATGAGAAGCTCAAGGATCTGGTCGAACAATATGGTCCTCATAATTGGAACGCCATAGCTCTCAAGCTCCCTGGTCGATCTGGTAATTATATATTATCTTATAGGGTTGGTTCTAGCTATTACAAAACTAGGGTTTGATATATGTATTGGTTATGTAATAAAATGGATACAATTAATTTATATATGCAGGTAAGAGTTGTAGATTGAGATGGTTTAATCAACTAGATCCGAGGATAAATCGAAACCCTTTCACGGAACAAGAAGAAGAAAGACTTTTAGCGGCTCATCGGATGCATGGGAACAGGTGGTCCATCATCGCCAGGCTTTTCCCTGGAAGAACGGACAACGCCGTCAAGAATCATTGGCATGTCATCATGGCTCGACGCACACGTCAAACTTCCAAGCCTCGTATTCATCCATCCACGACTTCTTCTTCTTTGATGGCGACTGAACAAATCATGATGGCTTCTGGTGATAGGAAGAGAATATTTGGCGACGTTGTCAATTACCCTTGCAAATTCTCTCATATCAATCATCTTCAGTTCCTTGAGGAGTTCTTCACAAGAAAGATCGCTTTAAATACTAAAGGTATACTCAAAAATGTGATGTGGGTAATGTTCATATTAGTGTTGCATGGATTGGTGATAAGTTTTCATTTTCAAAATTTTGCATTAATGGAGTGAAGCTGGATATATTGATTCTCTCTTTTCATTGCATAATCAAAATTTCATGATGAATTTCGATTTGTGTGACAAAAATCATTTATTTTCTGTTTGTATAATATATCATTTTGTTTATTACACTATATTGTCTATGTATATTAATTATAATTATCAATTATGGTTGCAACCAACCACAAATTTAATGATAATTTTGATCTTATTTTCTAGATGCGATCGCAGCAAATCAGAGTAAAAAGACTATGGAGTTCTACAATTTTCTACAAGTAGATACGGATTCAAACAAGAGCGAGATCATTGATCAAGATTCAGACCAAAGCAACCCTAATGACTCGGACAACAAAAACGAAAGTCGTGTTCCTTTCTTCGACTTTTTGTCTGTTGGAAACTCTAATTCCAAGGGTTAACTCGTTTGCAGTATATCTGTATATGTATACGTATGTAAATCATTATTTTCTAGATTTAACTATTTAATTACGAGCCTTTGCATCTATTACACGTATGTCTGACGTATATAAAATTACTAAATAGGAGCTCTAGCTAGCTAATCTGAGCTAAATGTTAAAATGTACCAAATGTATATGCATCCACTCCACATATATATTATTAATCGGGGTGTAGGTGGGTAAAATGTCTAATCATATAATTCTTTTTTTCATATAATTCTTCTACCAATAAAATCAAAATCATATAATTAAACTTACGGTGGCGTTCTTTGTTTGGATTATTAATTAAAAGATGATTTAACTAAAACAAAAAACAAAATATGTCGTGTAAGGAAGAAGTTGATGCAATTACATCAGCGGGCTATTCAAACATATCGGTTACGGTCAAGATCAGGCACAAATAAAACTCATGTATATACACATTTATATGGTTCCTTGCATATTATCCAATATCCAAAACTTATGTGAATACAAATCCTTCGTATATCCAAAAATTTAAGATAAATGTCACTAACTGCGATTTTGATCGAATTTATGTGTTTTAGAGTGAGTGAAATCTTTCAAAATGAACGTTTGTTTAACACAAGAATTAAAACATTTCATTGTTTATTCTCTCTAGTGAATATCTCTTAGCATGTTGCAAACGTGTTAACAAGTAAAGTGAACGTTGAGGAAGAAGATGAACTTTGGAGAAGAAGGAGTTTGTTATCAAAATATTCAACTCAACATTAAAGTCAAATGTACATCGTATCCGACTTATATACAGTCAAAATAATCAGCTAACATAAGCTTAACCAACTAACCATACTAACCTACACCACTAACATACACATATCATGTGAATAACANAAGTGAACGTTGAGGAAGAAGATGAACTTTGGAGAAGAAGGAGTTTGTTATCAAAATATTCAACTCAACATTAAAGTCAAATGTACATCGTATCCGACTTATATACAGTCAAAATAATCAGCTAACATAAGCTTAACCAACTAACCATACTAACCTACACCACTAACATACACATATCATGTGAATAACACGTGATACGCCCCCTCAAGCCTTCAATCCGGTTCAGGTGGAGGAGTGTAAAGGCTTGTCATAGACATACGGTCCAGAAGAGAATGAAACGGTCCTGGGTGTAGCGGTTTAGTGAGGATATCAGCTAGTTGATTAGCACTAGCCACATGAAGAACTCTGAGATTGCCAAGCTTCAACTGATCTCTAACAATGTGACAATCTATCTCTATATGCTTAGTCCTTTCATGAAAGACAGGATTTGAAGCAATATAGAGAGCAGATTTATTGTCACAGAATAGCTTGGCAGTAGCAATTACCTTGATACCAAAGTCACGGAGTAGTTGTTGTAACCAAAGGATCTCACGTGTAACATCAGCCATGCTACGGTATTCAGCCTCAGTGCTGCTGCGACTTACTACATTCTGCTTCCGTGATTTCCAAGCTATCAACGAAGTGCCCAAGTAGACACTAAAACCAGAAACAGAGCGACGAGAGTCAGGACAAGAAGCCCAGTCAGCATCTGCAAAAGCATTGAGGCAAAGATCTGCTGTGACAGAATAAAACAATCCAAGGCCAGGATTGCTTTTGAGATAACGCAGAATCCGGTGAGCTGCCTGCAAGTGTATATCAGTAGGAGCCTGAAGAAATTGACTCAGCCTGTGCACAGCAAACGTGATATCCGGCCTAGTAATGGTCAAATAGAGTAAACGACCAATAAGCTCTCTATAAGGAGTAGCAGAGGGAAGTAACTTGCCAGATTCACGACTCAGCTTAACATATGGATCCATTGGAACAGAACTTGGTTTACAGTCAAGTAAACCTGCATCTTTCAGAAGATTCAGAGTGTACTTTCTTTGACAAACAGAGATGCCTTTTGCAGACCGAGCTACCTCTAATCCAAGGAAAAACCGGAGAGGTCCTAAGTCCTTGATCTTGAAAGCACCAGCAAGAACAGCTTTCAAAGCTGCTAGATCTCCTGAATCATTACTGGCAATGACAATATCGTCTACATAGACGAGTAAAGCAATGAATCCACGAACAGTCTTCTTAGTAAACAATGTAGTATCAGACTGTGACTGTGTAAAACCATTAGCCAGAAGTACATCAGTAAAAGTCTGATTCCATCTTCTTGAAGCTTGTTTCAAACCATAGATGCACTTCCGAAGTTTACAGACTGCATTAGGTGGTAAGATTGTCCCTTGAGCAGGAGTATAACCCTGTGGTAAACTCATATATATCTCCTCATCCAGATCACTATGCAGAAACGCATTGGAAACATCCATCTGTGTAAGTTCCCATCCTTCAACAGCTGCAAGAGCCAACAACAACTTCACACTATTTAACTTGGCCACAGGGGAGAAGGTTTCATCAAAATCAACACCTTCCTGTTGGGTATAGCCTTTAGCCACCAAACGGCCCTTATACCTTTCAACTGTACCATCAGAGTTATATTTAATGGTAAACACCCATTTACAACCAACTAAGTTCTTCCCAAGAGGCAGAGGAACAACATCCCATGTCCGGTTTGACTCCATTGCATCTAACTCCACATTCACAGCTTCTTTCCAAACATCAGATGCCATGGCCTCTTTAAAAGTACGAGGTTCTGTTTCTTGAGAATAAGAAAGTTGACACATATAGTAGGAAGAGGAAAGGCGATGATATGAAAGAACAGATGAAATATTATGTGGTGATGTATAATGAGGAGGAGAAAAAGAAGAATGAGTATTAAGAAGAGCACAATGATATTCAGACAGATAAGATGGAGCCTTAGTCTGACGTTTAGGCCTTCCTATGTTTCGAGAAACTCCCCCAACCCCAGACATACTAGAATCACTACCAAGTGGTGAAGACAAAAGATCATTACTAGTTGGAACAGACGGATTGAAATCAGGTGGATGTTGTAAATCAGAATCAGAATGATCTAGAGCATAAGGTACAGGTAAAGGAAGAACAGTATGAGCAAAGAAATCAGGAACCAAAGGAGTAGACAATTTGAAAGGAAAGACATTCTCATGAAAAACTACATTGCGAGAGATAGAAATGGAATGTGTATCAATATCTAAAACCTTATAGCCTTTGTAACCTGCTGGATATCCAAGGAAAACACAAGGTGTGGCTCTAGCAGAGAACTTATGTCTATCCTTAGACAAAGTAGAAACATAACAAAGAGACCCAAACGAACGTAACAAAGAATAGTCAGGAAGTTTGTGAAGCAAAGACTCAAAAGGACTTTTATTGTTTAACAGAGGAGATGGTATACGGTTGATTAGAAAAGCAGCAGTGAGTATACAGTCTGACCAATATATCAATGGCACATTTGACTGAAAAAGTAATGCCCTAGCAACATTGAGAAGATGTTGATGTTTTCTTTCCACAACAGAGTTTTGCTGTGGTGTATAAGCACAAGCAAAGTAATGTTTCATACCCAAATCTTTAACTAGTTGTGTAAATTTTAATTCAGGAGCATTGTCACTACGAATTGCTTTAACAACAGCTTTATATTGAGTAGACACATACTTCAAGAATACAGGAAAAACATCAACAACTTCATGTTTACTTTTAAGCATATAAACCCAAGTTACTCGTGTACAATCATCCACTATTGTTAAAAAATACTTGTAACCTTCTATTGATTCAGTTGCAAATGGTCCCCATACATCCAAATGAAGTAAATCAAAAGCATGATCTGACAACCTATTAGGAAAAGGAAATGATAATCGTTTTTGTTTAGCTAATGGACAAACTTGACAATGAGAATCTGAATGAATTAAAGAACGAGGCAGATGAAGAGAATCAGCTAGAACTTGCAACTTGACAGTAGACGGATGTCCAAGGCGTTGATGCCAGAGAGTGCCATCCACTGACAAGGATCCACAGAATGACTCCAACGATGAAGAAACAAGCGAATGCATATCTAGCACATAAAGATTGCGTAGTAAATCACCCTTCCCAATCATCAAGTCCTGAGAACATGCCTGAAGAAAACAATTATCAGGGTAAAAATGAGCAGAGCAACCATTATCACGTAAAAGAACACTCACACTTATCAAATTAAAATGAAACGAAGGAACATAGAGAACGTTTTTCAATATCAAGGAAGCAGATAAACAAATTGTTCCAGTGAATTGAATTGGAACTTTTGTCCCATCAGGTAAAGAGACTACTATATCAGATATTGGAAACGTTTCCCGAAACATACTAAGGTCAGAACATACGTGACTAGAGGCTCCACTATCAATAATCCAAGAAGAGGAGGATAAAGTTGAGGAAAGTGTGGAAAGACATTGATGATTGAAAGTAAAAATGTTATTTTCAAAACGAAGATTGGAAGAAAGAGAAACAAGGATACCAGAGGATGAGGAATTAGCCATGACACCGTTATCTGAGATAGTCGCCTTAGAACATGAAGCTATCACCTCTGAAGTTTGAACATGAGTGTTGAGCTGCTGGAGAAGGGCCTGTAACTGTTGGAGTGTGAGCTGCTTAAAAGACGTATCTACTCCAGAATGAGTCTGCCCATTTTCACCAGAACCAGTAGACACATTAGCAACTGCTTTCTGAGCACCAGTAGGAGAAGGCAAGATACCACGAGACCCAAACTTGTTCTGGCCAGAGGTCTTATAACCAGGAGGAAACCCAATCAGACGATAACACTTCTGTACCACATGACCTTGTTTGCCACAATGAGTACACACCGGCTTGTTAGTCTTTGGTTTGAAGGTATTGTAAGCAGCTGCATACTCTGGAGATTCCATAAATTTCACATGCTGAGAGGAGTCAGAAGCCTGAAGAACAACACTATCATTCTGCAAAACAGGACGAACCATTCTCTGCCTCTCATCCTGAGCCACCATATTAAACACTTCTTCAATCGATGGTATAGGCTTCAACATGAGAATATGTCGTCTTGTCTGCTCATAAGCTTCATTAAGCCCCATAAGGAACTTAGTTACACGACTACGCTGTTGTAATTTCTCCCACAACTCTGCAGCATTACATTCACAGTGGCCACAAGTACAAATAGGTAACTCAATGTAATTCTTATACTCCTCCCACAACGTTATCAACTCAGTATAATACCCACTAACATCCTTAGACCCTTGCTGGATAGTATTCAACCTCTGTTCAATCTCATAAACCCTAGGTGCATCATCTTGTTTAAAACGAGACATGAGATTATTCCAAACATCTTCAGCAGTTGACATATACAGTAAACTCTGGCCTATTTGCTTCGATACAGAATTCATCAACCAAGTTGTAACTAGATCATTGCAACGTGACCAAGATCCAGAGTTACGATCATTCGAAGGAGGTTTACGAATCGTACCATCAATGAAACCGAGTTTATTGCGGACGTTGAGAGCCATCCTCATCGATCGACGCCAAGAATGAAATTCCGCTCCAGAAGAAAGACGATCAGTGACAAGTTGAAGACCAGCGTGATCATTATGATGCAGATAATAGGGATTATCATAATGATCCAGAAGCGGAGTCTGAGAAGAAGAATTAGCCATCGGAATCGATAAGAGAAATGAGATTCACACAAAGATTGAGAGATTTAGTGAAACAAGAAAGATTGAATCGAGAAAAGTAAAGAGAATCGATTCAATTTAGGTCAAAGAGAGAACAAGAACGCGGAAGATATAGATTGTGAGAAAGTGAAAGAAACAGAGAATCGTAACAACGAGACGAAGAATCAGAAGATCTGACGAAGAAACGCTCATGATTCGAGAAGATCGGTGAGCTCTGATACCATAACAAGTAAAGTGAACGTTGAGGAAGAAGATGAACTTTGGAGAAGAAGGAGTTTGTTATCAAAATATTCAACTCAACATTAAAGTCAAATGTACATCGTATCCGACTTATATACAGTCAAAATAATCAGCTAACATAAGCTTAACCAACTAACCATACTAACCTACACCACTAACATACACATATCATGTGAATAACNAAGTGAACGTTGAGGAAGAAGATGAACTTTGGAGAAGAAGGAGTTTGTTATCAAAATATTCAACTCAACATTAAAGTCAAATGTACATCGTATCCGACTTATATACAGTCAAAATAATCAGCTAACATAAGCTTAACCAACTAACCATACTAACCTACACCACTAACATACACATATCATGTGAATAACACGTGATACGTGTGTTCACTGTATTATGAATGTAGTTACTAACAATAAATAATGTTTTGCACGTTCTTTTGTAACTGAGCACAATGTGATATATATACACAAATTCTATAATGGTTTGAAATAATTGAGTTTTTAGTGGTGAAGTATGATAACGGAAAGACGAAGTGGATGTTGGAGTATAGATATGGTTAAGTTGGGCGTAGCTATCAGCCACCAAGAAAGATATTTCAAAGCAGCATGTAAAACCTAGTCAAAAATACAAAAGTAAAAAAAATGGGATGTAGTTGGAGATAAAAAAAGCAGACAGAATTGACATTTGACACACAGTTACATACTTACATTAACTGAAAGTTTCAAATTAAAAGTTTTTGGGGCAAAAAGTAAATTTAAAATAACTAGAGGACTAATAGCTGACATAAACAAGTGACAAGTTATGCGTCAGTCAGCACACCTGTGACATCCCTCCGTCTCTGAACCCTAGATCGCCGGCAGTCGGCAGATCTCGCGCATAATGATTGATTTGTTTAAACGCAGTGGTTACGTTGCGGAAGTTTGCGGATACATATAGTTGTGGTTTCTTGCAGTTTTAAGAAATTTGTACGATTGGTACTGCGATTACAAATTAGTGTGGTTACGAGATATATATGACTGATTAACTACCAAATGCAGTAACAGTTAAAATATAAATTAACAATATTTATATTTTGTTTAATTATAAAAATACCAAAATTATAATATTATAATAAATATATAAATTATATATAAAGTTATAGTTTTAAATTTTAAAACCATTGAATATATTTTTTAATAAGATTAGTTAAAATATAATAGAGCTATTTTAGTATTTTTATAATTCTAATTTAAAAAATTTATTGAAAATTTTTATTTTTGTATTTATATTATTTTTTTTTAAAAAGAAAAAATCATTTTTTCGTAATCACCCGTAGTCATAAACGATAGCTGAAATCATCTTTTGAATTTAAAAGGTTTAGAACGGTTTGAAACGGTTCAGAACGGTTTGAATAATTGTTGCAAAACGTCAACAACCGCTGTCAACCGCAAAAGCCGCGTCGCGGGTGATAGTAGGAAAACCAGGCATTTGTTGCAAACGCAAACGTAAACGCCGTAAGGCGTTTTATTTCTTGCGTTTTAGTTCGTGTAACTGTAATTTGATCGCTATATAGCTCAGGAGATTAAACACATTCGCAAGTTAACGATCAAACCGGAGATTCTGAAGAAAACCGCCATATCTATGGCGACTAAGGTTGCATCGTCTCCAAGCCTTCCCAAATCAGGAGCCATCTCCAAAGGCTACAATTTCGCTTCCACTTGGGAACAGGTAATCACACTCGAGATTACGCCATTAGATCCAGGAACGATCCATTGACGAGTTTGGATAGTGATCGCTTAGCTCAGATACATTAGTTAGATCTGAATGATGCTCTGGTTGTTGAGATGTTATCTTCTTCGTATGTAATGCGGTTACTATCTACTGCAGAGCGCTCCTTTGACAGAGGAGCAACAAGCAGCTATAGTTTCTTTATCTCACGCAGTAGCTGAGCGGCCGTTTCCTGCTAATCTCGTGAGTCTGAGGTTATTTGTTTTTGTGGATTTTTTTAGAATGTTTTCTCAGTTTTTGTTTGATGTTTAGTGTTAGTTTCCTGGTTTTAGGTGAATGAGTATGTTCACCGGCCTGAGAATGGCTTGTCTGTCTCAGCAGAGGAGACAAACTTGGGAGATTCTGGAGCTGTTGAAGCTGTTTTGGTTAATACGAATCAGGTAATCTCTTGCCAAGCAACTTGAAATTCCAAAGAATCTGTGACGTATGTGGAGAAAGACCATGCTTAGCTTATTTGATTAAGAGTGCAGTACTGTAGGAATTGCACTTGTATTTGTGGTGTGGGCATCTCTATCTGTGTGCTAATGCTTCTTCACTTTGATTTTGTTGTTTTGTCACAGTTTTACAAATGGTTTACTGATCTTGAATCAGCGATGAAGTCTGAGGTTAGTGATAGTCATGTTGTTCCGAGGTTAAAAGTCGCGAAACGTTATTTAGCTGATTGGTTTGTTTGTTTCTGACATAGACAGAAGAAAAGTATTTGGATTATGTCAATACTTTAACTGAGCGCATTCAGACGTGTGATAATATACTCCACCAGGCAGGTTTCCACCATCCTAACCTTACCAAGAAATTATTAAGGCTTTCTTTCTATATTTGACCTTAGTATTTCTCCTGCGCAGGTTGATGAAACGCTTGACCTATTTAACGAACTGCAGCTGCAACATCAAACAGTAACAACAAAGACTAAAACTCTTCATGATGCATGCGACCGACTGGTATTATTTCGTACTCTCTTTTATGCTGGAAAATGATTCTTTTTGTTTCTCTTAATCTTTAAAGTGTATTCTCCTCCTACTGGCTATTATTGAAAACGAAAATATATGTAATGCATCTTGGCTGATCAAGAGTTTTCGGCTCGTTGTGTGATTGTTATTGCTTATCTGAGCTCTTTCTTCCACTTTTTCTAGTTAATGGAGAAGCAGAAATTGATGGAGTTTGCAGAAGCGCTAAGGAGTAAGCTCAGCTATTTCGATGAACTGGAGAATGTAAGATTTAAATACTGCCCTACTGACACAAATTAGCATATGCGTATAAGTGTGTAATATACTATTTTGATGAACTGGTGGTTTTACTTGTCAACATAATATACTTATAACTAAGGCCTACACGTGGAACTTTTGGTTCATAGTGTATGTTTCTCATTAATACTGGTGTAACTTTAGGAGAAAGACCCAACAAGGTGTTCAATTGCTCTAATTATTTTCCTTTTTTTTGGCAGATTTCCTCCAATTTTTACTCTCCAAATATGAATGTATCAAACTCTAACTTTCTCCCACTGCTGAAACGGCTCGATGAGTGCATCTCGTGAGTAAATGATTTGCATACAATATTATGAAATTTACTTTCACCACGTGCGACTTTCTAAAGAATGCCGTGCGTAACGTTCGTCCTGCTCCCATGAAGTGATTGTAATATACTTCTTTTACCCTGGGTTCTGTAGGTACATCGAAAGCAATCCCCAATATGCGGAGTCGAGTGTTTATTTGCTCAAATTTCGTCAGCTGCAGGTACTTCTCCTCCCTATTTCTCTCTTATTGAGAGAAGCTTCGGTTATTTGCACACACTGTTTCCAGAATTATTTTGTAACCTGTGTTATGAGAAGACTTAACATTTATAATTTTACAGTCACGCGCCTTGGGCATGATTCGAACTTACATCCTTGCAGTTCTCAAAACTGCCTCCTCCCAGGTAGCTATTCTTTGTAATATGCATATATTCTAGCACAGTTTACAAAAAGCATGTATTTAATTCTATTGACTGTGTATGTATATGTATTGCATACCTATATGCCTGTAATCGAGGCAAGAAGAATGAATTTCTAAGTCATGCCTAGTTTTCGTGAGACAGACATGTTAATTTTATTGCCAGGTTCAGGCAGCATTTCGCGGAACAGATGGAAACAAAGCATCTGTCTCGGAGGGTGTCGAGGCATCTGTTATATATGTTCGCTTCAAGGCTGCTGCAAGTGAGGTGATACTTTTTTTTTTTTTATCATGTTAGACTGTAGTGCAAAAATACTAGGGTCACTGTATTTGATAAAAGACGAAGGAATGTAGCTTTTGTGGCATTTTCAGTTTCAGTAAGTCTAGTGTTGAGATTACGGCATGATGATATTTTTTTCTTATGATATTGAACATCGAAAAAATTATTGTCCAGCTTAAACCTGTATTGGAGGAAATCGAGAGTAGGTCAGCAAGAAAGGAATATGTTCAAATCCTTGCAGAATGCCATAGACTATACTGTGAACAACGGCTTGCTCTTGTGAGTTATTTTCTGGCTTACAATATGGTTTAGTTTTTATCTGCTGGTAACTAAAATCGTCTGTTTATTTTTCATTTCACATTATCAGGTCAAAGGCATAGTTCACCAACGAGTATCTGATTTTTCCAAGAAAGAAGCGCTGCCATCTTTGACTAGATCTGGTTGTGCATATCTGATGCAGGTATGTGAAGGAATATATATGGACAAATACCTCTCTTCATTCACATGGGATGGGAAGCTAAGAGTTATGCTAGTTTAGTAGAAAAGGAAGTTGCTATCACTGTAGGCGATAACATATAAGAAAGTTATGGAATGTTAATCTGTATGATTTCAAGAGTCAGACGAGGTTCTTCCAGAGAGACAATAGCTAATGGACTCGGTATTGCAAAAAGTAAATCACTGCACCACATGACTTAACTCCGTTATGAATTTCAGGTTTGTCAAATGGAGTATCAACTGTTTACTCATTTCTTTCCAGCATCATCGGAAGAAGTTTCGAGTCTGGCACCTTTAGTGGATCCTTTGTAAGCTTTTATGTGTCGTGCTGTCCATGTTCACCATTTCGTTTCTTACATCTTATTCGATGCATCCAATTTATCATATTTGCTTGATTCCTGAACAGGTCTACGTACTTATATGACATCTTACGCCCCAAGCTGATTCATGAGGCAAATATTGACCTTCTATGTGAGCTTGTTCATATCCTTAAAGTCGAAGTCTTGGGAGAGCATTCCGCTAGACAGAGTGAACCCCTGGCTGGACTGCGGCCTACATTACAAAGAATTTTAGCCGATGTTAACGAGAGATTGACTTTTCGTGCCAGAACATATATTCGAGATGAGGTGCCGTATTTACCTTGCCAGCATTGTTTCTACAATTTCTCTACTGTTTCTCTCCCTGGCCGTTACTTCCACAAGCGTGATTCTCCTCTACGTCTATGTAAAAATAGTGAAATGAAATTTATATGTTGTCACCACTAAGGCGAAACACCTACCACTTATTCGTAGAGGACTTTGCTTTCCATGAATTGCTCTGTTTCAGTCCTTTTCTTACTTCTGCAGATTGCAAATTATATTCCTTCTTATGAAGATCTGGATTACCCTGGAAAGCTGGAGGGATCTGCTAATACGCCATCTGATACCAATCTGGGGGTAAAATATAATTTCAGATTATTCCTATGGTTTGGTAATCTTTAGTTGTATACTTATATTCTAAGGTGCAGGATGATGAAAACGCTGATGTATTTAAGACTTGGTATCCACCTCTGGAGAAAACTCTCTCTTGTCTATCTAAATTATATCGTTGCTTGGAGCCTGCAGTTTTCACCGGCTTAGCACAGGCAAGACTGCTCTATCAGTAACTTTGTTGCTTCTCATTCTGTTAAAGATGACATGCAAAGCTGTCTAACTGACCATCACTTCTGTTCCACAGGAAGCTGTTGAAGTTTGCTCTTTGTCAGTTCAAGTAAGCAAGCTAGAAATCTAACTTTCAGCGCCTTGACTTTTGATTCTTTTCAGCTGTCTTTTATTTCAACGACAAAGAAGATGTGCCATTTTCCTGTGAAGAAGCTTTTGTTATCTTTGTTTTTTTGAGTTACGAAGCCCACCTTATTTTGTCAAATATGCAACAGAAAGCCAGCAAGCTTATTATTAAGCGATCAACTACAATGGATGGCCAGCTGTTCCTTATCAAGCATCTTCTTATTTTGAGGGAACAGGTTATGGTTGATCTATCTTTTCTTTGCTTCTTTTGCTATATGGTTAATGGTGATATTTTAAACGATGCTTATATTTGTTACCAGATTGCGCCTTTTGACATAGAATTTTCAGTCACCCACAAAGAGCTTGATTTCTCCCATTTACTGGTTAGTTTTTTTTTTGACAATCGTGCACTTTGTATGATAAATCTAAACCGTACTTCATTACCTTTGAGAGTGCTTATCTTTGGTTCAGATTTCAATTTATTTTCCTCCTTCAGTTTTTTTCTTTGCTGATGACTTTGCTAAATTTCGCCAGTAATCACTGTTATTCATAAAATGTGGCTAGGAACATCTGAGGAGGATACTTAGAGGTCAAGCGTCACTTTTTGATTGGTCTAGGTCAACCTCTCTAGCAAGGACCCTTTCACCTCGAGTTCTGGAGAGCCAAATCGATGCCAAGAAGGTTTGTGATTTTCTCTTCCACCCACTATCAGTTGCAGATTTGCTTCATGTTCACATGAGTTCTGTCATTCAAATGTGTTTGAAAAACAACAAAAGATGCAAGTAGCTCTTTAGTACGTTACCAAGTAAACTGTAGCCCAGAGAAACCCATGACAGAGCTAGTGTTTACTGTGGGATAGAACTGGTTGAAGCATCTGTGTTCAGTTCAAGCTGTTGCAGATGATCTTAATTTTGTTGTTGTTAGCTTCTTTGTTGTATCTTGCTTACCTGTGGACGCCTCTTCGATGCTAAATCCTTACATTTCTTTATATGAATGGGAATGATGCATGAACCTTTATTTCCTCAGGAGCTAGAAAAATGTCTTAAGACTACTTGTGAGGAGTTCATCATGTCAGTCACTAAGCTAGTTGTGGATCCTATGCTTTCATTCATAACCAAGGTGGGTTTCTCTTTTCCCTTTATTTTTCTGGGAAACTTTTAAAGTTCAAGTCGGTATATTTCTCTGCATTACAGACTATTTATAATATAAATCTGTCGTAGACACGTCCATTTGTTTAACACAATGCACGGATCATTAGAGGAGGGCTCTACTATCTAAAGGAGCTTCTCACCTAATGAAATAGCGTAACAGTTTGGCTGTGTTTATACATTATGATATATGCAGGTGACAGCCATAAAAGTTTCTCTTTCAACTGGAACTCAGAATCAAAAGGTTGACTCTGTCATGGCTAAGCCGCTAAAGGAACAAGGTTTCGCTACTCCAGATAAGGTGGCTGAACTTGTTCAAAAGGTACGATATAAGAAATGTACTCTTTTAGATATCTCAGGAACCGAGATTGCAGCTATATCTTTGTACATCAGTAGTTCCTAGGACTGAAAAATACAGATGCTAATGATCCCCCGAATGCATTTGTGGGTTCTCTACTCTGTAGCACAAGAAACATAACAGTAAGTAAGCACATGAAAATAATGATTTGTATCACTTTTTGGCTTAACCAGGTATATGCTGCAATACAGCAAGAGCTACTTCCGATTTTGGCAAAAATGAAACTCTATCTGCAGAATTCATCAACAAGGACCATACTTTTCAAACCAATCAAGTAAGTCTATATCCAGAAATCCTCTTCTACTCTATCGACCATCCAAACTATCTTTTACTTGTTGTATAAACCCAAATCTCCTACTAGTTTGAATACTAACAAAATGCATTGACCCTATAATGTATATGTTGTGTGTATTCAGGACGAACATTGTGGAAGCTCATACACAAGTGGAGTCATTGCTCAAAGCCGAGTACTCAGCGGAAGAACAAGCCAATGTCAATATGATATCCATTCAGGATCTGCAAACCCAACTCGACAACTTGCTTTAAGGTCTTGCAGGCCCGTTCCTCAGTTGGAGAAAATGAAAGCCATTCTTTAACAAACATTGGGCATCTTTTTGTTAGTTACTATTTTTAATTAAGGCATTTTTGTTAACTATATTACTTTAATCTAAATAATAAAAGATGTTGACATGCATATATTTAAATAAGCCATGTATTTCATCTAAGCTCAGTATGGGCTTAGATGAAAGAATTATAGAAGTTTTTTTTTTTTTTTTATAATTATAGAAGTTTGATTGTTATGCTTTTGAGGTTACATGATAACGTGGACAATTGGTTGGATTGTAGATGTGGAAAAATTCGATTGTAGGATTTGATCTTTAGTTTTTTTATTGTTGTAAATGTATAATTTTGTTGTAGAAAAATTCTACAATTTTTAAAATATTTTAATAGAAATGAAATCTAAATAAAATCTACCGTTATTCGAATAATAATTTTAAAATCTAGTGTTATTAGTTATGGTATTTATAAATCTAATTTAAAATCTGGTGTTATTGAATGAATGATTTCAATCAAAAATCTAGTATTATTTAACTTCAAAAGATTTTCAGTCTCATTGTATTTATAATGATTTCAAATCATTTGTTATGGAATCTAATGAGCAAAACATCGAGATCAAAATACAAGACCTACTACAATATTTTTAGTGTTCACCAATTTCTAAAATAATTTAGAATTTTATTGTTGGATTGTAGATGTTCGGTTATAGGATTTGATCCGTAGTTTTTGTTGTTGTAGATGTATGTCATTTTGTTGCGAGAACATTCTACAATTTCTAAAATAATCTAGAAGGCATTATTCAATCATGTATTTAAATCTAAGTAAAATCCACCATTATTCGAAAGATGATTATAAATTATATTCTAAAATATAATGTTATTGGTTACAGATCGCAGCTGTATCAATCCAACTTTAGTTAACGTAACCATATCAATCTTGGAATCGATTATCATCAATCTCAAAATCAATTAATGTTTCGAATCCGTTAATTTCCAAAAAAGTCAAAATCCTAATAAAGATCTCAAATTTTTGAAAAAGAGTCAGTAAATACTGGAAATAATCTCACAAGCAACGAAATTGCACAAAAATTGAAAACAAAACAACTCAACTGAAACCCTAATCTTTTGAATCTGTAAAAAAGGAAACGCAAATTTCGCTAACATTCACACATGTAACTTTCCTAATAAGAACAGAAACTCTGCAAAAAATTGGAAAGCGAAATAACTCGATTGAAACCATAGTCGTTAGGAATTGACCTTTCAAATTCCATATTACTTCATTCTTCGATTAGGTTATTTTCCTTGTTTGGCTTTCTTTCGTAAAGTGTGTAGCGAAGTCGGTTTTTATTTTGTATCTATAAAATTGATAACTTTATTTTCAATGATAATTAGTACATAATGAATAATTTTCTTCTATAATGGTTTTGATTTGGCTTGAATAGTAAAATTATTACATTTTCATTATCTTTTAATACAATTTTTTATAGAAATAACTAACTTTTATTTGAATACTTGTTATAGTAGTTTTTTTGGCTTGAATCAATCATTCCAAATTTAAATATTTTGTTCAGTTGGCCAGTTTAACTTCTATTTCAATCTAATTGATATTTTATATTAAACTTTGATAATATTGGATAGAAAAGATATATTCAATATAGAACTTTGATAGAAAATTGTTTTCAAACATATCATTTAGAAAGATATATTCAAATATAGAATTCAAAATGATTTGGCGTGATTTATTTTAAATGAGTTCAGATTATTATAGGTTAATTGAAAATCTAATATAATTTTATTCAAATCATTCTAAAATCTTTTTTAAAACTATGAAATTGAAATTTCCTTTTTAATTAGAAAAATTCAGAAAAACACTATTATAAGATCACTAAAAACGTTCTGAAATTCATAATTTATAACATTTTCAATAGCATTAGTTTCCAAGTAATTTATCAAATAAAAGTTTCAGTAACATTGAATCTTTATTAGAATTATATTTTGTTTTTGAATAACAGAAAAAATATTATTTTAACACTACACATTTCTTAATGCATACTTAGTTTGTAATTGGATTTTTAATGTTAAAAGTCCTCAACTAAGTTTAGTTTGGTTAATAATCCTCAAACTAAGTATTTAACAGGAAAACCCCCAAACTAACTTTATTTAATGGATTAAACATTTTGTCTATAGCGTAGGTCAAAATGACCACTAGTACCGGTAACTCTTTAGTTAAAGATTTTTACACTAGATAAACATAATTGAGGTGTTTTACCACTAAAATTGTTAAAAAGCCAAAAAATGAAAAAAAAAATCAAAATAGCATACCTTTATCAAAAAATTAGTTAAATTTGCAACTTCAGCATTTTAAAAATTTATGCAAATATATGAGTATGTTTTCTTTTTAAAATCAACACTTTAGATGTAGAAATTGAAAATATTAAAAAAAATATATAATAAAAATTATGTATTTACCATTAAAGATATAAAAAATCAAAAATAAAAAATTTTAAATTTTAAAATAGAATAACTTATCTAAAAATTAGTAACTTAAATTTTAAAAATTAGCCTTAAAAAAATTATGAAAATTAATGAGCTTGGTTTCTTTAAAATCAACAATATATGTGTATAAATTGACTAGTAGTAATGGATCTTTTGATCGGAATTAGAGTAAAACTAATTATCTAAAAACTAGTAACTTACATTTGAAAAATTATATTACTCATCCTTAGATAATGTTATTTTGGATTTTTATATCATTAATGGTATATACATAATTTTTATTATATATTTGGTTTTTTTATATTTTCAATTTCTACATATAAAGTGTTACTCATATATTTTCATAAACTTTTAAAATGCTGAAGTTGCAAATTTAAGTTACTAATATTAGATAAAGGTATTATATTTTTTATTTTTTGACTTTTTTAAAAAAAAATTAGTGGTAAAACACCTTAATTATGTTTAGTTAATGTAAAAAATCTTAAACTAAAGATTTACCGGAACTGTAATAGTGCTAATGGGCATCAATCCTATCTTGGATTGGTTGTTGATTTTGGTGGTGTTTCCAGAATGATTCACCAAAAATTGAATTTTAAGATTCAAGAATTGTAGAGAAGAAATAAAAAAGAAAGTCTATTAGATAACAATGAGGGTTTTTGCAATTTAATTATTTCCTCCGTGTCTAAATGAGTGTCATTTTTACATTGGTTGGAATTACAAGAGAAATTATGAAAATTCATTTTTTTTTTTTTGAAACATATGAAAATTCATCATTGGTTGAATTTTTGAAACATTAAAAAGCTTTAAAAGAAAAAAAAGGTTTTAATAGCAGAAAATAAAGCTGCGAAATAGTTTCGTCAGTTAAGAAGCAGAGAGTGAGAGTAATTGAATCCGATGACAACCGTCTCCGGCGCCGTCGTTCCACCGTTCGTATCTCCTCCTCCTCCGCTTCGTCTCCCATTCTCTCGTCATCATCATCTCAGTCTAACCAAGGTCTCTCTCTTTTACCTTATCTCACTCTCTCATTGGGACTTATCTTCTACTTAGGTTTCATCTTTGATTGTGATTGCGAAGATTCCTAGAACCGGCTTACGTAGGAGGAAACATCTTGGTGTTGCTTTAGCGGCGGTTACAGCTTCAGAATCGCCATCAGAAGGTAGAAAGCCAAACCTTCTCTTTCCATTAGCGTTTTTGTGTGTTAATGAATGTTTGATTTTTGCTTGTAGCCACGTATGATCCGGAGCTCCGTTTGGTTTTCGAGCTCGCAACAGATTCTGAGCTATACGAGCTTGAGAGTATCCTCTTTGGTCCCAGGTGATGTTTCATTAAGCAATGTTCTCTTTATACTAATTCAAAATCAAACTGAGTTTGGTTTGGTGGAGCAGTTACTTTAGTCCTTTGTTGAAATCAATCCCTAACAAAGGAGGAGGAGGAGGTGAACGGCTTATGATAGGGGAAGATATTGAGGTTCGAGATGGTTTTATCCAATCTCTTGAGTCAAGATTCTTGTTTCTCGCTGCAGATGCTCGCTACACTCTCAGGTAGTCTTTACTTCTTCTCTCCATGTAACATTATTAGACAATCAATAGTAGCTTCTTGTTTTGGGATTTCACTAGAGTTTTAAGCTTTTCAATGAATTAGATATGATGAATCTTGAATCTTGATGTTTGGAGTAATCTATATTGCAGTGACTCTGTTTGCAACTGCAATCCTCATCTTTGTGAATCCTGTTACATTATCTCTTTACTTTATATGTTTATAAAGAGTCTGAAACCAAAGAGTTTTTATTTTCGTTGTATTAGGGGTTGGAGGCCTTCATATAGAAACGTTTTACTTGCGGTGAGGAATAAGTTGAGTATTCCCTGTTCCAGTCACTTGCCGACGGAGGATCTCGAAGCTGAGATTTTTCTTTATCTTGTTGACAATTTTTCAAGGTACTTTCATCAGTTTCACTGCAAGCTTTCTGAACTGCATTATTCTTTTGCACTCTTTTTTTTTTTGGCTGAACCTCTTTTTTGTCCTATGTAGTGAAGCTTCAGGGGTTTTCCCTGGATTGTGGGATAGTTCTCAAGCATCAGAGGTACAGGGAAGCTTAGAAGTCGGGCTCAGTAAATGGAAAGTTGAACTACTTGCTGCACTAGAAGTTGGTGCTTCCGAGGTCCAATCTATGATTCTCAAGGTAGCCTTGTTCTAAACGTGTTAAATTCACCTTAGTAACATGTCCACGTTTCTTTTCTCTGGCTTACAGTGTGTTTCTCTGGTTAGGGTGGTGGGATGATCACATTTGCCAAGATTTATCAGTTGGTATGATCACATTTGCCAACGTTTATTTATTTATCGGTGATACGTATAACTGCTCTCTTTTGGCTCTGTATAGTTGGCTAAGAAACTATCGGGAAAAGTAATCCTTGAAGCTGCCAACTACCAGATAAGGAGAGAGATGCTAAAAAAGGTTCGCATCTGTCTTCAATCCATTGCTATGCAGAAGAATCTTATTTCAAATCACTCACGGATTTGAGAAGCTTTAGATATGTCAAATGTCAAACGTCAAATGATGTACTAGTAGTATGTAAATACAGGGTGGACAGTTAGCTGCCATTAACTTGGAATCTCGAGCAGCTCTGCTTGCAGCAAAGCATGTACTTACTTTTTCTCCATCCCATCGCTTTTTGGGCTATGTTCGTAACATAAACTACACTGTGACTTACACTTTTAGCTTTAATTGATCACAGGGGTTCGTAGGAGCTGCATCCAGATACCTTGGCTTAAAAACAGTGATGCAACTAGTCGGCCCAATGTTAGTATACACTACCCTAATCCTAGCTTGTTTAAAATATATACTACAAAATTTAGTTGCACTAGTAGGTACCTACCTGCATTTACATAACATAAGCAAGTGGAATGTGCAGGATGTGGGGGACGTTACTGGCTGATTTGGTTATTCAGATGCTTGAAACTGACTACGCTAGAATCTTACGAGCAATTTATGCGTTTGCTCAGGTACTTTTTTCTTTTGTAGACAGTGGTAGCAAGTTTTCAAAGAGTTTTAAAAGCATTTGTTTGTTGGTTTGTTGTTTTGTTATCCAGATTCGGATCACCAGGACATACAGGCTACCTTGTAAATGAAGTAACAGTTCTTTTCTCGAGACTCTCAGTCTTCACTGTCTCTACGTATTATGTCGGTAACAATGTTTTATACTATATAACTCGTTCGTATTATGAACTGACATAGCTAATATTTGTAAGGAAATTAAGTTTAGAGTCAGTTCAGACGGTAAGAATAAACGCTAATGATATTTTGACTATTTCCATGATTGATATTAACAATAACTTACAAATACTATTAACTGAAATAACCGAGATAAAAGAATTAGACAGAGACAATGAGACCCAATCGTCAAATAAAATTAGAAATTTGTTTCGATTGGCTACCATACATATGCACATCTCAAGTCAAGGGTGACTCTTATTTCTTTGTCACACTCAAGAGTGACACCTATGTGGAATGAATCATCAATCCTTACGTACGCCAGTACGTCAGCGCATTTTATATTGAAGAAAAGAAACAAAAACAAAAAGTAGTAGAGTTGTTATTGTCATGACATCAACTCTTCCACTAGCTATAATAATCCCTCGAATCTTCCACGAACATCAACACTTGCTCTTCAACCAAGTTGACAATCCGATAATATTGTTTTTCCTTGCATGAGTGGGTAACTAAATTTAAACTTCGACTTCGTACTTTTACAGTCCCTTTATCTTTCTTGTCGATAACGACGTGCTCTTATTGCATTAGTTGTTATTCCCATCCAAAACAAAAAGCTATTACAAGGGATTTTTATATGACTATTGTAAAATAGTATGCAGATTTGATGGGCCAACGAAACACACTATAAAATAAAGAACAAGATATCAAACGATTCGCCAATATACACACCATTTTGCAAAAGATACTATTATTATAAGATGTCTTATTGTTTTCACAAATAAAAAATTGACTAGCTTATTTGCTTTGTGGTTAAACACCTCTTCAGTAGTATGATTCGCTTATCATATTCTATACGATGAGCTTATCACACTATAACTTAAAAAAATATGTACAATACCAGCAGATGATCAAAATCTAATGATATGAAACTGAAGAAAAAAATATTGAAGAAATAGTTTTATATTACAATGCCAATGTTAGGATTCTTACAAATCTCTCATTTCTCTAAAATCCGGAGTATATATTATGTACAAAAATTTACAACTCCATAATTAATTTGTAATCCGATTTTAATTTTACAAAACGAACTAAAAATCAAAGCTCTTCCCTGAGAAAAGGATGGCCAAGAAGCTGCGAAGCCGTCCACCTCTTACTCGAATCTTTACGTAAACAACACTCAACAAAGCTACGAAACTCTTCCGAACACCCTTCCGGCGCTCGCGGCGGTTCTCCAAAACACACCGCACACATCAGCGTCGCCCAATCCGGTCTCTGTCCCGGCGGTAATAACGGAAAATGACCAACAAGAAGCTCCAACATCATCAAACCAAAACTCCAAATATCTCCAGCGTATACATCAGAACTTCCTCCTCCCGACTCCGAGTCAAACCTCTCCGGACTCATATAAGCACACGTCCCGACATAAGAGTTACAAGAATCCAAAGACCGAACCAAGATCTTACTAACTCCAAAGTCAGCGATCTTAACCTCCTCCTTCGAGTTAAGTAATAGATTAGCTGGTTTAATGTCTCTATGTACGATCTTGATCCCGTGCAAGTAACTCAAACCTTTCAAGATCTGTCTCGCGAACCCCGCGAGGCGTCTCTCCGTCACGGCGCCGCGGAGAGACTCTAAGGTTCCACCGTCCATATACTCCATTAGGATTGATATTTCACCAACGACTGGTTTCTCGAAGATTCCGTGACACTTGACGACGTAAGGAGAGTCCGTGCGGCGGAGAATCTCCATCTCACGCATTAGTTGTCTCGTTAGGATCGGGTCTGTGTCGCCGTTGACTGTTTTGAGAGCGTATAGAGTGTTTTTGTGGCGGACTTTGTAGACAGTTCCGCTGTTTCCGCATCCGAGGACGTTGAGTTTTTCGAGATCAGAGGCGGAGATTGAGTTAGAGAGGACAGTTGAGGTGGGGGCGGTGGTGAGGGAGGGGAGGGAGAAGCGGTGGTCGGAGATGGGAGGGAGAGGAAGACGGAGGTTGAGTTGACGACGTTCTCTAACAAGAGCCATAGAGAGAGAGAGATGGATAGATAGAAGAAGAAGAAGAGTGAATGTGATGGGAGAAGAAGATAGAGAGAAGCTTCAGGTTTTATATGATTTTTGAGAGTCGTTTTGAGTGTGAAGGGAGACTTACTAGGAAGGTGGAGATGACCTAATTATCTCTATTTTATAAATTTTTACTTCCTTTATTTTATTATTTATATTTTCAAAAATTGTATGCACATTGACAAAAAAAAATTTGCATACATAAATTAAATTCTTTTTAAAAAGTTATTAATTATTTAAACTGAACTTTTCATCCAATAATAAAATAATTTATAAACTGTAAATAGTTTTTTTACCATAACAATAACAATTTTTACTTTAAAATTCGAAAATATCATATAGAGTATAAAATAAAATAAAAATAATAAAATATTAAAAATGGAAGAATATTTAATTTCAACTTATCTTAAATAGCAGTCTCTTCTCTATTTTTTCATTAAAAAAGCAACTTGTGTGAGTGTTTGATAACGCACGTGGTTAAATGTATCATGGAAAATGACTAATCCTATATTAGCCTTCGTAGTAATCATCAAAGTAATACTACTATACTATACATAGTAGATAACGGTAACAAAACAATCAACACTATTAAAATGATTTAAGATTTTTTTTCCATGCCCACTAATACTAATAAATCATTAACTACTTTACTGTCACGGAAAAATGGGAAAGTGGTTTGTTTTTGGTGGTGATGGTGTGAAGGTTCGATGAACCGAGGAGGCTAAAGGACGAGGGATGAGGTATGAGAGCGACCAAAGAGCACTAGCATTTTTCTCGTGCCGACGTGGAAAAACTTGTAACACCCATCTGTTTAATTTCTTAGGCCATCGTATTCACATATAAAAGTTCGGATAATGTCCTTAATTTGTGGACACATAAGACCATATGCTTATTTATGTAGTTAGGCTTTTGCATGTGTCATGTGTGTGTAATATGGTGCACATTGCACATGTTTATATGTTGTTTGATGGTATGTAGGTGGTTATGTTTCGTTAGACTAATTAGTTATAAACAATTGAAAGAGTTATGTTAAAAATCGTCCAAATGATCCTAATTAAAAACACGAAAATAATATTTCTCACCAGAGACTTATAATTTATACTAATTCACTAATATAAACATTTTCGATATAAATTGGTGAGAAATTAGAAATAAAATAGTAGGACAAAAAATAATTCACTGACCGGAATCAACAGAGACATGCCATTAAATTTTATTAATGAGATTCCTGGCATCTTTCAGCATGTGTGATGTGTTTATTTATTAAACATGCTTGTTGTTGTTTAACCGTATAAACATGTGATACATATTTTCTTCTAGGTATTAAATAGACATCAATACCAACCATGTCGATTATATAATACGTGCATGCTCTTTCTGAATGGACAACAATTCTCAGAGCTCAAACCCATAAATCGTGTGCTAACATGCGGCTTGTCTCGTAAAGTGTTGAAAAGAAACCAAATGTTAGAGTTTATTTGATGATACATGCATCAGGGGATCAAAGAACACAAAGTTGCCTATAATATAATTGATATAATCTTCAAATTCTGAAAAGTAAAAACTCTAATACATTCCGCCATTTTTGATGCTTTGTTTCTTTCACTGCTAGGTACTCTAGGCCTGATTCGGGCAGCCATACTGCTCCAGCTATTTTTTTTGGGTTTCGGGATCAGTTTAATGTTTATTGACGTAGTTGATAATGTTTTATATAGATTTGATCTGGTTTAGTTGATAAATGTTTCAGATTTGAATTTTTTCATCTGAAAATAAATATAAAGTTAAATATTTTGCATATTATTTAAAATACCGATATAAATTTTCAGATCGATTTGTTTTTTTTTTTTCTAATTGTCAGATTGTTTAGATTTTTGCATATTTTTCAAGTTTGGGTTCAGTTGAGATGATACTCAAACTTCTGTTCTATCTCTTATATATTCTTGAGATTATATTAACAACTCTTCCAACGTTTTAACAAATTCTGGTAATTTTTTTGTTGGTCGTACAACGCATATTTCAGATTTATTTGTGTAATAACCAAAAAAAAAAAAAAATTAGTTTTGTAAAAAAAGTAGAGAGATAGAAAGAAAAGGTAGAAGAGAAGAAACGATTTTGGGTAATTAGTAAATTTGAGAAAATCATAGAGGAGGCATAATTTTTCTATTCATAAATCAAGCTATAGAAAATCGAAAATGACATTTTATAGGAAAATAAAAATTTAATCTAAGGGTTGAGTTATCATTAGTTTGTAATCGAACGGAAGAAATCATCTCTTTCATCTCTTTCAACAAAAGACGTCTTCAGTTTGTTTACCCAACGAACGCTGACCCCCTTACATATTCCACAGCATTGTCGTTTATTCAGATTTTTTTTGTCCGCGAGAGCCCCGGCCGAGAGCCCCGGCCGCGAGCCCCGGCCGCGAGCCCCGGCCGCGAGCTCCGGCCGCGAGCCCCGGCCGCGAGCCCCGGCCGCGAGCCCCGGCCGCGAGAGGAGCCCGCGAGAGCAGCCCGCGAGAGGAGCCCGCGAGAGGAGCCCGCCCGCGAGAGGAGCCCGCCCGCGAGAGGAGCCCGCGAGAGGAGCCCCGCGAGGAGCCCCGCGAGGAGCCCCGAGAGGAGCCCCGAGAGGAGCCCCGAGAGGAGCCCCGAGAGGAGCCCCGAACCCCGCGGCCAAACCCCGGCCAAACCCCGGCCGCGGACCCCGGCCGCGGACCCCGGCCGCGGACCCCAGCCGCAGACCCCGGCCGCAGACCCCGGCCGCAGACCCCGGCCGCAGACGCCGGCCGCAGACGCCGGCCGCAGACGCCGGCCGCAGA